CACTGAAGCTGCTCTTTTTACAAAATGACAGAGTTCATTCACTCAGTTCAAGCCTTATCGGCTGATATTGGAGAGATGTCCTGTTGCTATTGATGTTGTATTGCAGTTTCTTAAAACCTGAACACTGAACTCCACAATCAGTTGATAGGAGGAAGTAACTTCCTGAGTCTGTCTCTCACCTATTAGGTGTTTGTTTGAAGGTCAGTCAGGGGTGTTTCTCTGATGTTCCTGGGTAGAAGACCTCTGATCATTCTGTGGTGTATGTTATCTCTCATATCTTTTATCATAGACACAGGGGCTGTTTCTAGTAATACAGTACTGTAATAGGGCCAGGTGATGACAGGGGAAAAAAGAATATCTTTGCACCTTGGAGCACCTTGTCCTGTGCCAGAGAGATAACAAAAATGTCCTATAGTTAAGAGATGTTTTCAGTATCTTAACTCTGCTGAAATAAAGTTCTTCTCAGATTAAAAAAAAACAAACAGATTTCAGATGTAGGATCATTTAAATGGTTAACTTTCGCAGTTGCCATCAAAGCAAATCCCTCAGGTTGCTAGCTGTCTTAGAAAAGACGGTAGACTTCTTTGTTGTCAGCGTTGGATGGCTGCACGTGCTGTTTACCCTCGCACATCGGATTAACTGCATCCATATGCCAATAGTTGGATTCCTCTGCGATTTAGAGGGCCAATTCAAAGACAGTTGTGCAATATAGGGTTTGGCATGTGAGCCGCAGACTTCAGGGAAAAGTCATTACATGGGCTTTGTTGAGCAGGTTGAGTTCAGTTAATCTTAAGGAGTCCATATCAAAACACAAACTCCAATGCCTCTGGTTTTTAAGTCATAGCATCAGCATCAGTGTTGATGGATGCATGTTTTGGTGTTGAGATAATGAAGTATGAAGAAAGCAGTCAGCATGGTATGAGCTTTTGTCCTGTTTGAAGCATCGGTGCATGTGGATGCATCGAGAGAAGGTGGAGCTCTTTAGTAGCAAATTGTAGTATTTAAGAGAAAGCACTTAAAGTAATTCTCCAGCATAGCTCTGTAATGTGGCCTCGAGTGATTCCAGGATTAATTGAAACCAGGTTCTGTTAATGAGACATGCTTGTGTACCTGCCAGAGGGCTGCTCCTCTTTACACAAAGTTTATTTTTGAACCGAGTTTATTCAGCATTCAGCAGCAGTTGCCCAATTTTCAGCAGCTGATATATGCACCAGTGTGAGGCCAAAGAGATGTATGTTTGAATCACTTAAACCAAGACTGCGTGCTCACATAGGGGCGTGTCGGACACACACGTGCTCGCACAAACGCACTCTCTCAGACCAGACAGGAGTCGCTTCTTCTGGATTTTCTCGAGGACTCTGGTGGGATCAGGCCCGTGACGCAGCTGTTGTGACCAGCTGGGTCGGCCATGAAAAGGGAGAGGGGTCTGCAGCCAGAGACGCATGTCCATGTTTGTGTTGCAGTGTGAAGTCACTGGTGTGTATGTATGCAACATAGTGTGATAGTTTTAGTTTGAATTACTTTATTTGACAAAAATCACATGCAATAGTTAAAAAATAAGTTTCAAGTTATTGTCAGGGATAACACAACAAAGTCCAGGACTTAATTCCATCGTCGTTCCCTATGTACTGTCAGTCTTTTCGCTGTACAACAAGATGGAGACCGCCATTCAACATCCAGAGCAGGATACAAAGATGGGTAGTTGGGTACTGGTGGTGGTACAGGGGCAAAGGTAGTGAGTGAATACAGCAGAGTGGTGGGGGAGGTGGTGTTGTTGGGAAAAGTGAAAGGGATAAGAGAGTGGCTAACAGACACAGTCGAACAGCTGTCACTCCTCAGCTCTGCAGCGCTGACCCCTGTGTCACCCGACTATACAACCCTATTTCCTTATTATGTTTTATTGCAGAGAAATGCCAACATGTTGGTCTTCCTGCTTCACGCCCTCCACCTCTACATGCAAGGTTCAAAAGACATCAGTTTTGTACACGTGATTTTCTCACAGATCTTTGTAGACTTATTCCAGCGAGATTGACTCGGTTTTCTGGATTGTGAGTCTGTATGGTTCCTGTTGGTGCCATGCAGGCTATGGCTGTCCCCCCAGCCCGGAGACATGTGTCTGGCCCTGGCCTCACTTCCCCTCCACTTCTGCCTTCTGGCCTGCCTTGATCTGTCGCTGATCTGGTGAGGGAGAAAGAGGCATCTGCTGCCTTTTATGGCAAAGACTTGCCTGGGAGAACTTCACCAAGAACAGACAAAGCTGTGTGTGTGTTGCAGCGAAGACGGACTATGTACGTATGAGGGGAGGAGTGCTGGCAGAGAGGAAGTTTTCTTTATCCTAAAATAAACTAATGGCTCCAGAATTTCACCTCCCCTTACCACACAAATGTTCGCAAGAGGTGGAGGAGGCGTTTGTATGGAAAATGATGAAATTACAGAGGGAAAGAGGCAGGAAATAGCTCAGTGAAACAGAATGTTTTCAAAAGGAAAGGAAGGGGAGGGGGGCGAACGAACTGACTTGAACCTTTTACAGGAGTCTAACTTTTTTTTTTTTTTTCAGAGGGGCTTAGCAGAGCCTTTGAAAAATTGTGCGAGCTGACGGTATCTGTGGATGAAGCTCCATCCTCGGGTAAAGCTCTTTCACATGACGGAACATGTAGCTCACAGAGCAAAACCACACAGACCACATGAATGTGTCTGTGCTCTCATAAGCATTTTTTGTCTTGTGAGGAGGAGAAGGAAGCAGACAGAGATAAGGAGAAATATGACAAATGATAAAAACAGGTGTGGGAGGAGGCACAAGTTTTAAAAAAGGAACAGTAATTAAAATGTGAGTCAGAGTAGAGGTCGTGGAGTGAGGTAAATTGGAGGGATAATAGTCGGGGACACAAAGATGAAGGACAAAGGGCAGAAAGAGATGAGAAGAGAGGGCAAGGATGGAACTGTGTGGCCTGAGGCTTTTGACCCTGAACAATAGGCTGTTTGGACAGGTGAGCTCGCAGCCATGAAGAGGAGCGGGTAGAAAAGAAATGCCTACAAGCCTAAAGACAGACAAGATATTGTAAAGAAACAAAGAGGATGGACAGAACGAGAGCAGAGCAACAGGAGAAAAGAGGTGAAACAGAAAGTGACCACTCATTAATTATTAGCCAGCGGTGTATTCTGCAGTGTCTTTGGTTTTTAAATGAGGCCAAAACACGCTCAGGAGCTGCCTGATAGGAAGAGCCCAATACCTTGATGAATCATTACCTAACAAATGAGAACCTGAGCGGTGTTGTGTGTGTCCATGTGTGTGATTGTGCAAGTGTTGGTCCTTCAGATCTTTTCGCAGAAGGCCTAAAGGCAGTTTAGAGCTAAGTATGTCTCCTGACAGCTAAATTAGACATGTAAAGGGGGGAACTTAAACATTTACAAAGCCAACGGCTGCTAGTTCTGTATGCATCCACATGTTGACATGCTTGCCCTTGTTTGCTGAGTTGGAAAGCAGGGCGACGCTTCCTGGAGAGGGGAATTAAACTGCAAAGGGCTTTTGAACACTGTGCTCTGGCCAAGAGGCCTCGTGCTCCGCAGTCTTGTCATGTTTTGTAAGTGTTTATTAGTTCCCATGGATATCAGCTGGTCCTGTGTCGATCCACCTCCTCTCCTCATTCCTTTCTCCCCCTCTGCTCCCACTCCCCGCTTCTGTTCTCTATCCTTTATCCGCTATCCTAAATCTATTTCTTATATCTCTGGCTGCATGTGGACGGCGAATTTCCTGCAGAAACCCCACTAGTCAAGGCTTCTTTCCTGTAAAGTCCAGCATTAGTCGCAGCAGAGCCTGAGTGAAAGTGAGAAGGGTTTTGGCTGCTGCCGGAAAAAAGTGTTTATGATCCCTCGTCATTAGTGCTGTTAGAACAGCTCTAGCTGGTCCAGGAGCCGGAGCTGCTGTCTTCTGGGAGTGCGACTGGGAAAACGGGAACGGGCGAGCCAAGAACACATGGCTGGATCATTGTGTTTAGACAGAGGGTGTGGAGAGAGGAGGGATGAGAACTGGAGATTGAGGCGGTGAGCGAAAGACAAGCGGAAATGACGGTCAACAAAAGCTCAATAAATCCTGGGAGCAAATTGAAGCTCCCCTGTCCTTAAACAATCCCAAACAACAGTAGCAGAGCCAAGATGGAGCGAAATAAAGATGTAGGGAAAATTTGGGAGCGGGGGTCACTACACTGAGGAAAACATTGAAGAGCATGGGCAGTCGATTGCATTAGTCCCAGATTGTCCCAGACAACAGTGCCTCTGTTCATTCCTCTCACTCATGTATCAAGTCTTTCAACCTTTGACCTCAGATTACACTGCGGTTACTGATACAGACAGGGAGCTGAGGGAGGAGAGGTTACAGCCCTGGAAGTGCAGGAAGGGTGTGATATGGCATTCCCGTGCTAAAACTAGCAGTGGAAGTACAAGGCGCTGAGGACGGCCGTCTGTGTGGATGCTATAGACCTAACATAGGGTCAGAGGTTAGATTTGGGGGTCATGTACGGCAATAGAGGACTCTTTGTTTGGTCTGTTTAGGTTGCCGTGAATTCAGTTTTGGAAAAGTCATTATGTCGTCCATGTTTTATAGATCTCTTTGCCTGAGCTCAGGCTGTTGTATCTACATAACGTTTTGTCTGCTAGTAGCTGTTTTTCATTTCCAGTGCATTTAGCGCATGACAAGTAACCTGGGCTGACTTTCCAGTTTATCAAGTGGAGTTTTATTGCAAAACCAACTTGTGCTGAATTGTCCTGGTTGGCTCAGCAGTTGGCGACCTGAAAATCTGGTTGGACACACATATGTTTTACAGTTTTATCATATAGAAGTGTCTGAGAAAAAGTCCAGAAATGTGTCTTTACATTTCTTCCCATTCTTTTACAGTGTCCAATTAAACAGTAAAAATCTCGCTCTGTAATTTCCTTAATTTTTTATTGCCCATATAAAGTCCTTTGCAGCTGCTTAACCTGTCCTCTTTCCCTCTGCCTTGCAGGAAGTCGAAGACGAAGCCAAATGGAAAGAAGCCTCCGGCAGAAGAGAAGAAGCAGTACTTGGAGCTAGAGTACACAAAAATACGCGTGGTGGACTTTGACCTCAAGGAGCTGGTGGTGCTGCCCAGAGAGATAGACCTCAACGAATGGCTAGCCAGCAACAGTGAGTGACTGCGGTGCAATGAGAGAATATACATAGGATGCATGAAGTTGCTCAAACAGTTGGACGTGTTCCTGAACAGACAACAGAAACCAGTGCTGTAAATACTAAGCCTGTGAGCAATTTAACAGTCATTGTTAAAATGTGAAATGGGCCTATTAATCTTATTTATGACATAAAAATTCTTTGGTCCAGCTCAGTGTTTGCTCCGATTTATTTAGAAAAGTCTTCCTCAAGGGTTTGGAATTGTTTTTCCAAATTGGTATGCACTTGTCTGGAGATGACGAGATGTTCCTGCGGCGCTGAAGCCAAGCCCTTAACATGATCCAGGCCTGGCACAGCGTTGAGTCTGTTCCCAGTAACACCACACCGCTTCTTTAAACACCATCCTTTACTGCCAGCTCCAGTGCAGTGTTTTAGCTTGCGCTGAAATTTATAGTTGTCATTATGAGCATCATTTCTGGAGTTTTGTAAACGGCCTGGCTGCTTGATCGATCTTACGAGACTCTTTATTTTGTCCGTCTCTCTGTCTTTGTTTTGGTTACGTATCCTCACCAGGTGCTCGCAAGGGTAAAGGAAAAAACAAGCATTCTTTTCCTTTCTGTTTTAGACTGAAAACACTCAGTTATGTAGGACAGATGGGACGTGTTTTCACATGTTAATGTGTTGAAATTGGAGGTTATGTAAGCTGGCTTGTATCAGCTTGTATCCCCCCACTAATTGCTCTTTAGCTTCAGCACAAACAAAAGGGACGAGCAATGTTTTGATTAAACAGTTTGTTTAAGCAATCAATGATGATGATTGGAGTCATTTAATTCAGCCCACAAGTAGAAACCAGCACTTGGATGTTTTCTCACTTGGTGGCTACTTTGTTGAGCAGGAGAAGCAGTGATGGGTCCTGTGCTGTTGGGTTCCTGCAGGATGATACAACGGATCTGTTTTCATAAATTGGACTCGGCTCAGTAGAGCAACTGCTCCGTTCTATTCAGAAGCCGAAATTATTACTACTTGCGTACAGTGCCAGAGAACCCATCAGCAACCTCTGGGAGCGAGAGACAATATTTTGGGCTTATCCGGTGTAGCCAGCAGATATCCGAGGAGACTTCCTCCTCTCTGCAGTGCGTGCTGGTCAATTTTGCTAATCTCTGTCAGCAGATACTGCATAGGAATGCAGATAAATCTGAAAAAAGCTAATACGAAGCTAACGTGGCGTCAGACACTCGCCAAAGAATCCTGAGATTGCAGTTCCTCCAATACATTCCACCTCTTCGTATGTACTGTTTACCTGCCACTCAAACATGATTCGTCAGTGCTACTTGGACTAAAGATAGAAACCAGAACGCCTCAGATAACAAAACCTTGTCCTGTCTGAATTCATCTGTGGAATCTGATATTAGAAATGACCTCAACATTCTGCAGGTAGAAACTGCATTGTAGCCACTCAACATGATAAAATAACTTTTGGACAGATTTAGCAACAACAAAAGAAACTAGAATAAGTAAAAAAAATAAAGGTAGTATCACACAAAGTCAGCCATTGCTTCTACTCAACTTTTTCCCGCCTTATTTTAGCTTCTTTAACTGCTGGACTCTTTATTGAAATCTTTAAGCTAGTTATGGATGATTTTGGTGGCATTGCTCTGCTCTAAAAACTCTCTTCAACACTGAATGTTTACTTTACGTACATGATGAATGTTTTTTTCCCCTGACATGTCAGCTAAATGAATTGTTTCTAGTTGGAGTGTCACCACACCACAAAGTTCTCATGAGTCTAACATACAGAGCAAATATTTTGATCAAGAGATAGTCTCTTGTCACAGAATACACCCCAGATTTTCTTTGTTTTGCGCCTGAACAGGCTGCATAGGAGTTCCCTTGTGGCAGAAATACCTGTTTTAGTTTTAACTTACTGGAGCAACAACTTAAATGGTTGCGAAAGCTGCGGCCACCTCCCATGTTTTCCATTTCTTTTTTCTGGGGCTCACGCGTTGTTGAAGTTTGTGACAGATTAGTGTGTGCATTTGACTGTGACTGTTTCATCGATCACCGTGACAGATGCACTGCGCCATACAATACTGTGGGTGTGTCATCCTCATCTATAGGAGAATGTGACATGACACTGATGGTCCTATTTTATGATCTGTTGGTATTTTAATCATTCACATCAGTCTGGCACAGAAAAATATTTAGATACTATGATTTATTTATGGAGCAGATGGCACATGCTGACTAACACGCTCTGAAATCTCTCTCTTGTCTTTGCCACAGCAACAACATTCTTCAATCTTATCAACCTGCAGTACAGCACCATCTCAGAGTTCTGCACTGGGGATACCTGTCAAGCCATGACGGCCTGCAACACGTAAGTTACCTCCACCGCTGTTGGTTTATTCATCGCTCACCTGCAGAGGCCCATTTGGTTTATTTATCAGAAATTGGTTAATTCATCAAGGGGATACTTCCCCCGGTCGACAAGGGACGACTCACAACGTGGAGGGTGCACTCAGGTTAATTTGGGTCTTTTAACTACCCCACTCAGTCCATCTTGGAATGTGCAGTATGCAGCTTTAATGCACTGCAGCAGCTGTATTTTTACCTAAGGGCTGTTGCACGTTGAAAATGGCACCGTTGTGTCTCCACGTTTGCAGTGTCTGTTTTTCAGCACTGCATGCTTCAAGGATATTTAGCATTTTTTCACGTCTCTAAGCTATGATTCAATATGTGGCTTCAGCAGTCTCTTTAGGACCTCTTTTCCCACCATCGCTAGCTACAAACTCGTGTGAGCCAAGACAGTAACAATTGACCCACATTCTTCTTATTATTTATTGTGTTTTTAGGTCATTTGTGCTATAAAACCCCATGAAAATATATCCTGTTTACCAGTCAGGAAACTGCTAATTGCCACTGTCCCTACTCATTTATAACGCCATTATTATAATAGCACAGATTTTGAGTCAGATAAAAGGCAGCAGCCCAGAGGTCAGAAACAGGACACATCAGGATTATTTTACTGTTTTTTGATCCCTACAACTCAAACACACCCAGTGCAGCTGCTGCATCAGGTTAGCTGTGTATCAAATACAGCAGGCAGACCTGGTGTAGCTTCACCTTTAATCCCCTGCGGACCAGCCAGGAGTTTCTTGTTGCTATCTGAAGTCTGCTACCGTCATCATATTCACATTACACAGTGCCTAGAAGGAGAGCTGAGATCAAACTGTAACCAAATGTTAGTTATGTTTAATTGCTGGCTAATTGATTAGTAATTAAAGGTGGTTAATGGCTTTTGTGTGCAGTAAAAGTGGCATATCTCCGCAGTAGTTGATGTTAAAGGATATTCATAACACGGAGGCTTACTCAAGCCATGTTAACACAAGGGAGGTGACGGAACTGTAAGCATTTATCTAACTAGTTTGCCCTGTCGGGGCGGGGTGCCGTCTTTATGTGTGAGCCCTTGTTTTTCGAGAGAGGCTGTCATTTCCCCTGTGTATACTGGAGGCTGGAAAAACCTGATTACCGACACTTTGAGAAACCGCAACACTCACTACACAGCTCCTGACGTATTACATGCAGCAATGGCGCTCACCCACGCACTCACCCTGGATTAAAAATACGACAAACAACACAAACATTGAGAAATGACACATATATGACAGATCTGCTGCGAGAGATAAACTCGTCACGAGTTAACCTCTTTGTCAACAGTGGATTTTTCCACTGCTGTCACCTTAAGCTGCCGCTACTAGCACACACCCTGAGAAATGGAAGAAGCCAATGAGCTTCGCCTGCAGTATGTGAAGAGTGGAGAGAGCCGTGCAGATTAACATGTTTGTGTTTGCACTGTCTATTGACCTGTGGAAAACAGAAGCAACGTCTTAAAAACATGTTTTTCCCACAGCTCCACTCGGGATTCAACTAAAATGTTTAATGGATTTTGGTTTGACTCGCGTTCTCACTATTAAAACTGCGCTTCTAAGACGAGGCCGACCATTTATGATTGTACCTTCGCCTCTGCCCATTGCCCAGCACCCCACCCTTTCCTGGCGGTGCAGGACCTGGCACCCGTGCCCCCTCTGTGGTGAAAACTGACTGAGCCACAGTCGCAGCAGCGTCAGTGCCCCTGCCCGAAGGCAGAGCTCAGCACTATTTTTGGAAGAAAATGTTTCCATGAGCTATGAGGGAACGGAACCATTTGGTAGCTATTTAGACCCATTTTGTATGGGTGGGTGGATGGATGGATGGGTGTGTGTGTGTGTGTGTGTGTGTGTGTGTGTGTGTGTGTGTGTGGGAGAGACAGAGATGTGTGGTAATGTGCTCACACTGTTAAGTAGTGGTTCTTAAAGCCGGTTCCATTTTGGATTCAGTTGGTAAAATACACATACGCACTAAGCGCCTCTTATCAAATATTTAATATCCTGTTTACACAGAGCGAACAGAACATTCAGGTTGTCATTTAGCTTAATTACAAGCTTTTAATCTGTCGCATAAACTTCACTCTTTGACTATCAGTCTTAAAGTTACAGCTGTTGTTTCATTACTTTTATTGCATCCTTTAATCAAGCACACACTGTGCAGGCTAGGACTGAACAGTTAATCACAATATTATCGAAATCACAGTGTGGCCAAGTGCAATATCCAAACCGCAGGAGCTGCAGTTTTTTGATAAAGGTACAATGTGTCACAGCATGCCGTTATTAATGAGGCATCATGGTGCTACAGAGATGCCCCAGCCTACAAGTCATACTCTACAGAAGAAGAGGAAGATATACTTTATTAATCCTCGAGGGGAAATTCAGTTTTCTTTCACTCTGCTGTCATATATGTACACACAGACCCAAAATACAATCTCATGCACAAACAGAACCTATACATGCATTAATGGAGAGATGTCAGAGCGACATACTTGTTTGGTACAGCATCACATAATCATTTTTAGGTTTTTTTTCCCCAGTAAAAATGAACTGCAAAAGTACCATTACCACCAAAATCAGATTGATGGCAATATCTGTCCAAATAATGGTAATATGACTTTTTTTAATTACATATAGTGCAGGCTTTGTGCAGGTGCAGCCAGATATCACTCAGCCACATATCAGCATATATTTTGTTTGTCCCCACACTGTACAGTGTGCCACCATTCCCTCCATTATGATCATTTAACCCACCTTGTAACCACTTAACTAATATAAAAACAATATCTTGAGATTACAGAGGAAAACAAAGATTATATAATAGATAATAAATACACCAAAAACATAAAATACACTGTTTATATATTTAAGAAAGTGCCTTAAGGCAGCTATGAATCCAATTCATCCCACTACAAGACAACTGTGACAAACGAAAGTGACAAACTCGAGGTACAAAATAAGATTTATTTTTTAATATAAAGTACACAAAGGTTGCATACCTTTGGTAAGAAACTTGTAAAAATGTATATTCAAAGAAATCCTATCAAGCCCCAACCCATGTGTTAGTAAACAGAAGGTAAACTGGGGTGGGCGGAAGAATCGATACAGCATAGTAGTGCAGTACTTTGTGTGACAATGTTGTATTGATACAAGGACACGTATCACACAAGTATCGATTCTTTTATTTTATAAATTCTTAATATTACAAATACTAAATTAAATTTTGGTAGCCTACTAGAATTTTACAATGAATTGCTTTTCAGTCCACCGAGTACATTTTGCTGCAATTAAAATGATTGAAGTGAGACGCACAGACTGAACTTTGTCTTTAGACTTTAGACTTCAGCTTTTTAGATAAAAACAGATGTTGATTAAGTGTCCCTTAAAGGACATAATTTGCAGTTGGAGAAGGGTAATAGATTACAATATACCACAGGATGATATCACAATACACAGCATACCATTAAAAATCACAATAATAGTAGTTTGTGACTCAAGTATCATGGTGATATCGTGTCATGGGGCCTCAGCTGATTCCCTCCCTAACGTAAACCCTCCTCTGCAGCAGAGCTTCATACTGAATGTGGCCACAGCTTCATCATGTCTGGGTCAGTGTGTCTGAGTGAAGAAGGCATGTTTGTAGTTTATTCTGTGTCTCTCCCACACACAAACACACAGTCTAATCCTGAGTGAGTAAGTGCATTGTAAGAGTCTGGTGCTGGTGCTGCGGTCAGTAGGTCCCCTCCTGCAGGGTCAGTTATGTGGACGCTTTACATTCCTCAGGATTTGTAATGTCTGCCCCACTGCCTCCCAGACTCACACCTGCATGCACATTTCTTTTCACTCTTTCATCAGGTTATTAATTGACCTTTCCAGCTCGCCGATCAGTCAGCCGGCCCTTTGTCTCGGTGGTTACCAGTCCTGTTTCACTGCCTCTCCCCTTGTTAGCTCATTCATTTATCCCTAAGGTGTCTACCGACCCGCTAGTGTGACTCGTTCTGTGCTGCTGACCTGCTGTCTGACTTTTGTTAACCATAACTCAGATCCCCTGCCTACAAATAAGCTATGTGGGTCACCCCCCTCTGGAAATGTTTGATCAGCAGCAGGACTGGGGGGTCGTCAGTGTCCCGTTAACTCCCAGAACAGCAGGGACTTTGGCCCAATCAGGAAATTAAAGCTCAGGGGCACAGAGTTCAGAAGGTCCAGTGGTATGAAAACATGCAAACATGATAACGGGGTAATATGACACATGACCGTATTGTAATTCTGAACCACGTCATCCAGAAAGTGAATCGTCACTGGGTGTGTTGGTTTTCCCCGAATGAGGAAATAGGACGGTGATGTCTCACAGGCTAATTATGTCTCACAGCTCACGTGTGTGTTGTTTCTCTTCCCGCTTGAGTGACACTGACCGTTTTATGCACCAGGAAATGTTCTTTTACTGTCTGAGCAGCTCTTGCTTCAACCACAAGCATTCTTTAGAAAATATTCATTATGATTAATTAACACTCAGTTGTGTCACAGTATCCTGTTTCGATGATGTGTCTTTCCTGCTGTTTTGCAAGGCGTACATGACAACATGAATTGGCATGTCTTCTTTGTCTTTCTCTATAGAATATACTACTGGTATGACGAGAGGGGGAAGAAGACGAAGTGCACTGCTCCACAATATGTCGACTTCGTAATGAGTCTTTGTCAGAAACTGGTCACAGATGAGGAAATCTTTCCAACGAAATACGGTGAGTGTCCCTCTGAAGGTTTGATGACTCCTGGGAGTAAGTCATGTTATAGTGCTGCCCCCTGCTGCTTCACATGGATAGAGTCAGTGACAGAGTGGTGGTCCCATACACCAAGTATTTGAAAGAAGTTATAGTGATGTTACTTGGGGCTGCATTTTACAGTTATATTCAGTATAGAATAATTAGCTGGTTCATTTCTTGATTAATTGATTAACCCTTTGCTTTGTAAGATAAAAAAAAATAGTGAAAAACAATAGTACAAGTTGAGATATTGTGACTGAGTCCTGCAGGGATGACTTTTTTTGTTGGCTGACCCAGAATTTAGTGTCACCCTGGTTCCCTCGTCAAATAGCCAGTGGGATTTTCCCATTTGACTTTGGATTAATGCAGAAAATAAGCTCCGTGCCAAACAAAAGTTTATGATACTTACGCAGTGTTCACATGAAATTCATCAGATGATAGATGGCAGACCTGATATCATTTTAGTGGATGAGTGTAGGATGGTAAAATTAGGTGAGGACAGCAGTAGTAACTATAGACAACATTGAAGAAGGAAGAAGCAAGCATTTCTTCATCAGTCCTTCAAGGAGAAATTCAGTTTCCCCTTGTTGTCACAGTTAAAATATTTTAAACTTCTGCTGTCCTCCCAGATTGAATTTACAACCAAGTGTTACGTAGCTTTATGCATGGTGAAAACACGGGCAATCTGGACAATGTTTGGACTTTACTAGGAAAAATTACATCGAATAATAAACACAGAATAATTTGATTTATGTTTTATTCCATTCTTTGTAAACAATCTGGCATGATGATCGCAACATATCATCAACACACCATCCTGCCATTCCGCTTTTTATTTTTCCCGTGCTGTCCGTCTGCCTGATTCCATGTGAATGCAACATTACACATTTTGTTAAGCAAAATAATCTTTACAAATCAACACCACTTTTATGATTCTTTAAGTGGAAACGCAATTGGCAGAAATAAAAAGCTAACTTTAGGCTGTAAACAAACTACACCAAGTCGCATGACTTAAAAGTCAGCACCTCAACCAGGGTGTAAATCTGTCCGTAGTCTCATTGAGCAGCTTGTTAGCAACCATCTTTTTAAAGATACATAAGGCTTCCAAATTCATGAGTGGGGTATTAACTAAAGTATTTTATGCCGTACAACAAAACACAAAAGTCTCTTAAGCTTGTGTTAACCACAGACTTTATTTCAGGCATCTCACCAAAACCACATTCATAAAAACGTTGACTTTGAGGCGAGGGAACCAGGAGTGCAAAAATGCTAACTCATTGCCGCATGTTAGGACTCATTCCTGTAGCACTTCATTATTTGAGCAACTCATCAATTAATTAACTAGTATTTCTGCTCAAATATAATTCAAAAGGCCAGAGGTTATACTGATAGTCATTAAAAAATAACATTGGTGATAGTCTGTTTTTCTTTTTTTTTTTTTGCCATAAATCTCATTGAAAGACCAAAATAATGAAGTGTTCCTACTGATTTGTATTCCTCTCTGTCACAGAGCTCCAGTGTCGTTCAAAAACGATTAAAAACACATAAATGGGCACCACTAGGTGACATTGGTTATTACAACGAACATGGTTACTATAGTTTATGTTGAGTTGATTTAATAAACTCCGTCCTGCTGCGGTAAATAGAGATGTTAGAGCACCAGTGGTGTTGTTATCCGTGGCTGAAAATAGTCTCCAATGAATGAGCTATTTCAAGTTTGAGTAATTTTTCAACTGACTACAGTACAAAGGAAATTATTTAGCCCTTTTTTATATGAAACTTTATATTTATGACCAGGTTTTAAAGGTTTGCATCTTTAGTATGAACAAATAGACTTGTGGATGAGTGTAGTAGTGAACAGAGAGTATTTGGAGACAGACAAACACATTGTTGATTTTGGTGTTTCACAGGACTTGTTGATGATATAAAAATCCACACAACACCAGCCTTGTCATTTAAACTCCCTCGTGGTGACTCCTGTCTAATCCCGTCTCTCCTGTGTGTTTCTTTTCTCCCTTCAGGCAAAGAGTTCCCCAACTCCTTTGAGTCCTTGGTAAAGAAGATCTGCCGGTACCTGTTCCACGTGCTGGCTCACCTCTACTGGGCGCACTTTAAAGAGACGGTGGCTCTGGACCTGCAGGGCCACTTGAACACTCTGTATGCACATTTCATCGTTTTCGTAAGGGAATTCAACCTGGTCGACCCCAAGGAGACCTGTATCATGGACGACCTGTCCGAAATCCTCTGCACCCCCGCCCCACCACCCGCGCCCACTCCGGCCCCTTCTGCCCCCGCCTCAGCGCCCTCCCCCTCTTCACAAAACCACGTGACGGAGAGATGAGCGGGGGGCGGCGGTCAGACAGCAGCCCCGGGGGTGATAGAAGATAAGATAGAGGAGAGAAGGAAAGACAGCCTGGCCCCCTTCCTCGGTGCCAGCAGGACTTAGAGACCTTCCACTACCCTTATATTTCGCTACGACACCAACCAACCAGCCGGAAGGAAGGGGGGGAGGGTTTTCGGGGGGTTTGGGGTGGCGGGGAGGGGTTTGTCACGCCAGCAGGAATTGGCGTGAGCGTTCCTCCCAGGGGCAAATCCCTCCCATCTTCTCTGCAATTTAAACTAGGAACAAAAAAAGTATGTGTATGTTTTATTTTTTGGTTTTATTTCACTTTTATTTTTGTTGAAGTTTTATTCAGTTTTTATTTTTTGTTGTGGAGGGGGGTGCAGCGTGTCCGTCGACCCTTCACCTCCCTCTATCCTCTACCTAACATACAGTACAGGAAGGGGGCTCTGCTTTGCTTCAACCTACTATTGTACAGTGTTGTTGATGTGTGGAGAAGAGGCGTCTCTGCTCACCTGCGGGCTCGTCCTTCCCTCCGCCTGCAGCGACGGGAGGCAGCCCGGCAGGGGCACGGCCACTACGCTGGCCAGTAGGGAGCCACGTTACTGCCTGACGGGGCGATACTAGCCAATCACTGTTTGGGTTGTTTATGTGGGGGATGATTAAAGCGCTTCCTACTCAGGACCTGAGAGAATACGTCACTGCTGCCAGAGAGAAGTCTCTCTTTTTTTTCATTCTCTGTCCCTTGTTCACCAGTCCTTCATATGACAGATGTGGATCGTGTTTAACTACAGTATAGTCACATATTCACCTGGTGTACCCCTAACAAACATGTCCCTGAGCAGACCTGTAGAGGGCAGCAAACATGAAGAGAACGCCACAGAAACAGGGAGACAGAGAAGAAAATGTAAAAGATTGTATGTTGGATATTTAATCTGATCAGAGAGTTTGAGACAGACTGGTGCCCGTATGAGTCAGAGTTGTTTGCTGGTGTTCAGCACAGCAGCAGCAGCCCCTTCATCCACCAACACCGCCACCGACACCCACTCCAGCTGCACAGAAGGACAAAGACATGAGGTAATGTCTGCAGGCCCAGAGAGGCTGAGGTGGAGATAGAAAGAGGGGTGGGAGTCGAGGGTGTGGAGCTGCTCTGCTGTTGAACGGTCACCAGTGCTCCCAGTTCAAAACTAAAAACAAAAAATCTCCACTTCTGGTTTATTGTTTCAACCTGTCCCCTAAAATTTGCTTCTTTTTAAAAAGAAAAGATTATCAGAGGAAAATTAGTTCAGAAATAATAACAATAATGGTATCATTACACATGTATAGAAAATGCACAGTCTGCTTGGACTTTACTGTACAAAGAATCGCAAGCGGGTTTTGTCAGACATAGCCTCTGTATGGAGGAGGATTGGGTTTATAATTCTCCTTTTTTATTTATTTTAATTTTTTTTTTTTTTTTTTTTTTTGCAGGGTTCTTCAGTTCTGGCTCTCGTTTTTATGTATTTTAATTATTAACTAAGTTAAAAGCAATTTAATATTTTAAGCTCTGCGGATTATAATCTAATAAAAGAGAGAAATGCCACCTGGCCTCAGTGTCTTTTGTGTCAATGTGTTTGTGTGAATAATGCAGGAGGACAGAAACATGAGCGTCTGGTGCGCGGCTGCATAAAAACAATGCTATTTTTAAAGGGGAACTGGATTCATTTGTGCACACAGTTTACTCATCACGAGGACTGAGCCTGGAAAAACTGCTGTGTAATGACTGAATCATACTAAATAATCATCATTCTTACATTTTGACTCATTTGTCTCTTAATGATAAATGATATATCAGGCTATTGGTTGAAGCTGGTTATGACAGATAGTGGAGTGATTAGATATGTTTGTATCATTTGTGTCATTTAGCAACAGTTTAGTGCAACTTGTCCACTGGAGAGCAATGACAAGTGATCTGTTAAATGCCTTGCACAATACATAATAGTCTTACTGTTTTAATACCAAATTGAAGTGTTTCTTGCCAAAAATATTGCCTTATCGTTCCTGGATTTTTGACCTCAAACCTCCAGGAACATTCCAGCTCTGCTTTTGGAGCCCCAAACTGTAAAGACGTGTGATACTAAATCATTAGGGTTTCCCTCTTGAAACATATCCTCCTGAGACCCTGTGTCCTCATGAGGACATCACATTTTGGGTTTACGTGACCTCATACTTCATTCTTAACTTAGACCTGTTGTTCTCGTTCGTGGACACTTTTTTTTGTGCCATCTAGTGAGATCACAAAATACTAATCCATGTAAAAACAAGATGGCAGCCATCTCTGCCAATTCAGTCTGCAGCCGATCCAGACACAGAGGTGGAGTTTGATGTGGCAACAAATTTTACCAAGTTTGGCAACAGCAACAGACTAAGACTGTTAGGAAGTACTCGTTTGAGGACATTAGGACTTAATTACCATTGATAATGTTTAGTTTTTTTATACTTTTCAGGTCCTACTGACCCCAAATAGCTAGGAGAAATTAAAAATGCATACCAAACAAAAGTTAGGGACTCAGGAGCATATAATGTGGCCTCTCCATCCACAACACAGTTTCCGTAAAGCATTCTCCTTTATTTCTTTTAAATACATGCAGTCACTCTTTATTAATAATAATAATAATAATAAAAAATCAAGCATATCCAAAGTGGACTTCCTGTTCATTCTGGGTACCAGGACTCCTCACAGTTCTCAGTGCATTCTGTCTTTGTGCATTCTTCTCACTGACCCTGAGTAAAAAGCTTGATGATGCGTGCATACATCTGGCTGCAGAGAGATGTAATGTGGATTACTGATTGCAGGCATAGGCATAGATATCAGGGGGAAAGCAGGGAACACACCCCCTTCAATATGTAGAACATGTGCATTTGTCCCCCTTAATAAAAACATGAAGATAGCAGTGGAGTTTAAACAGAACTAGAGACATTTACACCATAAATTGATGCAGAAATTGTACAATTTGGTGCATAAACTTAATTAAGTGTTTGGTGCTCCACATATTCTGGCGGAGGACCCCCAGTGTTGAAACCAAACCTGCCCCCTTGATTACAGCTGCTCCGTAACATGTATTAATTATAAAATAAATATGATTTTGTCATTTCACTATCTTCAAACTTAAATAATAAATCATTATATAAAATGCTGGTTGACATAGATCAGTTCACTAGTCCTCCATCCTGGTCCTGTGGACCAACGTAGAGCCCCGCCGCCTTCTCACAATCGGCCGCAAGGTGAGGCCCTCGTTCAGCTTAAACCGAGCGATGCCTCCCGCCTCATCCAGCGTCTTGGCGCTGCAGCACGGTGTCGGCACCTTCATGGTGTTACCGAACTTGGAGTAGTCCACCGCGTACATGCCGTCCTCCTCTGAGACCGTAGGCACGAAGCGCTGCCCCCACAGAATCTCATCCGACACGTAGGAGGTCCTGGCCTGCGTGGTGATGCCCGTGGTCTCCACCACCCCCTCCAGCACCGCGATCACCTCGATGTCCTGATGCTGCAAGTCAAAAGCTGACATCTCATACAGAGGGCTGTCCTTGTCGATGACGTGACAGATGATGAGGGGGGACACCAGGAAGACACCGTTGGTGCCCACCGGGTTATCCATGTGGATGTCGATCTGGTCCAGAGGCACGAACTCGCCCTCCTCCGTGGTGGTTCTCCTGACCACCTGCAGCCGCACGGTGGCGCTGATGATCATGCTTTTCCTCAGGTCCCCGATGCGGATCATGAAGCACAGCTTGTTGTTTCGGACGGAGATGACGGCGTGCTTGCTGAAAATGAGCGTCTCCGCGCGCCGATTGGCCTGCGCAGTTTTCATGAAGATGCAGCCGAGCATGATCGCGTTGATGACCAGGCCGACGATGTTCTGCACGATCAGGATGATGATGGCGGAGACGCACTCCTCCGTGATCATCCGGCCCCCGAAGCCGATGGTCACCTGGACCTCTATGGAGAAGAGGAAGGCGGATGAGAAGGAGTGAATGTCCGTTACGCACGGGACAAAATCGTCTCCTCTCTCGTCCAGGTCGCCATGCGCAAAGGCGATGAGCCACCAGATCATCCCGAAGAGGAGCCAGCTGCACAGGAAGGACATGGTGAAAATGACGAGCGTGTGGAGCCATTTTAAATCAACCAGAGTGGTGAAGACGTCCTGCAAGAAGCGACCCTGCTCTCGGATGTTAGTGTGCGCTACATTGCAGGTGCCGTTCTTGGCGACGAACCGAGCTTTCCTCGGCTTGGCTTTGAACTTTGGCTGAAGGACATTCTCAGCCAAACGTGTCAGTAAGTAATCCTCAGGAATGATTCCTTTCCTGGACAACATATCGCTCCCATACTATGGACCCGCAGCCTTTTGGCTCTGAAGGCACTGGTTTGTCTCTGCCTCGCTGAGAGAAGCTTTATTTTCCTCTTTCCCGGTGCTTTTATCACCGATCAGTCAGCCCCTCAGCAGCTGCCGGGCGCAGCAGGGAAAGTCTAGTTGTCGCCCGTTTTCTGGAGGTATGTGCGCTCCTCACGTTGCCTCCAGATCAGGCGCTCCTCAGACGCGAGGTCCCAGGAGAAGGTTCTCCTTCCAGCTCTGCCAGCTGCCGCCGTCACTCACGACACCCACCGACCAGGGCATAGATGTGCCACACCGCCCTGTCCCATTGTGAAGCCACCACACCGGTGGCGTGCGCTCACCGCGGACATTCAGTGAGATGTAAAATGTTGATGCAGCAGCATAATGGGCCTCAGAGCTGAGTTTTATTACCTTTGGATAACAAAGCAGGCTTCAGTGGCGCAGTTGGCTCTGCGCTGACTCCGCCACTTAACTATAGCTGGGTAACGTGAGGTGGAGACGTTGTGAGGTGGAGAGGTACTCCCTCCCTCCACCGTCTCTGTGGTGTGGTGTGGTGTGGTGTCCTTCCTGTGGTGTTCAATGAGAATGCAGGAGTGGACCCATTACGCATTATAAAAAAACATCTCAGCTGTGCAGCCTGAACGCCAAAGGCAGCTCGTGCTGTGAATACATAATAGGTTAAATATAGGGCACTCTACTGTAAATCATCCTGAGGCTGTTTGCTATAAAATATGAGTTAGTCTTTTCATATACATCCAGTCCTGGGTTTCAGAATCAGCTGGGTTTCCCCTGGTTTCCACACCACTCACAGAGACTTTGATTTACAGCGTGCTGCTGTGACATCCGCAACTTTCTCATGTCACATGTCAGTTCTAGCTGCAGCCACTCATCCCACTGTGACACCCCTGAGTCTATGAAGATGATCACTATGCTCTGTCTCTGGCTCCTTGCCTCATCTTGCAGCAGCTCCATGTATTCCTCCGCTCATTTTAAACCTGCACACCACTGATGATTTATTTGTTGTGTACAGCTCATTAAGTCTCACACAAGCACACTTATCCCCAAATAACCCCGACACACACAAACCCACATATGACTGATAATTTATGTTTTATTAACAAAGAATTAACTTTTTTATGTACAAATATTATACATGATTAAAAAATAAAATGAATATATTCCATGAGACAATTGCACTTTGAATGTCTTCCTCTAATGCCTGCTTCTCCTCTCTCCTCCTGAGCTACTTGTCTGCTCGCACGAAGGAGGTGAATGCACTGTCCTTCTTCTCCAGCAGGGCCTGGGGCCTGTCGTACTCCAGGATGATCCCCCGCTTCATCACAATCACCAGGTCGGCATTCAGGATGGTGTGGACGCGATGCTGTGCGGCAGAGGGGAAGGAAAACAGTAGTTATGTTGGACTGCGCAGAGAGACATCAGAGAGAACTGCTCCATTGTACAGCTGTCACTAATTCAGACTGACACGTCCTAAATGAGTCTTTTGAAACATAAATCAATGCTTTATTGCTTTAATGTCCCACTCAGTCACTGTTAAGTTAAAACAGGAGATGAAATAAGAGGTTCCTGTTTCAATAAAATGTCCCTCCACAGTAAAATATCAAAGGTTACAGTGGCCTTTCAGCTCATCAAAGGTCGCCCTTCTGCTTTTTAGAATAGTTCATGTGAAATATCTTAAGTGAAGAGTTACGACATTTTAACATTCGTGGATGTTGTATGTTCGTTTTAATTACCTTATCATGAAATAACCTTAAAAATCCCACATTCAAATTTGACCTGGACGCCTGACCCTGATTCCCCCGTCTTACTCTTGTCTCACCTTTTTTTTTAAATTTTCACCACAGTCCTGCAGAGACAGTTAGAAATAGCCCACGCTGCATCTGTCTGCATTGCATTACTTTACGACAACTACATCAGCAGTGTGAGACGGAGGTCAGCGCTCTCTGGGGGGAAATATGAGAGCTCGATGCATAACTGTAAATGCCTGGCACAGTGTCGGGGGAGAGATACTCACTGCTATAGTAACCACAGTTCGGTCAGCAAAAGCAGTCATCACCACTTTCTGCAGGATGCTCTCCTGTGAGGACAGAGGCGAGGGGACAGGAGGTCAACTCACTTTAATGCTGACTGAGGTTTAACGACAAAAACAAAAGTACATGTGGGAGACAAAGTGAATTAAAGAGACATTTTAACAGTTAATATGCTCTGTCATACTTTTCAGCCCGGATAAAGCTTATTTTCACCTCTCTGATAAAACGCTCAACTGTGCTTCCTCAAGGGCAGAGCAGCTGCGTTATTGTAAACTAGAAATGTCGCTCTTTGTTGAGCGATCATTCAGTGGAGGCTCCTAAGTAAGAATACTGACTCCCCTCAGGCTCTTGCTGTGCTGGGTATTTTTTTCCCTTCTTTCTTTCTTTCTTTCTTTCTTTCTTTCAGTTTCTCTATAACCCCCCACCTCCCTTCATCTTTCCTTTTACTGCTGGTTCCCTCTGTGCATATTCCTACCACCCCACAGCGCTCTGGTACCCAAAACACACTGACCGTTGCCATGTCTATGGACGCAGTGGCTTCGTCCATGATGAGGATGCTGCTCTTCCTGACAAAGGCTCTGGCCAAACAGAACAGCTGTCTCTGACCCTGACTGAAGTTTTCTCCTCCCTCCGTCACCATGGCATCTGCAGGGGGAGAAAAATACAAAAAGAATACATAAATATTAATTGGTTTCATATTTATGTACATCAGTGTATAATCTACAGATGCACAGATTTTAAACTACATATAACGCATGACATAACACTGACACCACTGTTACTTTAACTAAATGAGATGGCTAAGTTAATTGGCCGTTAACCCTTGGCTTCCAGATTGATACTGATTTTCTGTCCAAAGCTCTGTGTTACAAATGAGGCCCAGTCATGAAGCCATGCTTGAAAAACTAAAGTGCTTTAGATGTGATGTAGCAGTTTGTAGTTTCTGTCTCATTATTTTGGCATTTTCATCTACACTGGGCAGCTAAATAATAAGGAGATAGACAGGAACCAAGGCGAAAGACACGTATAACCACTGAAAATATGGGTTTTATATGATACATGGGGTGGTGGATATTTCCAAACACAATTAAATTATTTCCCTGAATTCGATATAAAGATATGAGAAAATAAAGATGTATATTTTCTGGTGTTTAGCACCTATAATGAAGTAAAACATTCATTTCTAATTTTACAAATTGACTGTGCAAAAAATTCCCATCAAAACCCCATCACTGCAGTCAACTGTGATCTGTTTTATAAACAACATAAAACTCTACATCAACACTGCGCTGTTACTTTAACTAAATTAAAGAGCAAATTAATTACCCTTGAAACCCTGGGCTACAGATCAATATCTTATTGAAGATTTGGCTCCAGTGAACATAAACTACAGCAGCCAGAAGCTCAGTTTCAACATGCCACACGCCAACACACACACACACACATTTGTCAGTGTCACACAGGACAGAAAAAAGCAGGTTTGTGTGCCTTTGTAGCAGAAATACATCAGATGAGATGAGCAGCAGTTCCAGCAGAGTAGTGAGTATTTCTTATCTCTATAAGGAAGTGTAGAGGATGCCAGAGACGTAAAAACAGAGTGATAAACTGCAAACCAGCAGCAGCTAAAGTAAGACACGGAGCAGAGCAGACGCCCCTCTCATGAGCATGCCAAGCATTCGTCATGTATGTAGGTTAAGTCTGGTGAGGAGGCGCACGTCTCTCTAATATCTGATCTGATGGTGAGACTGCTGCAGTCTGCAACTGTTGGGTCTCCTCCTGCAACAGAACCATGACCTACGTGAGCTAAGAATAATGTACGTGTGAAACTCTGCAGGACGGAGCAGCTTCACACAGAATACAGCTCCGACAGGGAGGTAAAAGATTCATGACCATGTGCTTTGATACCTGATTGAGACACTGGAGCAGCCGTGACAGACGTGATGACCGCAGAGAAGGACTGATTTTATTCATTGTGCACATCATCGCCAGTTAACTTAAATTCAGGATCTGCATCTGAACTTACACACTATGCACTATATTCCTAATATGTGTACCATCGTTCAGCATACTTTGTGTCACTTCCTGAGAGCCTCCTTGTCAGTTAGAGACACATAACCATGGTTACCTTCTGCCAACCTCCGCTCTACCGGCAATTTAAAAATACTTTTGAAACTGGAATTGCTGCCTCGCTGTTGTATGCCTCCGCAAACCAGTCAAAGTACACTTACAGTTTACATCCATGTCTGTCCAGACTCACATGTAGCCATGACAGTGGACAATGCTCCAAATATGGATGTTGCTGCAAAGAAGCTACATATGCTAAAACACGGATGCTTCACACACATCTTCAACTCGGCAGCACAGAAGATCTATACAGTCAGCACAGTTTCAAGGTGGACACCCAAGATTAGTGTCACCAAGTCAGACCATGTGATCAAATGTCTCCCCTTCTGTTCCATTTTATATTTTTAGACGTTGGTGTGAAATTTTGCGCATCAATTCTTGAGTTATGGTTTAAAACATGTTTTGATAGGTCAGTGACCTTCGTACAACAAAATCTAATCAATAAATCCTTGAGCCAAGTGGATGCTTGTGCCAAGTTTGAAGAAATTCCCTCAAGGCGTTCTCAAGATATTGCAGTAACAAAAATGGGACGTATGGGGTGTCGAGTTGTAAAAACATTACTCCTAGCAAAATGACACCTTACACTTACACTTGAATTGAAGCGTTACAGATGTCACAGACCTGTCTTGGTCGCTGTCTGCCTCTGTATGTTGTGAACGTTGTCGTCTACGGCATTGTGAGATATTTATGCCAGCATAGTGTCCAGTGTTTGCATACTGTAATATTTCACCAGAAATAGTAGCAATTCATGAACCACTGGTTTCATATGGAAGTTTCACACATACTAAAAAATCTCACATACCGTTTTAGCGTATTAAATAGCATGTTAGTATGGAATTTTGGACGCAGCCACAATTTTACGTCAAAGGGCTTTGAAATCTGTACAGCCTTACAACTCTAACCTTTACCCTCTGATGGGGTTTGGTTACACGCAGACATGCAAACAATGTTAAGAAGGAATGTTTACCATCTTAGTTCAGCAGGTGCTAATTAGACCTGAACAGTTAAGACTGATGGGAATGTCTCTTGCTTTGTAGGTATTTGGTCTTAAACTTGAGGCCCCGAGGGATCGTGAATGTCTTTACAAAACCTCGTCCTGACCTATCTACTAGTTTTTGATATATTTAAGTTTGGACAAAGTGGTGGACTGACCGAGGAGCCAACAGACAGATTGACACTGTCGTCCACAGAGTCAGGTCGCTGGCTTGGCTAGACAATCCAGTCACACTCTGAAGTCATCGTAATCTGGTGCTTGGGCAGCGACTTGCGGCGTCAGACACTGATGACCAAAGCTGTCTGTTAACATCATAGTCATAGTTTAACATCGCTCGGTGGTGTCAGGGGGAAACACGGCGGGACAAAACTAAAGTAATGGCGGCAAAAGACCTTTCACGTCGTATCTGGACGTAGAAGGTCCATGACCAAACGTCGATATGAAATAAGGTGGGAGTCGATTAGTTCTCAACTATTAAATTAATTGTCAACCAATCTGAAAATCAATTAATCGATTGGAGTAATTTTTTTAAGAGAGAGAGAGGTGTCAAAATTCTCCAATTCCAGTTTCTTAAATGTGAATATTTTCTGGTTTCATTCCTCCTCTGTGACAGGAAACTGAGTACCTTTGGGTTGTAGATAAAACAAGACACTCAACGACGTCAACTTGAGCTTATGGAAACACTGATGGACATTTTTCACCTTTTTTTTTACCTTTTTTTTTAACTCTTTTTGGACCAAACAACTGATCGATTAATGGAGAAAATAACCGATTAACTGTCACATGCACACTCACACATACACACAAAAACACATATCTCCTCACCCAGGCCTCCTGGAAGGGATTTAACAACAGGCTTCAGCTGAGCGATCTCCAGAGCTTCCCAGAGCATCTCGTCTGTCACCTTCATCTCTGGGTCAAGGTTGAACCTGCGCACAGACACACACACACACACACGCACATGCACACGTATTCATTCAACGATCAAATCTCATTATGGTGTCTATCTATTTGAAGTAATATCACTTAGGATTATGTAATGAGTATTTCAGTACATGGAGCAAAGCCTCTGAGTCAGTTCAGTCAGTCAGCTCGAGCTGGACTGCTTCATTCACACCTGCTCTGCCTCGCTGTCTCTCATCACCTATCCAGCATGTCCCTGTCAATTTCAAGCTCTCCTCTGCTCCGCCGGGACACCTAACATGTAAATAAACTTGACACTAAAATATACATTAACATGATCTGACTGACTGAAATACCCCAAACTGCAGTCTGACAGCAACACACAGCTTTCCTAAACATATCATCATCTGTTCTTCTCCAACATGACAACACTTTTATGGTCACTGCTGCTGAAGTCTAAAAATAAACCTCTCTGGTGGAGTATTCAGAGGAATGTCCTCTTATCTTTACACCCTCGGCTACACTTATGCTTCAGATAAGGTCTGCCAACTGGCTCTATTACTGGAAATGTCTGGTGTTTTGTCCCTTCTAGTAAGACTCGATTATCACCAAATCTTAACCTCAGTGACGAGTCGTCCTGCTGGTAAAACTGATAATGTTGTGAAGTTGATCATACCGGATGGCGCCGCTGAACAGGATGGGGTCTTGAAGGATGATGGACAAGCGAGACCTGAGGGTCTGCAGAGGCAGCTTGGCGATGTCGATGTCATCGATCACAATCCTCCCTGTGAAAGATGAAAAATCACACACAAACACATCACACGTAAGTTACATTACAGAGAGCAGCAATAAAGAGAAAAATCTCAGCATTTTAGGAATTAAATACATTAATAACAAAACTATTCATATATAGTGTTGCATTTTTAACCCTCTAACAGTATTTAAAATAGTCCTTTTAATTAACAAGTGTGATGTTTTACTGTACCCTCAAACATGTCCACCATGCGAAAGAAGGCCAAGGAGAAAGAGGATTTGCCGCTGCCTGTCCTGCCACAGATTCCCACCTGCAAACAAACAGGTCTGTGTCATCATTATCAACAATATTCAATTGTTTATTCATCATATTTTCTGGCATTTGTTTCCAGTTTTAACACACAGGTTTCCTCAGGTTGGATACCTTCTGCCCAGGGCTGATGTGGGCGTTGACATTTTTCAGCACAGGTTTCAGTGTGGCGTCGTATCGGACACTCAGATTCTGGATTTTGATCTCTCCCTCTCGGGGCCAGCCCTCAGGGACCTGAGACACACCTGGGACAGACGCAGAAACATCAGTAGATTTTAGATTTCAACATTATTTAATTACTTAGTATAATGGTTTATTGTTAACTCTAATGTGCGATGACTGGAGCCAGATTACGATTTTTCTACTATGTTTAAAATCATTAAAATCCTCACCAGACAGGAAACATGTATGTACAACAGTACTTTATAAAAGTGGGAGAAAGCTACATTTCTCACGAGCATTATGATACCATCTGGGCTGACAATGATCAATGTGGAGTAAACGTAGTGTAACTTTAAACTTTATCCTGAATGGGGAAAAAAATCACCAGATCACCAGAGACCAGATATAAATTGTTTGTGCAGCTGCTGACTCAGTGAAAGAGGGTTTAATTAAAGAAGGAACTGTGACTGTGTTGCTGCACTCACTGAGCAGTCCTTCGTAATTCTCTGGTTCAGTTTTGAGCAGGCCGTTAATCCTCTTGACTGAGCCAAGCTGTACTTCCATGTCTGCCAGGTTACGCACCATCCAGTTCATGTAGTTGGATACCTGATACATGGAGGAAGGAAGGAGGAGGAGGAGGAGGAGAAGGAAGAGGGTGAATAGAGTTGAGTTGGGTAAATGTCACTGTAAGCACACACTTCATTAGCTTTGTGAAGCATTTGTCTGATAGTGTAATGTGTTTTTAAATGGTTTTTGTACTATAAGAGGGATTTTCTCAACTTCTGATTGTTCAGTTTAGATGAAAATTTTAAAATCACTAAATTTGGAAACATTTCACTGGACAGAAATGATATATGTTGAGAAAGAGGCAAGTTTTAATACCAGATTTGTTTGTTTGTATCAGACACTTACATTTAATGCTTTTTAATGTCTTTTTAAGAAACTTTTTAAATCAAATTTAAGACTGATGTGTGGACAAATTATCTCTCTCCTGTTCAAGCGTTACTGGTAACTATAAATGTAAGTAGTATATCTGTCAGGGGTGTCAAACATACAGCCCGGGGACCAGAACCAGTCCAATTCAGCCTGCTAGATGACTTTGCACACCTGATGTTGATGCACAGAGGCTTTTCCACTCTGACCAAAATACAGATCTCTGAAATAACAATGAATACTTACTGTGATCATATTTAAAGACACTGAACATTGTGCAAAATATTGTCAACCAGCAGCTTCAGTACAAAAGAATCTGTGTCAGACTTCCATCTTTAAACAGTATTCATGGAACCCTGCTGCTGAGGCACTGATAAACTTCAGACTATAAATGGTTTGTAAGGCAAGGGATGACTTAACCTGCTTCTTCAATAGTTTCCACATTAGGGGAAAATCATGAAAAAATGCATGTCATGAAAGTGAGTAGTAGACTGACTGAATGTGGAAAAACTGAGACATACTGGTAAATTTGGACATAATATTTCGGAGGATATTGCATGCCGTTGATCATTTGCTTTGTAAATGGATGAATGTTTTCACAATGAACCTCTTTACACTAAAAAAGGGAAAAATTTGAGGGTGTTGTTATTTATAAGTTATTATGCAGTGGTTTTATTAGTCCAGCCCAGTTGAGACCAAATCAAGCTGTTGTGGCCCCTGAACTAAAATGAGTCTGACACCCGTCATTATATGTGGTCCAGTGCAGCGATAGGTTTATGTAGGAGTGTAGTGAGTTAGGTTAATCTATACAGTTTGCTAACAGGTAAGTGCAAGTATAAAATAAAAATTCAATATAGGGTTCAGTGGTAGCTTTAAAGATTTGTAACATCAAAAATGTGGACTGTCACACTGTCACACAGACGAGCTGGACACATTTTGACAAAAATAAAACAAAAGATGGATAAATTGAATTAGATAAAACGCTTGTGGCAATTAAGAGCTCACAAATTCAAATTTAAAACTACTAGGAATGTTAAGGATTAATATTCATAAAATTGAATTTAAGACATTTTAAGACTTTTAAAGAACCAGCAGACACCCTGTGTTTACACAGATTTTTAGCTGAATTTTTTCCAACATCATATTTTAAAGTTATTTTTATTAAACAATGCAAATTAGCTGCTGATCTCTCCATATGTCCCTCCCAAGTATGTTAAAAAAAGAAATGTTTAAACTACAGCGTAGCATTTTTAAAAAGTATGAATTTTGTCCATATTTTATTTATTTAAAAAAAAAAAAATATATATATATATATATATAGATATATAGATATATATAGATATAGAGATATATATATATGTTCAATGTAAAAACAGGTTAAGTATACTTAGGACAGAACAGAACACTTTAACCTGGAAAATAAATATAAGTTATATAATATCAGTTTGGTAATCATGTAGATTTTGCACTAGTTGCGTCTAAACATGTAAAACTGCCTGTATTGCCTTTAAAGAGACTGTTAAACAAGCAATAAAACAATAAAACAAGCAATAAAAGACACACACGTGCGTGCGCACACACAGACACACTCTCACCATGAGTGCATACGTCAGTCCCAGTCCCACCAGACCAGTGGACAGCTGGTTGTAGAGAGAGTTAGTGATGGAGGCTACAGCTGCCACTAACACCACACAGGCTCCAATGTACTCCTGCAAGGAGAGACAATGTCAACTTTACAGCAGGACGACGATGCATCGCTGAATCATTCAGAAAGGTAAATAAATAAAAGCGGGTCCATTAATGTGGATCAGTTTATAATCAACACACAGGTGAGACAGGGACATGTTGACAGAAAGCTTTGTGTGTTTTCTTTTGCGTCTGTGCCCATGAATCGATAAACAGCAGAAGGTTAACTCCTCTGCTGCTGTGAAACAGGAGAAGTCAAATGAGCTGCGAGCCGCATGCAGTCGATACATAAAACATCACATGAACACTGAATGTGATGATGAAAAATTCAGTGTGTCAGAATCCCAACAGAGGGAGCCAGCAACATCAACAACACTGTGGACCAGCTGCTGTCTGACAAACAGTAAACAGGACTGATCTGAATGTGAAAGCGCTGAGCAGAGGACGTATCATTACCATGCGGACCTCCAGCCAACGGTTGGCTGCCGTGAGGAAGAGAGAGGCAATGTTGTTGGCATCTGTGAACTGCAGTAACCTCTGTCTGAACCTGGGCTCGTACCTGTTGATGGTAAAAGACACGGCCTGTTTCTATTTGTTCTCTTATGTCCTGAGAGTTTGACAAAAACAGTGATGCAGCTTTCCAACACTGCATCTGAAGCAAACTACTGTAAGTCAGGGTTCGGAATATATTAGTAATAACTACCTGAGGGCTCTGATAGTGGTGAGGCCTTCCACTGTCTCAGAGAAGTGGCAGAGCAAAGGGAGCTGGGTGCTGTCCTCCAACTGCTGCAGGTCCCTGACCAGAAGACAGAGAACACAATGGACAAGGTAACATCAACAAAAGAATAGAGGACAGCAGCATACAAAAAACACCGCGTGATAAGGGTCTAACAATGAGGGCTTTAATTAAAGAGGACCTATTAGGCTCATTTTCAGGTTCATACTTGTATTTTAGGTTTCTACTGGAACATGTTTATATGCTTTAATCATAATAAAACACTTAATTTTTCTCATACTGTCTGTCTGACTGCACCTGTATCACCCTCTGTCTGAAACGCTCTGTTTTAGCACCTGTCTCTTTAAGACCCCCTCCTGAAAAAGCCCAGTCTGCTCTGATTGGTCAGCATTTCTGAGTCTTTGTGTCTAAAGCTGTGCTCCCACCAAACGCGATGAACGCGATTTACTCGCGCAAGTAAATGAAAATTTATCGCGCTACTCGCTCAAGTTTGGACGCTGGGCCATTTACATAAAATTCGTGTTATCGCGTCAGACGCGCGCGTACGAGCCCGCCCATTTTCACTAGATAACAACAACATTACTTCCACCATTTCTTTCTCTCATCGACCATGGCTGAGATCACCATGATCACTGCACTGTACCTGCTCTGGAGGTCCCAGACTCGTCTGAGGGCCAAACGCCGCCGTCGGTTCTGGGTGCATGATACCCTGTGGAGGCACACTGAGCTCGGCGAGTTCCACCGTCTCCTACAGGAGCTCCGCCTGGATGACGGTCGGTTCCAGCAGTACTTCAGGCTGACTGCTGCCCAGTTTGAAGACCTGCTAGCTAGGGTTTGTGCCAGGATCTCCCGGCAGGACACCAACGACAGGCGCTCCATTTCAGCTGCGGAGCGCCTGTCCATCTGTCTCCGGTGAGTAGAAGTTTATTGTTGTGTCAACAACTGGACGTCAGGGCGTCAAGACGTGACGTTGGGAGAATCTCAACGCTGATTGGCACAGTGTCACACGAATTTGCCTCAAAAGTTCAATATTTTCAACTCAAGCAATGAGGCAATAGACGCGAATTTCGCATCTATCGCGCCGCACCTACGTGTGTATCGCGTCGCATTAGACATGTCCATCGCGCCACCCGGCGCGAATTCGCGTCTAATCACGTCTTTTATATGTAATCTCGACGCGCGAAATTCGCGTTTGGAGGGTACACAGCATTAGTGTTTCTGCACCATCATCACAGTCAGGGGAATGACTGTAACAGAGAACATCGGCACTTTTTACTGTTAAAAATCACCATTAAAGGCTTTTAAACACAACCAGACATGTTCCAGCTGGAATATGATCTGAAATCTGAGAGGAAAACATTAGCAACCAAGATTATGTGTTTCCCTGACATTAGCATGTGGCTACATGTAGCAGTGTATGTAATGTTGTAATTTGCAGTGATGTGCCTGGGGCACATGGGCATATACAGAAATCCATCACAATCTGACTTCATCTTGTCGAGGAAGAGAGGTAGAGAAAAAAAAAGTTGGAAAGTTGTTCACAGGGATTAGGCCGCGATCACACAGAAAGGGTTTTGCAGGTTTTTTCCCCCTTTAAATTAATTGAAGCCACTAGTAAAAAAAACGCTTGCTGCACCAGGCAACCACCCCATCACCTCCTCACCTCAGCTTAGCACATAGCTATCAACTGTATGCAAACCTACAGTTAATATAAATTGTTAATAAAGTTTAAATGTATAAAAAATACTGACAAATTTCAAGTATTGCACTGAAATGCTTCCATGCCTGCTGTTTTCTATTGATCGTGGTAACTGCAGTTTGTAATGCCGTATAGCTCTGGGTATCCAGCAACTACTACCACCAGTTTCTCCTCCATTGTTTATCAACTGTAAACTTCTTGTTGTGACCACCACAGAAGGCCCACTTCTCAGATCAGCCAACTGGACGATGGGAGAAAAGTGGAGAAGAAGCGGAGCAGTTTTCTGCTCTGAGTTGAAGTTTTTTCAACTTGAGAAATTCAGAGTGCTCTTGCAAAAATGCGGGACACCTAGAGTGCAGAAACTCGAGGCACACAGCAACACAAAAGCAGCAAGCAAAAAGCCTAATTGTCATTAAAAACAATTGCAAAAATTTGCCTCCTGCTGCTTTTATGCTTTTAGTGTGATCAGGGCGATACTTTGCTTGAAACTGTCCACATTTAATATGAACGTCTGACATTTTAACATTGTACATATATATAAGTCACAACGTGCTCAACTCACATTTAAAGTTTGAAGACTGGGTGTTGGATCCTTTACGAAAGTAATAATCAAGTAAAGATCAGGAAAGCACTCCAATTTGACTTTTAAATGTTGCCACACGGACGTTTCGGGCTAGATCCCCTTCCTCAGTGTGTATTCTGGCGATGTCACAAACAATAAATGGATGGGGTTAATGACAAGTAACCTCAACCAGTACCAGACCTCAACCGCCTCTCTGTGGCCATAGAGAGGTGGTTATAGTAATCTAAAGCGCTTTGGGGTTGCATTGATGTATGAAAGGCGCTATATAAATAAAGTTTGATTGATTGATTGATTGATCTCCAAGGGGAGGCATATTGGATACATTTCCCGGATATCTTTTTCCACACTGGGATGGAGGTGAATATATTTATGTTGTGACGTGTTTTAGCGCTCTAAACCCGGAGAATCTGTGCTGTGAGACATTTTGGCGCTGCCTGTTGGGATGTACATGCTGTGCTGGTTGAGGTCAACTATAATTAACCCACCTGCATATTGTTTGTGACATTGACACATTACAAGCTTAAGAAGGCCGTCTCGCCCGAAACGTCCTTGAGGCAAAATTAAAAAGTCAAAGTATTGCTGTCCTGTTGTTTACTTTAGTTTAACATTATATGACAGAAAATAGGGAGAGCATAACAGCTCCTCTTTAAACTTGTATCACATTAAAGACAGATTAAAACTACACTCTTATATAACACTGATGATATGACCTTGGTGTCCTGCAGACATCTAACGATGAAAATATCCAGATGTCTGTGATATCCCTCGTCCCGTCTGACTCACCTGGAGGCCATCCGAAAGTACTTCTGGATGAAATAGCAGGCGACAGCCAGCGGCAGGAGGGCAATGAGGAAAACGGGGGTCACGTAGGAGATGACGCCCAGGGCGGACACGCACAGCAGTGTGGAGCGGGAGAGGCACTCCAGGGTGGTGGGGATGTGCTGGTCGATTGTGTTTGTGTCTGTGGAGAACCTGTTGAGGATGCTGCCGAGCGGGGTCGTCTCAAACAGCCTGCAGGCACGAGAATGTTTCATTACCCTCAGGAATCATCTAATTTATGATTCAATTTCAAAAGTGCTTTATTTTCAAAGATTATTTTTTTCGTAAAATATAGTAAATCCTTAGAGACTATAATTATATATAATTATATTTTACAGACTTCCACATGCTGCCAATAAGAGATGAATCTGCTCAGACGTGCAGTGCTGTCAGCTGGTTGAATCTAAATTATTTCATATGAAATACATCTGTTTATTTAGCCATGCATATGAGTGTGTGTATACAGTACATGTAGATTTGTGATGTGAACGTGAGCGTCTTTATGTAAGTGATGTCTCCCGGGTTTTGTGTAAGGAAAGCAGATGGTGCTCTGAGTAATGGGGCGAACAAAGGTGCTTTTAACCGTGTTTCCTCATTTAAATGATCTGTTTCAGCAAACACGCAGTATCAGCGAGCACACGCATCTCTTTGTCTGTTTAACACATCATGAGGCAGAGTTGCAGCACACACACACACTGAGCGCCGCACCTCATGGGGGCCAGGATGATCTTGTTGAGCAGATCGTGGTGGAGCTCCTTGGCCACTTTGAGGCCGGTCCACTCCACAGCCACAGAGGTGGCCAGACACAGGACGATGCCCAGGCAACACAGCACACTGAACACCGACAGATACCACGAGTGACTGAAGCCACACTCCTACAGAGCGAGAGAGTAGGGGTTATTTAAGACATGACAGCAACCCTGTGTGTGTTTGAGAAAGTGAGAGAGAGCGGGGGTTTGCTTGCACTGTAATTAGAAGCATAATTAAACTCTGAGGCCGGTTAATAACAATCTGTCTAATGTGACAAGAGCTGGTGAAGCTTTAACAGCTGATTTGGTAACACTTAAACAAAAAAAAAAAAAAAGAAGCTCAGAGATGTTGTTCTCTCCTGAGCTTTCTATATTTCCCCCTCAGTTTACCGCCTACGTCTTTTTTCTACATATTCACATGTCTCTATCAGATATCAGACATTAAAACACAACCAGTCAAAATCAAATTTGAAAACCAATTACTATTTTTTTAATATTAAGCACTGCATTTCTGATTTACACTATGAAATTATGTAAAATCATTCACCCCAAAGCCTCAGTACAATGTACCTTTTACCCTTCAGACTTCCATGGAATCCATATAATCAAATGATTATTTTTGACAATAACCACAAGAATGAATGTTCTCAAAGCATAAATTAGCATTTTAACTCATTCAAAATAGAAATTAAATGAGGAACAGTTAAAATTCTCAAAAAAATTGCTATTTCTGACATGAAAATTGTAATTTGTCATATGAAAAGGACACAATCAGTCATCTTGACGTCCCAACCAACACTAAAACCTGATATCGTTCACAAAATGACTGACAGGGCTTTAAATACACAGACTACATATGATACACTAGACAGTTACAGTATTAGTAGTTTGTTTACATCGGTAATGCCTGGGGCCTTTGGCTAGTTTCTTTTACTGTGGCTGCCCCAGTGGCTCACTGGGTACAGCGCATACCAATAAGGCTGAGTCCTCACTGCAGTGGCCCAGATTCGAGCCTGGCCTGGGCCCTTTGCTGCATGTCATTGCCTCTCTTTCCCCTGCCTTTCCTGGCTCTCTCTGTCTCTATCACAATAAAGCAGAAACGCCTAGAAAATAATCTTGTATTGTATTCAGCTGATGAACACAATTACTGCTCTCCATTCACAGCTCTTATGCCTCCATTATGTAAATATATCTCATATGGTCAGAAATGACAGATTAGGCCCATCAGTAATAAAGAAAAACTTATGCAAACTAATCCCCACTAGAAACATCAGTTTCCACTTGTGTGTAATCCTCTTTTTGTTCCTTTAATTCCAGACAAAAAAGACAAGGCAGATTATCTGTCACCTGTAATGTGAGAATTCTGATTTAAAACCAACCCAATCCCCAGGATAAATGCTGACATTGTACTTTTCTGCTACCATGGATATATAACATTTGTAAGTCATCATATAGCAGAAATATTGAATCTTTCATTTCTTTATCTTTACATTTCAACAACACTATGATTAACATGTGGTTATGTCAAGGAACAAAAAACACTTGGTTATGGTTAGAAAAAGATCATGTTTTTGCTTAAAATATCTGGTTTTGGCTGCACAATCTCCGCTGGAAACACAGTGATGTCTCACTAAACAACAACCAGTGTTATTGTTTGTTGATCTTAAACAGTTATCTGCAGCTTGGCAGCCTTCTCACCAAGGTGTCATGCTATCCACCACCCCCTCCACCCCCTGAGGACACGGTCAACTCATAGACATGTCATCTGAACTATGTGGCTTTAGAAACGTTGATACGATATGTGTGAAACATACTGCTGTAATGTATCTGTAGTTTGCAGAATCGGACAATGCCAACACTTTCTTCTGGGGACTTGGCTGTTAACTCTCATCTGTACTGTCGGGCCTGACAGTTACATCAAGTGTCAGTAACTTGCCAGAGTTTGTGTCTGATAGTAGAACAGGACCTCTGAGTGTTGCCACATGCATTAGTCTACAGCACAGTGTAGATTAGATAAAGCTGGCAGATACACACCGACGCTCGGCCAGAAAACACGTCCTTGGCATTCAGGCAACAATCTGCACTTGACTGAACATTCAGTGTGTGTCTCTGTGTGTATGTGTGTGTGTGTGTGTGTGTGTGTGTGTGTGTGTGTGTGAGTGTGAGAGAGAGAGAGAGAGAGAGGGAGGAGGACACAGTGCACCTGTCTCCAAACTCGGATGACTCTCTGTGACTGTGTGAAATGTGACTTGCTCACATGACGGACACACACACGCAAACAAGCAAAACACACACACACACACACACACACACACACACACACACATACACACACATATAAAACTGTTAATATTAGAGTGGCTCGACCAGCTTCACTGGTCATGGAACATGATGAACTGAAACAGCCGGTGTGTCCCCGACGTGTGAACGACGCAGCTTAACCTTCACTTGTATTGGTATTTTGTTTCAGAGCATGTGTGTGTGCACCTCTGTGCTTTCTCTGAATGTGTGTATGTGTGTTTTCTGTGTGAGAGCAAGAGACTATATTGGGGAAGAGGTCACTTATGTAAGATGAGCTTTAAACTTTATGTCACTCCCTCACACAAACACCTCTATCTGCCGTGTCTAAATCAGGATAACGGTTTAGTTCAGGTCAGGTGAGCTGTGATGTTTGTCACTCGTGAGCTAAAGCCTCATTTATTCACATGATTTCTGCAGGTGGTTTGACCTAACTACATGAATCAAACCTGTGCGTCTTTACATTAGCCAGTAGCACTTTCTCTATCAATGCATCCTTGTGTCTCTAACATGCAGATGAGTCCAAGCTGCAGTTGTCTTTGGGGTGTGTTAGTGAACGCTCCATCTGGAGCTGGCAGTGCCTCTGTGTTTTAGGTCAGCTCCGCTCAACTGAGATTCACAGGAGAATAAGTGAGAGAAGTGTTACGTAATCTCACTCCAGCATGGTTTAAAAAAATAGGTGATGCACTGTTAACTACTTCTCCACGCATGAGTTTGTTTTAAAAAAGGGCTGCAACCATTACTTTCATTATCGATTAAATTCATTGATTAATTGCTAGGTTTATAAAATGTCAGGAAATAATGAAAATGCCCGTGACCGTTTCCTGTTTTGTGCGACTAGCAGTCAGAAACCTAAATATATGCAGTTTACTGTCACATGAGACTGTTTCACCACCTTTTTGGTTAGTGACCCTTCAAAATAAAAGTGTCAAAGGTCTATAGGTCATACGTTTTGACCTCCAAACTTCTCAAATTCACTCCCTCTTCACAGACTTCCTGGCACTCATGTCAGTGAAAGTGAGAGATGCCACAGATGTCCACAACAATGTTCATAGTTAACAGCCTGTAACAATGCTCTCTAGCAGTAATCTGGTTACCTTAGATTTTGGACTGATGGTCAAGCACAACAAGACATTTGAAGGTATCATCTTAAGCTATGGGAAGTTCTGATGAACATTTATAGACCAAATGATTACAGTCAATCAAGAAAATAACTGGCAGATTAACCAGTAATGAAAATAATTAGTTGCATCTCTAGACCTGGTTTTTAAATTGATCCCTTTAACAGCTGTGGACACTCTGTGAAAATTAGAGGGGCTCAGTGGTGAAAGATGATCTTGTTAAACCGAGTCAGAACATAAATTTATATGTACATTTAACCTGTTTGACTCTATCTTACATATGAGAGCCTTCATGTAGACCAGGTCTGACATCTGACTATGTCTCTACCACTCTCGTTGTAAACATGATTGATTATTATTATTGCATTGTTGGTTTGTGTGCAACCATTAGTTCAACCATAGGAAAAGCATAAAGTAACATTAAGAAGTTTTGTTTAATTTTCACACCTTTAGTTTTAGTAGCAGTCAGCTGTTATTGTCTCCTAGTATTTATTTTCATGATGCTTAGAAGACAGTAAACATGATTGTATTAAATGAACGCAACGTGCCACAGATGTCATTATGGCCAATTTAAAACTGCTTAAAAATTGCTGATGTTACTCATCAGTGCTATATTTACATATAATTTCATTCAAGAACATCATGTTTGCTGCTGCCATTTCTGCATCAGATCCAAATAAGAGTGTCACTCTGTAATTGTGTTGTACTTTCTGTCTGTGTAGGTGTTAAACACAGGGAGGCTGTTGTGAGAAAATAATTAATCTTTTAATTTAGTTCAAGGTGTAATCCCCTTTTATGTCCACTCTGTTATTGCTGACACACTATGTACGTGGCAAGGTACTGATGCCTGCAAAGCAAAATGGTTTTCTACACTCAGTACCAAATCACACCAGCTGTTGACCCATTACCCCCTTTACTCTTCTGATTGTCCAGTGAACCACTAACTTTTTTGTGTTTTCTAAATGTGCGTAGTAGGGATGGGCATGAATATTTAAGTATGCGTTTGGATGTCAGTATTTGTTCAATGTATAGAGTCATCACCCAACCTCCCACATGTGAACATGACTTTTATATGACTTACTGACTCAGCAGGGACTAGAATCACCTCTATTGCAAGGTTGTTACTATGAGTCAGCCTACTTGCTGTGGCAGTGAACTAGATTTTATTGCATAGGAGTTGACTGACGTGACTGATTAGTTCAACCCCATGGTTTTTAACTTTGCCACATATTGTGTGATTGACGATGAGGTTTATACATTTACTTAAATAAGAGGTTGACTTGTATAGATGTCAGGTTGTAAAAACAGCTTGTCTCTATCTTAATTCACTTTCAAGGCTCAAAGATCTAAAACCACACATTGTTTTCTAATTGATGGAAAGCACAGAGAAGAGATATGAATGCAAATTTGCCTTGTAAAACTTCATTTTTTTCTTTTATGATATTGCAAATACCATCTTGTGAAACCCTCAGATGTATCCCTTGACCCAATGAAGGGGTCTTGACCCCCAGGTTAGAGATCACTGACATGAGGCACAGAAAGGAAAAGCATTCAATCGTCATCAAGAAGATGCAACTGCAGAATGTGAGGCATTAAAATGTACTTAAATGAATGATTTGTGCTCCCATAAAGGTGATAGCAATCACACATGAAAAGACTTTGACTCTTAAAACGGCTGACCAACACAAAAACAAGGAGCATTTTGGTCAAACAAGTCATGCCATTCAGCTGCTCACCTGAACGATAGTACAGTTACGAGCTGTAGCCTCGATCTTGGCCATGATGACGTGTGACGTCCAGTGTGCCAGCCAGTAGTCGATGGCAACCATGAGGGAGTGTTTGAGGAGCTGTGACAGGAGGAGCAGGGAGAGCAGGAGGAGCCCAGCGGAGGACAGGTAGGTGCCGCAGGAGCGCCAGGGGATGGTGGCACGCTGACGCATTACCTGCGACAGGTTGTCGTCATCATCACTCTCCACGGATTCCTCTGGGATCAAAACAGATGACTCGATATGTTAAACAGTTTGCTTTAAGTTTGTTTTTAAAGGGACAGTTCACTCCAAAATCCAAAATTCAGATTTTCCTTCCCACCTGTAGCGCTGTTTATAAGTCCAGATTGATTTGGTGAGGCGTGGCAGTGGGAGATTTAAACATTAATGGCGTCCTCCTCAGCTGAGCTGTAACATTAGCTTAGTGGTGCTAAGTGAGCTAGCAGTAGATGCATGCTTCCCTTTGCTCGGTGATGCAGTTGGTGGGTGTAGTTTGGCAGAAAGAAAATAGTTCCTACATGAAATTGCTCACAACACGGTCTGTGGATTATCTTGAGTAACCAGGTCATGATTTCTGAAAATAGACATTGCTGTTGAATTTTCAAAATGTTTTTTTTGGCCACAAGCTGAGTGCCACCTAGTTCTATTATTCTGAAGAGAAGGCAGACATCTCTACCACTTTTTGATTTTGGAGTGAACTGTCCCTTTAAGTGTGAGACTTGATCAGGATGAGTTTTAGATTTATTTTAGTAGGAAATTATTATATTATATTATATTATATTATTATATGACTGTGCCCTTACAGATTTTCATACTGGACATAAAAGATCATTTCTATATTTAACTGTGATCTCCTCTGCTGTGACTCACAGCTCATATGCTCTCTGACATTTCAGATGGTCCTCCTTCTACCCTCCTTCCTAGAAATTCCATTATCTTCATTCTGTCTCTCTGTCCGTCTTTATCTGTCACCTTTTCTGACACATTTCTCCGATTTTGTCCTCCTGTGTCTGTCTGAAGCACCACAACTAGCACAGGACAGGAAGAGAAGAGAAAAAATAACAGAGAAAGAGGGCCAAAGGAGAGGAGCAACCACAGAGAAATTACGCTACAGGCCACACCATCTTTATTCATGTTCTTCAGACACCAAGCAGAAGCTCATTCCCATGAGTGGCGTGTTTTTCAGGGGCAACAGAGCAGCCATGACACACTGACTGAGATTGAGGAGCTAATGTTAACAACCTGCCGCCTCCTACACGCCTCTGATGTAAATGTATCACATCACATCACATCATGCAAGAAGCTTTGGAGCATGAGGCTGCATGTGGGAGTCTACGAGCCGGTGGCAGAGAGGAAGCAGGAGAGTAGAGAAGGAAGAAAAGGGGGAGGATGACTGGCAGGGCTAAACAGACTTCTGCTACCATCATCTACTGTGCAATCATGCTGGTATTAAGGAGCTTTTAAGAAGCAGGAGTGACAAATGTCTGGGAAAAAAGTGAGAACAATGATGAATGATTCTAAGATGACGGGAGTAGCTGCGAGTTGCTTGCAGCGTCACGATGCCACAGACGTGTTTTTGTTTTTTCTTTTGTTTAGTCCATGCTTTCTTGCCACACCTGCTCGATCGAACACGAAGGCAGCACCAGGTGCTGGAGCCATCTCACAAGTCCACTCAGGGGTGCCACCAGTACACGGGAGACAACACAGAACACAGATAAAAAGTACAGCCACTGCACCTTAGCACCTCCCACCACAGCTGCACATTCAATAGCAGAGACACACACAGATAAAGGATCAGATCCAGTGTTTAGCCACGGCAAGAGGCTGCAACAGAGAAGCCTGCATCATATCTGGTTGCTGAGAAAGCTTAAAGAGAAGCCAAGGCATGAGACACCAGACCCAGAAGAAGGTCCGGAGCATTTAACACCCATGTAATGTTTGCTTCTACACAGACAGGTTAGAATAAATAAAGAACAAAGGAGGAGAAGGATACACGGGGAATTTGTTGCTATTCAAATCATTGCAAACATTGAAGCAGGTGTTAACATAAAAACAAGCTGCCGAGCTTAAGCTTTAATGTAATGTAATGTAAGAGGTTCTCAGCAAATAGACACAGCCTCTGTTATTGTCATTACACACACACACATATCCATTATAATCAGGCTGAAAGCATTAAAGGACAGACTGTAGTCACACACTTGTAGTAAAGCTGTTGTTCACTGTGACCTCTCACCTTCCTCGTCTTCTTCTTCAGTACGGGCAGCCTCTCTGGAGTACATGGCCCTCCGCAGGTTCTTCCTCTCCATATCTGTCATACTGGCTGCCTCCGTCTGCTGGAGGAGGAGACATAACGGTAAACATGTGATTTTCTCCAGAATACAAACATCTATAATCTGAGACATTAAAGGAGCATTTCACCCCCTCAAATGATCATTTGTGTATCAATTAGTCATTTCATGTCATAGTGAAATTTGTGTAGCAAAGCATTTCTAACATGCCTCCGCGAACACCGAACAAAAAAAATCCAATAATGGAGAAAATTCTTGATAAACTGAAGTAGAAGTGTTCCACATTTAACGACAGCAAAATTATAGCAATGCTCAGTACTTTCCAAGCAGACAGCCCTTTCCGACGGGAAACTGAAACAAAGGTGAAACTCAAAGCCAGACAGACACAAAAAAACAGTAATTTTACTTTGTTGAACACAGGCGCTGGAGTCTGGCTTTAAAGGCAGTATATTTAACTGTTTCTGGTCAGTTCCCAGGCAGAAAGGGCTATCTGTTCTTGGACATACTGAGTATACGACTGGCTAAATAAGACTTGGATTATACTGCACAATTTGAGTGAGGGTTTAGGGGGATTTTCATTCACCAGAGAGATACTAGAAAGGCATGCATTCAACCGTAACATGAGATTAGTAATTGATATACAATTGGTCATTTAGGGGGTGAGTTAAGCAAACATCCAGGAAATGAAACTTTCATTCTGAGCAAAAGTGGCTTGTTTGCACCTCTGTCAAATCTAAAAACTGTTAAATTAATAAAAAGCAAAGATTCAAAGTCATCAAGGATTCATTAGCACTTAAATATCACTCTTTAATCACCGTCTCAAACTCATGGTCCTGTCTGTGCATCAGGGTTTTCCACTGCTCAAAGAGTTCAGAGTCAGATTTCTGGATGTCTTTTAGAGTCCCCTCAGTCTGGATTGTGCCGTCTTTCATGGCGATGATCTAATAAAAACACACATACGCACAAAGGTAAAATGAGAAGAAGCAATGCAATATTTAGTATCATTAGCTGCCATTGGAAATAAATCAATCAGGATGCAGTGGGATCTTTGTGAGATAAACTGTCTGCATCACAAATCATGAATAATATAAGAGCATCACAGATGGTCAGTCTCATCAATTATTGTGACAGAGTAAAAGGATCATTTATCAGGCTGGTTAAGATCATAGCTGCAAATATCTGTTTTACACACACGCACACACAGACACACACACACAGCCTGGCCTTACCCAATCTGCGTGTGGTAAATACTGAAGTTTGTGTGTGACCAACACCACCGTCCTCTTCTCCTCTCTCAGGAGCTTGAGGATGCCATCCTGCATCAGATGGTCACTCAGATGGATGTCTAAAGCAGAGAATGGGTCATCCTAAAAACAATACATGAACACACAGTATAAGTATGTAGCAGGTTGAAGTATTTCTCTACAGTTTTAACTATTCATGACCTAATAATCAAACAATCAAAGTTGTTATGTAGGCTGTTACACTTTAGAACAAGTTTGTGTGTTCGATGAGCAAAGTCGAAGGTGAGCCGCTACACTCCAGCTGTAGGCGAGTGACTAAGCGGCGGGGATAACTTGCATAATCGTGGATCATTACATAGACCGCGCATAATAAATGAGGCAAAGATGTAGAGTTACAGCTAAGCCATTTTAAGGCATGAAGGGATTTTTTTCGTGAGAAAGAAAGTAATTTTGATGCAATAATGTGTAATTTTGATGAACAGAGATGAGTTAATAGAGGTTTAATCAGTGCCTCGAGAGGAACTTTAAGAGTCTGGTACTCAAGAGCTCAGCTTATTTGCTTCATTAGGACTGCGTGAGTGTGGTTTGATTAGATTTGACTGAGACTGGTGTGATTGGTGCACAGAAACACCTGACTGTGATTGATTGTTTCAGTTATTTTTCAAGCAAAAATGCCCAAAAATGTCTGGTCGCAGCTGTTTTAATGTGAGGATGTGCTGTTTTTCTTTGTCATAAATGAAAGTAACTTGAATATCTTACAACTTTAGTCAAACACAACAATATATCTGACAATATTACTGTAGCCTCTGAGGAATTGTGAATGCCATTTTGTTTTACTTTTGTTTGACACAATCAAGAAAATTATCTGCAGATTGATCGACAACGAAGCCCTAGTTGCAAACATGTAACACAAAGTGATCAATAACTGAGAGGCAGTGAACTTCCTCAGCCCTGCAGCTGAGCGCCAGAGAGCGTGTTGCTATTTTTGTCACGTAGGAAGGCTTCAGAAATAGAAACACATCTGAGTCTCCAGATGAAGCTTCAGAACAAATGTTTCACTGTAAATACTTACAGACTGCCTGCTGACATGGCCACATACAGGTGCAACTCAGCAACTGTAATCATTCTTTTGATCAAAGGTGTGTGCGTGTGTGTGCAGACTCACCAGAAAGACCACATGGGTCTGTTGGTACAAGGCTCTGGCTACACTGATCCGCTGTTTCTGTCCACCTGACAGGATGATACCCTGCACCAGAGGACAGAAACGTTACTAGAAGGTTTTACTACAAAGAGGAATGAACAACATGATTACATCCATAAATGTATGTGGCACTCGCCCCCAGAGTAACAAAGGAGATCACGGTTTATTCCCTGCATTGCTGGTGTGGGAAGAAATGCAACATGACAGTGCTTTAGCTGAACAAGGTCAGTCCAGCTCCCAGTATCACATCCTGGCTGCAATGAATCAAATGATTCTGCAGCACAGTGAGCCACAGTGGGAGCTTCGGCCAGGTCTGGAAGATAAAAAGAACTCAGAGGAATATAAAGAAAATGAGAAATTTTACGGTGATACTGACCCGCTCCCCGATCTCTGTCTGGTCCCCCTGTGGAAGGATGTCGATGTCAGGTTGAAGAGAGCATGCCTCGATGACAGCTTTGTACCTGGCAGGCAAAGAGACAGAATACAGATGAGGACGGACAGCAGCTGCTACCAACCAGAAGGAAACTAGGTCTGCTCCTTATTAACCTCTTGGCTGATTATCTAGACAGTTAATTAATTTGAATGATACACATTTTATATGTTACAAATATATTTGTCTATCTATGTATAACGTGCTGTTATGTATGCATAACACAATCCATGGAGGTCTCAACAGTGCCACAAACACTGTCAATGAAATAAATAACTCAGCAGCCTCTGTGGGTCAACTTGAAAGATTTAGCTCTGAGCGTTTAGTCAGACTTGCTTCAACAGACAGACACAGAATAAAGAGATAAGAGGAAGATTCAGAGAGCACAGAGCCACACGGGGGACGGGGTTCACTGCTGCATCAATCATTCACTTGTGTTCTGATTCAAATGAATTGCATGTCGGTCATTAAAATGTATGGTCATTGAGACCACAGAAGTGAAGCCACATTCAGCTGTACACAACAGTTTGACACTTCTGTAATTACTGGAGTATTGAGAACATTGTGACCTAAAAATATGGGGTGACGGGCCAAAAACAGACTGATTAATATTAACGAATCACAGTTGAATATTCTTAGTCTGAATCTAACAAATCATAGTGTGTCTTAGCACAGTGCCCGAGCAAGCACTCTCCCAGATGCATGACTAGTTAAAAATACTCACAAGCAAGATACTGTGATATGCACCTTAAGCCAAACGCCTGCACCAGAAAAGGATGAGTTCATGAAAAATGAAAATAAGAGTCTACAGCCATGCTTACAGCTCTGTGAGGTTGTACTTAGCCACAGCAGTGGTTTGATCTGAACATTAGCATGCAAACCCACTCAAAATGACAATGCTAACATGCTGATGTTTAGCAGGAATAATGTTTTCCATGTTCAGCATCTTATTTTAGCGTGTTAGCATGCTACAAAAGACAAGCTAAAAGCCTGTAGAAAAGCCAAGCTGTAGACAAATCCACACATAAAGGCAGAGCTGCAACTACCAAGCCAGAAATGACTAATCAAATCTGTAAAATTTGTGCTTAAGCCGACTGCTGTGCACATGAAGAGCACAAATGCTTACGAGTGACACAGCAAAAAAACACATGCCCACAGCGTCTTTTTTTGGGAACACCTGGTGCTGCAGTCCGAGAGTGAGTTAGCCGCTCTGGATCTTATCAGAAAATAACCTGACAGCAGGACAGGATGGGGGGAGAGAGAGAAAGGTAGGTGGATGCATGAAGAGAAATAAAGCGGAGACAGCAAGGAGAGGCAGCGCAGGGTACACAAACATCTCCACAGCAACAAACTGCTGCGGCCCATTAGATGCATTTTATAAAGGCAGTCCATTAGACCCAGAGAGAGGCTGGACACAACCATAAATCCAAGCAACTGACCTTTGAGACAGACCATTTGTTGTGAGGATAAAAATTGTGAGCGTGTGCAACAGTGTATGTCAGTACAAGAGAGAGAGTGTGTGTGTGTGTGTTTTTGTGTGCCAATGCAGGTGAAACAGCATATGTTGGTGAGCCAGGAGTGAGTGAAACTGTCCACACTGTGCACATTGAAGGCCAAGGCAAATCCTGGCCCCAGGTATCTCACTGTCAAAACAGGTTATTTTGGAAGCCACCAACTGGCTTTTTTTGTTGTTTTTTTTGTTATTTACTGGACTAAAACTGTTGACTTAATTAGGATTCAACACATCCAATTACCACAGTGGCCTCAGGGAGCAGAAAGGTTATTGGCTCTATTTGGCTTAACAGCTTGGCCTGACAACACATTGATTACTGCGTTGACAACTCTAAATGCCATTTGACAGGAGAACATCCTCAGACAGCTAGTTTTTATGATCATGGGTTCAAGTTATTAGTAAAGCAAAAGCAACAACATTAAAGCTTACACATCGTTGTTGCTGATGTGAGAGTACAGTCTGTTCAGCTTTGTTCAATCTAGAGCAAATCCACAAACACACAAATCACGTTTGCACTGAAAAGAGGATGTTGGAATGCAACACTGACAAATCCATTAACTAATACACTCAGTTACCAGTTTATCAGGTACAGCTTGCTCAAACTAATGCAGTCTAACACAACAGTCGGCCAATAAATCCATCCATCATGAAGGTTGTAATGTTCAGTTTTGTAGAAACAGTTTTAGAAAAGAGCTGATTTGACATTATGGCCATTTTGGAGGCTGCAGTTTGTGGTGCTGTTGGGCTGGATACAAGTGACACTGTATCATTGGGCGTCACTCATGAATACGTGCTAAGAAATGTTCTTACTCTGCACAGCGCGCATGCAAAATTACTGTTGGATTCATGACAACATTAGCATTGCTGATTTTGTTCTCACCACTGTGTGTATTAGTGAACCAGAAACATTCTAAATTGGCAAGTGCATGTCGTTAATTGCAATCAGCATACTGCCACACCCCCATTTCTCTAAATAAGGAAATACATTTGCCTACGTGAATGAGTTGTTGTAAGTTGTAAGTGAGTTGTTTTTACACACATAATAAGGCCCTGACACGCCGGTGTTAAACTGTTATTGAGCGTCTGTTACTGTAACGACAGACGGAATAGTTACTGTCACAGCATGATTAAACGTGTCGGCCTCTTGTGCGCTCTTTCCTGAAGGCACAGACCGCAAGATCCTCCACCAAGGTTAGATATGTTATTGTAATACCCGCTTGGAGGTAGATCAGAATCTTTTATATACCCTCTTAGAAGAAGAAGAAGTAGAAGAATAGGCCTACAATGATTTCATGGCAATAAAAATTGGTGGGAGAAGCCATCATTAGTCGACAGACAGATTCAGTGAAAACAATAAAAACCTAAACTGTTTATATATTTCAATATAGACATTCTCATAAACTTGACTGTAAGCTAGGACTGGGACACTAGTTTGTTTTCATAGTTTAATATTTTAATAATGACAATAATAATGTAATTGATGTGGATGAAAGGCTGGGAATGAAATATGAGCATGCATTAGTAAATTAATGGTTTTCAATATTATCTATTGAAGCCTTTTTAAAATAAATATGGTTTTAATATGCTATGCATTTAGTTAAGTCTTTAGTTAAGCATTTAGTTTTAGTCTGTGTGTTTACTTTTTTTGAAGACAGCTGGTCCTTCATCATTTGTACGTATGTATGGTCTGAGGCAGTTCTAAATTTGTTCACAGAGTATGACCAAAGTCAGGTAATAAAATATTGATGAATCCCAGGTTTGTTCGTGTGCAAGGTTTAAGAACAAATTTGTGTGTATGCACTGTGTGAATGAGGCCCAGTGAAAGTAGAGAGGAGACTGAATGCATGACTCACTGTTTGTTATCCCCTCATCTAGAAACATTCAAAAGAGTTGTCAATGGAGCTGCATGATATGAGGAAAACATGGGACATGATATCATGATAACAATATTACTTGAAGATCAATAAACAGATATTAAAGTGTACTATGTTTTGCCTTTCTCCTGCTTTCAGTATACTGCTAAATTCCTGCTAAATTATTTCCAGCATTCTTCAGTTAAATAAACTAAACACTGACTTGAAACTTGAAAAAATCCCTGTGATTACCATGCATATTGACACCGTGATGATAAAAGAAAAGAAAAACAACGCTATACTGTACAGCCCAAGCTCAAATTCAAGTTCTGTGTATAACTTACAATGAAATGCCTGTGTTTAGTGGCACTGTCTGCAGCAACTGCCTGAAGAAAGAAGCTATTACTGAGTCGAGTGGTGTGTGCTTTGATGTTTCTTTGATGGCGAGTGCAAGAACAGAGCACGAGGTGGCATGGCAGGAGTCCTTAATGATATTTTGGGCTTTCCTTTTGCAGTGGGTGGTGTGAGCGTTATGTGACTCTGACTTTTCTTGCTGACTTTTCAGTCCTTTGTCGCCGTCTGCAGTCCTGAGCAGTCAGGTTTCCAAACCACACAGTAACACTGTTAGGACACTCTAAATGTACAGAGATTGGTGTTCATGCCAAAACTCTTGAGACACTGTTGTGCTTTCTTTAGGGTACAGTTGGTTCTCACTGACCACCTGACGGTGTCTAAGATGTGCACACAAAGATATTGAAAACTATCAACAACTGATGGAAATAGAAGTGCGATTTCACCGGCTCTTTAAACAACAATGATTTCTTTAGTCTTACTGACATTTAGAGAGAGGTTGTTACCACGGCACCATGGGGTTAGGTCTGCCACTTCTCCCCAGTTGGCTCTCTCATCACTGCAGCGAGCTGTCAGCATTAAGGAAAGAACTCAGCTGAAATGTCTGTCTGCTCCTCTCTCTGCACTTTCCTTCTTCAGCACTTTGCTCATTTCTGTGTGTGCATAATAAATTAAATGCATTTATGGTTTTTGTGCCCTGGTGTCCTCTGGGTTTACAGCAGCATCCTTTCCTGTTTGAGTCGGCCAGGGCTCTTTTCCATCTTTTTCCTCTATTCTTTTTGTCATCTCTTGACTGTTATATAATAATAAAATGCCCCCATAAAACTCCCATGGCTCCCGTGGAGGAGCTCAGCATGGTTTGAACCAATACAACCATCACACGATCATTTTTTAAAACCATTGGTTTGGTTCAGGTATGATTTCTTACCTCGGTTTTATCATGGGCATCTCAAAGGTGATGTTCTCCACCACTGTTGCATTCAACAGCCAGGGCTTCTGGGAAGCGTAGGCCACAGCGCCTCTCTTCCTACCAGAGGTTTTAAAACACAAGCAGAAGTGTCAACCAAACAATAATATGCTCTCCATGTTCAATTTCTGCTTCTTAATGAGGTTTCCCACACAGGTTAGGAAACTGATTAACCTCTGGATCACAGGGACTCAGAAACTGGCGATGCAGAATAATAACTCCAGTCCATAAAGACCAGAAATCATTAGGGACTGCGGTGTATTTGTGAAGTCAATATGCGGCTGAGGGTCGGGGGTAAATATGAGAGCAGAGGGAATATCTTGTTCTCGATTATCTTCGGTGGATTTCTAGATAAGCATGAGAATTGCTGTTCCGCTCCGCTGATAATGGTGATGCATCTCCATGGAGACCGCCTGGTGTGTAGGTAGCCCACTCTCATTCCCGGGGCATCAAATATGGCAGCTTGGTCAGTGGTCGTCAATGTGTGATTCTGACGCACAAGGCACCCTTTAGTGTCTATTTCAGACATAAAAAAAGGAGCCACGAGGGCTATGCCGCCACAGGCATGGAAGCTTAGTGTGCGGGCCTGGATGGCGCAGCCATAGGTGCAGATTTGGTGATAGTAGCAAATACTTAAATGAGAACTTTGAAGGCCGAAATGAGCCTCAGTCAGTCCTAAGAGTAACAAGCGGAAATTGACCCGCCATCCCTGAGTGTCCAAAACTGTCTCTGGAGGTGCGTCATAGTTTGAAGCAAGGGGCCACCCACCAAGCTGTTGTATTTAATGAGTGAGCCCATGTTGGTGTAGCATGTTGCTGTCTGAGCTCACCTGATTTCTCCATCACCAGCTACATCTCTGTCTGTGGGACTGTGGAGACAATATCAAAGACACATAAATACATTAGATAAGCAATACTGAGTATTGACTCCACTTTCACGCTGTAATGATTAACAGAAAACAAACTAACACACACTAACACATATAGTCTTCCCTCACTATGGCAATCATGTCTGAGCAGGCCAACCACTGCCCTACATGAACACATCTATCATTAGCTGTGATCTTATCCTCCCTAAAAATAACCCCTCACCCCCCACCCCATCCCAATTTTTCTTCCTGTAATTTGCTGATATGGAAATCAGCATCAACCCGTTTGGACTCTGACGCATTCAGTTCTCAGGGGATCTGATTCCTTGGGCTGAGATTAGTACGTCAACACGGGGTCTGTGGCTGTCGGGATGTTTGTTGCTGTTTGCTGGTATCCTGTTCATCTGGTGTATGTATGTCTCTCTCTGTGTGAGCTACGCTATAACTGTAAAGGCAGGGTGTTTGAAGTGAGAAAGGAATGACTCGTGTACGTGTTCAAACACTAAACTTCCAGAAATGTGTAAATGTATTTCTGGCCAGAGAATGTGTTGGAAACTTGAAGACTCATCAAATAAACAGAAAGATTGATCTAACTTTCTGTTTTACAGTGAAGTGCTGGTGCTTGAACCATGCCATAACCATTAGAGGAACTGCTGAGGCAATCTAACACCTCGTTTTTCATTTGATCGGTCCAGGGAAATACAGGGACGTTCAGTGAAATGATTTGATTTCTTTCCTCACCAGTTTTACTGGGTGGCATGTTTCTGAGCACTTCATCCTGAGAGGAGAGAAAGACTTACTAAGATGGACTGGGGGTGACACACACACACTATGTGCCTTCTTCCTTCCTGACTAGACAGCAGTGTCTATCCCTGATCTTGTCCGCCAGCTTTTCTCAACAAACGACAACAATTGCAAAGCAAAGAGACAGGGTAAGCTAAAAATACCCAAGTCGCCAGAAACAGTTCCACTGAACTGATTTGTTTTGTAGATTACAGTCAAGTAGTTAGTTGTTGGAGATTATTCAGGGAGAAGATTTATTTTGAATGCCTCAGTTTTATGTACTTCATCTTGATTGTGTTTTATGCTATTTACTGTTTTGTGTGCTGGGTATACATTTGGAAGAATCTTTTGTATGTATGACAAAATAAAACCAACCTTGACAGTTTTAATATATGAACAGTGCTAGTGTATATAAAATCTGAGCTCCCAGAGTTTCCCCACACATTTATTTATTTGTGGTGGCCCACCACATACTGACTTTCTGTTTTTTTTTAGCTGCACGCCCCAATCTCGCTCTCTCTCTCTTTCTCACAAGCACATTGGGTTATGCATAAATAGTCACTGTGAGTACCAGAGCACACTCTTGCACAAACTGACCATTGGTAAATTCGCAGCACTGTTGGAGTATAACATTTGGTTATTCAGAGCACCACACTTTCAGAGCAGCAGAGTGTAGCCTACTCTGGGCGCTCCGTCTGAGGAGACAAAGCAGTAGAGCGCCAAGTGCAGTGAATGTGCTTAATTTAACCATTCATAAATTCATACAGAAACACCTCCTCCAGCGCCGCAAATAGGGCCTTTCAGGGGCAGAAATCCCGGGGTGGACAGGGGGGACATGACTCCCCCTTCAGTAAAGTTGTCCCCCCCTAGAATCATTTGTGACACAATTAATAATTTTTGAACAATGCAGTAGTATTTATTGAAAGCACAATGTAAGCGGTGCTCATTATAATCGCGCAATAATGTGCTATTTAAATCTTAAAAGATTTAGTCCCCCCCCCCATTCATAGTAGTGGTATATCCCACACTCTTTCCAACGGGCGGGACTGCTTGGCAGCAGTAGCAGCGTGTGGCTGGACCCGGCTGCCCACATTGCGCATTGCAGGGTAAGATGTTCACTCACACAGACACAGTTTAACTTACACATGTTACAACACATCCCATTTACTGTTACAACAAGCCCCAGGCCCAGGCTGATAATATAAACTGTCTGCAACATTTCTCCTGCATTGTTCAAAAGCCTACTCATCACGAGTGCTGCTAAGCTAAAAGCTAATGATTAAGCTCAGAGTTTAGTGATAGAGAGGACAGGAGAGAAAGAAGAGGGAGAGGACAGGACAAGAGCAGTCAGTGGCGGAGCAATGGGTACCTGTCTGTAGGCTCTTCACCTGTCAGTGAGACAAACATGAATGACGTGCAGTGTAACTGACAAGGAGCGGTCATTACGCGCGACTATTACGCACGGTTGTGGCGGAGCGGCTCGTATGGGTACCTGTCTGTAGGCTCTCCACCTGTCAGTGAGATAAATATGAAAGACGTGCAGACGAGGAGCTGTCATTACACGCGACTATTACGCACGGTTGTGACGGAGCGTCGCTAATGGGTACCTGTCTGTAGGCTCTCCTCCTCTCAGTGAGACAAACATGAAAGACGTGCAGACGAGGAGCGGTCATTATGCGCGACTATTACGCATGGTTATGAGGTGCGCAGTGGCAGATATCACAGCACACTGTTTATAAACCAGTTTATCAGTTTAATTGCAGGAAATGTTTAGTTTTAGTTTTAGTTTAGTTTAGTTAGTATAGACATTCACTCTGCCTGTTGGAGAGATAGAGAGAAGATTAAAGCGTCAAATTGCAGTAAAAGATGGTCTATAAAAAACAGGCTACAACTTTTTTTCCTTGTCCCCCCCCCTGGAATTATTCTCTAAAATTTTACTTTTTATTGTCACCCCCAACTATGAAATGGGATTTTCGCCCCTGGGGCCTTTCCTAAACCACTCCCTACACCCTCTTCCTACCCACTTTCACTGCGTTTCTGCACTCATAATGATGCTCGCCACATTCACTGTCGCCCCAGACCAACTAGCCAGGGGTGGAAGCGGGCTATAAAACCATCCAAAACGAGCCTTAAGTAATGCTTACTGACCATGTGTAACACCATATTGTGTTTGTCATGGAAGACCGCATACAGATAAAGTTCCAAGTAACTTCCCTTTCAAACGTAAACTGCTAAATCTAAGATAGACATTTAATACTTTCATACAGACATTAATATCATACATTGTATTTTGGATAAAATATACCCTTCTCTACTCTCTAGATAAACAGTCCCATTCATGTGATTGTATATTGTCAGCCTATATTTACAACAATTGCAAAAAACAAGCAAATAAACCCAAATAAACACAAAAAAGTTGACAGAAAAAAGTAAAGAAAAGCCACAAGCAAAGATAAGAAGTACGTTTCTATTCATTCCTTTTTTTAATTCTTAATTTACTTATTCATTTGAGTTATTTGTTTCTTTTGAATTTGAATGACAAAAGGACAATACATGGACATTCAGGGAAACAGCAGCACATACAGATCAAATATAAGCGCAATGAAGTTTTATTTTTAACCATGGTTACAAAAAGTAACGAGAGAGAGAGACAGAGAAGGCAGTTTGTCTTCAAGCTGGCCACTGTATTTATATCCTACACCTTGATGAAGGGCACTTCAAATGTGAAGGTGACTACAAATGGAGTTACACTCTGCAAAGGAGCAGTGGTAGGTTGGGTCCAGTTTGGAAAAGGCCCATAGAATCTAATTCTGTGGGAAACACTGAATGACTTCGGTGTAAAAATGGAAGTGATCATTCCAAGTAACATGATATTGGTCACGGGGTGAGATTAAAAGAATCTTAAAGCGACACCACATCCCCCTCCCCTCCTCCCCTGTGTAGACAGGAATGCTAGAGTAGATATTGTAGATTGTGGAATAACCTTTGTAACTTCTGGAGTATCTCCTCTTTTGTTTATATCTCTTATATTGGCCCACTTGTTTTTGATATGTATTTCTAAAAAAATTTTGACTATTTGACTATTTATACTGTACTCACTCTCCCCTGTTTATATGAGTTGGTACAGCCAGATTATGTATTTTGCATTTTTATATCTCATCATTACAAGTATGTAAAAACAATTTTTTATTTTTTTATTTTTTTCTCTTTTTTGATCTATACTATTTATATGGTTCACACTCTACTTCAAAATTAGAGTTGAATCTTGTCGGATGATGAACTGTGCAATTGTAAAGTATTTTCTTGTATCACTGTTTTGATATCTATTTCTATTTATATTGTATGCACTCTCCCTTTAATATTACAGCTAGGTTATGTACTTTGTATTTGTTTCTCATTGATTGATTGATTGTCTGGTTGTTACTTGCCCCGACTATTTAAGCACACACCTGATGACAATCAAGAGTGAATCTGATGACGCAACAAGCGAAACGCGTTGTTCGCTCCTTTTGTTGTTAAACATTTTTGAATAAACTTTGTGTCAATCCTGATATTCTAGTGTGCGCTGGAAGTTTTTGAACTCTTGACTGTGATTTATCCTGCACCAGCTGGCACCTAGAAGAAGCACTGCGCCGCTGTGCACAGGGATTTACTATTTTTTTGTACCACAGTATTTTGTTTATACTGCACACTGTTTTTATTCACTGTGGACCAACTATAAAAACAAAGGTACGTGCTGTGCTGTACTGTTATTCTTGTTTCTGTGGACACAACACAATGCTATCAATAGATACACTGAGCTAAAAGTTCCACGTTCTGTCAGTGTCTGGTTAGACAGAAACACCCACTGACAAGACACCAGCTGTCAAATGCTCGGTTGTTATGCTGTTGCCAGATATGCGACATGGATGCCTTATTGTGTGCGTGTGTGTGTGTGCGTGTGTGTGTGTGTGTGTGTGTGTGGCATGGCCTGTCAAGTTACAAATAGAAACAATAATCCACAGTATGCTAAAATAACTCCACTATTTGTGTTAGCTAAACCTGTGACAATTCTGACCTGTCAGCAGAGCTTCATTTAAATATGTATAGCGTCCACTATTAGTTACGTACAACAGCTAGATCACATGTCTTTCCTCTCATCGGGAATAGTGCACTGCCAGCTGTAAATATTTTGAATGTACTTGACTCACACTGACTTTTGTCCTCAGGAGTAAGAGATAAAGAAGAGATAAAGTTACATAATGGCTCTTGTTTATGTTTGGGTGCTTGGGCATTTTTCCAGTTTACTCTGACTTACCTTTCATCTCCTTCAGACTCCAAGTTTGGCAGGCTGCAGAAAATAGAGGAAAATACATATAAATGGAAGTGTATCTAACAATTCTGCAACTGTTATAAAAATACAGCAAAATTCCCAGATGCCAGGGGACACTTAAGAAGTGTGGTGATGTGATTTGAAAAGGCTCAAAACTTGCATAAACTCTTATTTTTAGAATAATTAAACAGCTCAAAGTGCACACACACATGCAGTACATTCGCATGCATGCACATAACCATTCACATTCTGACTTCTAAAGTCATTAACATCTGATTGGCTCTTCGGAGCTTTGCACATGCTCAGTAGAAGCTGCGGTGTATTTTTAGTTTTGACAAGTTGACACCTCTCTCATCCTGAGAAGGTTACTCTGATCACGTCTGAGTGCATGCACAGAGCGAGGGGCTGATTTACACCAATTTATTGCAGCAGTTGTAGGATCACAGCTGTTAGGAAGTGAAGTGGTGACTGATATTTAAGAAGCTCTGACGTGTCACAAACATACATGTAAACACCCCTGTATGTGCTGACTGTAATATAAGGGAAAGACGTTGACATGAAGGTGTCGGTAACTCTAGGCAGGAGGTGTTAAACTGAACTTAAGACCTATAAATAACAGAGCTTGAGAGAAAACAGAAATGAATATAATGTGTTACATTTATTTTATTTATTGTTTAATATATATTTTAAAAATGCTATATATTAAAATAATGACACTTAGTTGATTACATGATTATCATGATTTTAAAAATTCGAAAGCTGACATTTCTTTAATAAATCATCTTGTTTTTTATTTTTCCCGCAGAACATACATGTTGAGTTTGTTGGCTCCAGTTAAATTAGTTTCGTAGTGATTCAATAATACTACTTCTAACAAATAAACAAACAAACCAAGAAGAAAAGAAATTAAAGATGGATGGGAGATCAGAGCTGAACGATTTGATGAATTGATCATTGTGGTATTATTATTTTTATTACAGTGATCATGGTATGATTTGCAAGGATCTGTACCACAGATTTTTTCTTAAGCCTGTAGAACACGATTTGAAGGCTGTGACATCTCTGCAGTGTCACAGTACTTAATTTAGAATGATACTTTGACACATACTTTGTTTTGAACAAATATCAAGCCCCCTGCGATTTGGATATTGCGCTAGTTCATATTGCATTTTCGACAAAAGCCCACTTAATTGTTCAGCCCTACAAAAGATGCAAATAAGTCTTTTAAGCTCATGCAGTGGACCTCCTAAATTTAGGTTTAAAAAAAACATTTACAACATTGAGTTGTAAAATAAAACTCCTTTTCAGAAAAAAAAGGGAAAAACAAGAAATTAACATAAAAAGGAGCAATGCCATAATGTTCACATCAATTGCAAAAAAAAAAAGAAGAAAAAGAAAAAAGACTCATTAAAAAAATACACATTAACAACACTAAATATTACTGCAAAGGCAAATATTACTTTTGAAAATATTTTTAAATTATAGTGAGCTCTTAATAATATGGTTGGCTTTCTATATCTGTGCACAAAGATATCTCAAGCTATACTGGCTGCTCTCCAAAAAGAACGGAATCGGTGTCAAGTATTACAGGAATTAATTAAAGAGGTTGAAAGAGTTAGAAGTTACAAAGACGGTGGGATGGAAAGTGGCAAGAGTATAAATACAAATAATCTACATACTACAAAAATCTTTATGATGATATTTTTCCCATTTCAGTTGCATGTAAAACAAAAAACACATATGGAAAATGTGGAAAATAAATTCTTTTAAAGCAGATGTTCTGAAGTGAAAAATGTGGTGAGATTACAAGATAATAATTATTATGTCAAATCTCAAATTAGCTTTCTTGTAAGGGGATGGGGATGTACTTAATTCTGAGAGCTAAATTGAGCAATTTCTAAAAACACATAATGAAAGCACTTCAGAAAATAGCCTCATCAGACCTCGTCACATAATGACACTTACAAGACACTGAAGCCTGAATTTCTAATCATCAAAGCCAGGCTGAGGAACTTCCCACAGTTTCTAATGGTCTTTAATTAAATTAAATGTGCTTGAGGTCCACTGATGATGACAGGGAGTAATGGTGCATGCTCATTGGGATGACCACGCCTGATAATGACTGATAATGCTGCCCTTTTGTCAACAAACATCCATTTTAATCTCTTAAAGGTCATTATCACTGACTTTTCTAATTCAATAACTGAAACCCAGCTAAAAACAATATATTTTACAATAAAGTGCTAATTTCACCCTCTGGTTCGGGACATGGTGTCAGTCAGTTGAAGTGTTGCAGTTAATTACTTCAACAGGTACGGTTTGGTGTCAAAACCTCGCTATCCAACTGGCTATGCTACTGAACACAAGATATCCAACCTGCACTGCTTTGACTGGATACAGAAGTCGAGATACAAATAGTCACCTACTTTAAGGAAAGAGAAATCCCAGACGCTCCCTGCTCTGTGCCATATTTGGAGTGGGACAGCAGAGGGGCAACAGGAGCGAGAGGGAGCAGGTGGGTGCGGAAGGAGGGAGGGATGGGATTGACAGGTTTGTAAAATACGATATCAGCAAACATATTACACCCTCAAGGAAATATGTCGTCTTACATGACCTGTTATTTGACCCATCAAAAACTGATCAGACGATCAAAAGCAAGTGACCAACACAATAGAGACACTAGCAGCATAAAGCACGACTGTTGTTATACAACTGCGCTATCACTGTAACATCCTGCAAACTAGTTTTTATGAGCTGAATACATGAACACATGTAGCATGGTGAGCTCAGGTGGAGTGCTGAGGACATGAATACCATCACCTGATCAGTAACAGCTGACTGTCAGCCACAAATCATCCTCACACAAGTCATGAGGCCCTCCTCATAAATCTGACAAGCTTAAATGTGGGCTGTTTTCATTAGTCATGTTGTTTACTCCTGCCAGGCACATGATGCTCTCATTAATCCCCCCTTTGCTTTTTTTATATTTCTTATCTCAGTGATTTGTATCTACTGGGTTTTATTATGTGCTGAATCTGTCAAATCCTCGCAGCTTACCCTTAGATATAGCGTTTCATGCGTGTGCAGCTCCAAATATGACCGACTGAAACACAGCACAACAATAACAGCGACAGACATAGTGGAAACATACAGACAAACTCCTCTGAATGTGTCTGAATGCTTCAGTAAGGCAGAGTCTAAATGACAGCTCCTTAGTCTCTCCCTGGGACACTGATGATAAGTGAGAGGGTTCGGCGCCCGGCGGGGTGTGCAATCCAACCTAATATCAGAGGCAGTGCCAGCTCCACCGTGTGAATGTGTGTGTGGCTGCCAGGGACACCATGGCGATCAAGTAGCGGGAACTAAACTTTGTTGACAAATGGAGACTGATAGCAGCACTATCCTGGGGAGGTGACGAGATACTCCGATGGAGGAGATAGAAGCTAATGACTCCCAGAATGCATCAGGCGGGGGATGAGGATTCAGTTTCAGCTGAGCTATTTCACGTGTTCTGCTTTTCTAGAGGCACTGGGTTTACTTTTGTTGAAACTGACCATCCACATTCTACGGCAGGCCTGCGCATACAAATGAGGAAAACCAAAAATATTCTGATTCATAAAACCGTGCATACGCCTGCCAGTGCAAACTTTCCTTTTATAAATCCCACATCCACTTAGAACTGTCCCCACGTAGAGCCATCTCTTATTCCACCCTCTACACGCCCACATTCAAACATAAACAGTGAATGCAAAGCACCTCATGAATGTTAATGCATAAAAATGAGTCTGCTGATCAGAGGTTCTTTATATGCTGTACTATGGCAACAACCAAAAGGAATGGGAACATTTTTCCCACACAGAAATCAAGGGGCTTGTGGGTGGAGGACAGAGAGCACATACTGTTTGGTGGCCACAGCATCAGGGTCATAAATAAAAGAAAGTACAGCCAGTGGAAACATCTTGCTGCTGCGGTTAATGGGGTGAGTCCAAGAAACAGGACAGTCACATTTAAAGGTGGGTGCAAAGATAAACAAACATAAAAGGAGAATTGCACCCCACTATCTTCAGTAATTTACACAATCTACTGTATATGTGCAGGTGGTGAAGAGGTGCCTTGTGAGGTGACTGCAAAAGGCAGAGTTAGTGTGGCAGCCACTGCGATGCCTCTCAGTCGTGGTCACTGCAGTGATTTAAGACACCAAAACTATATGAAAACTATACTGTACTTGATCATACATGCATAGTATTCGAAGATATTACCGAAAAATTACTGATGCCCTTTTCTGCAGTTTTTAAAAGCGCTGATTTGATGTTATTTTGGATCTCTATTCATGCTTAATATCAGGGAGAGGGAAGCCAGCCTGAATCCTGCCACCTGCCACACCCTGGCATCATGCAGCATTTAGACAGCTGACCATGAGTGTCAGCAGCCTACAGTCCGACCCCCTCCTCTGCGTTAGGGGGTGGGGAATGTGGTGGTGAGACACTGCTGATGAAATATTGAGCAGAATTTGATTTGAGATTTGAGTTAGGTTTTATCTTTTACATTGAAAGTTGTTCATGGAATAGTTATGGCTCACAAGCAAAAAATAACACTGCTGGTTTGAGTGTTTATAATAAAGTGGATTTATAAGTAATGTGTAATATTGAGTGAAATTTAATGTGTGAAAGAATCATTATATGTTTAGTGATGCCTTTCACATCTAATTTCTACAGTCTGGCTTCAATTTACCACCTCATTATCTACATCGCCAATTTTCCCTGTCTCCAAAATGTGTTTTTTAAAAATTAATCCTGTTATATGCTTAGACGGGGGTGTACGTCCACTTCAAGCCCTCTCTTGTGCGCACGCAAAGGTTATAAATGTGGCCCCAGGACGTTATTAGAATGACTCCAGGGGTCACAAAGAGCAATAAAAACAGATGCCAAGTCCAAGCAATGTGCTCCTGCTCTATTAGTGCTGTCTAAACTCATGAGTGGACTGGGCTTCCCTTTTTTTTTTTTGCCATTTTTAAAACTACACACAAAGCCATCAGAGTCGAGAAATTATTTAGTGCAGTGAGTCCAGTCTACTTAATTAATCATTACAGTTACAAAATGCACTGAACCATCTGCATCCAATAAAGCAGAACTATTAACCTAGATCTCGGAAACTCAAATGAACTGAGATGCAGGTGATAATATTCCAGTGAGTGACATTTCATTCATTTAGTACAGTGGTTTCCAACCTGTGGGTTAAAAGCTATAACACACACCTGAGGGGTCACATGATCACCTACTTTTTGACAGTTGTAAAATATTGTAAAAAAAAATTCTTGACCTTGGGAACAAATATCTTAGTTCTTCTGGATCTTACGGCCTAGTCCCATGGCCTTCTTCAGCAACCACGTCTTATAACGTGACTAAAGTTGCATACCTGGATCACAAAAACAACTGAGCTAAAGAAGCTGCTGGATATGGGGAAAAGCTCAATTAAAAAAAAGCTAGTAGGTGACCTTTAAGATTAGAATATAAAATAGAAAACTGCATACAGTTGAGACATGTGCCACTTTTTACAAAAGGTCGCAGACAGAGGTAGCCTGCTTTGATGAGTCACTGCCTAAAAAGGTCTGGAATTTCTCATTCAGCAAACAATTTTGTCAAAGTGACTTACAATATCAATCCCCATAGAAATATGAGCTACATTTGATCAAAACTCTGATCTCTTCATAAAGGAAATGAGTCATTACTAAGTGCTATCATGGCATGCATGGGTGTCATCTGAAAGAAGGGGTGTTTCTAGCCTGCAGCTACAGCGAGTTTGTTAGAATGCTTCCCCATCTGCATTTGACTCATTTTGGGTCAGTAGTGCATGAAATGATCCTGACATTCCTCTACACTCTATCAACCATAAAAATAGGAGCTGCAATATCAGCACAATTTCACTGACCTACAAATCCATTCATGTTATACTGCCATGTCATAGTAAGAGGTCTGATTTTGATGCTAAGTGCCTTGCCCTGTCAAGGACGTAGAATTTATTGCTGCAGGAAAACATTAATGAACGCTCCCTGACAGACCAATTACTAGAGAGATTTAAAAAGCACAAGTCAGAGTGCCACACAGGCTGAGGATGAAGAAGAAGAATTTGCCATGATATTGACCAGAGTAGTGGAGTGGAGTCTCCATGAGGAGTAAATTAACCTTTCACCTCTGAACTGCATTCTATTACAAGATGAACTGTATAACATATTGTACATAGATTTCCCTGACTGCACAACTATCTTACTGCTTTTTAATTGAATGGATGGGGAGGCGGTTGATACACTGGGTGAGTGTTATATAGATACTGTTATGTTAATGAGACCAGCACCTCCCTGTTGAGGAAACTGAGGAAAACCCTCAAAGCCCATGGAGTCATTTCATTGAGGCACAGGAGATACTTAATCACAGTAACTACCAGACATTTAGGACGAACACTGACTAGCATCATCCTCCAGCACTGACTCAGCAACTTGATGTTTAAAGGATGATCTCAATTATTTTCACAGACATCCTTGCTTACAGGGAACTTGAACTGACCTGTTCCAGGTGACTGTTCCTGATACCCTCTGCATCTCTCCCAGCGCTGCGAGCAAAAGAGATGATTTCCCACAACCCACCTGGCCCACAATCATAGTCAGCTTCCCTGAGAGGTTAGAGAGGCAATAACACGGTAATTAAACAGGTACAGGTACAGGTACAGGTACCGGAGGAAATTGGGTAGGGAAACAAATAAGGAGAGGAACTGAGGAGGCAGATTGTACATCACACTGCCTGACGCTCACCAAAAGGAATCTTGATGTCCACATTGCAAAGTGTTGGTGGTCCATCGGTCCAGGTGAAATAACCATTAGTTATCTGAGGAGAACATAGCACAGACTCATCCAGATATCAAACAGAGATGAACTCTTTAACAAGGAAACAACAAACATGTCATCTAGCAACAATGATGCAGAGTGGCAGTGAGGCAATAAGAAGTGAATGTCAATTATGCAAATTTGTGCTATTCTGAATTCTGCAGTGCCCAAAAATTAGGAGCATCTTTCCAGGATTTGTCAGGTTGTGATGATGAAACACCAGGCCAGGTAATTTGACTCAATCAGCACTGCAATCAGAAGCATTTAACCTACTGTGGAAGGAAGTGACACATAAAATAGGCTGAGTATATATATTGTATATAAGACTATCATAGCCTTATATGCACTACGTAGCCTATGTAGATGTACACCAAGGTCTGGGCAGTCTTTTTAAGTCCAATCATTCTTCTTTTAACTTGTCACCCAATTGTGACGCCCTTTTTTGGACTATGCTCATATTGTGTGGCATTATGTTGATATTGTGTATCATAATAGCTCTAAGTCCCATCTTCAATCTCTAAATTAGTTGGATTATTTACTACAATAGTTTATGTAGATTTAATTTGAAAAGTCTGTGTCATACCCATGATATGATAAATGGTTTTAATTTGCTTTTTGATTCATTAATTTTCTGTAACCACGTATCCTGATACAGGGTTGTGGGTGTGCTGGAACCTATCCCAGCTGTCATTGGATGAGACGCAGGGTACAACCTGGACAGGTTGCCATACTAACACAAGGCTGACGCATAGAGACAGACAACCATTACACTCACATTCACACCTATGGGCAGTTTAGTAACTGAGTAACTGCATGTCTGGATTGTGGGAGGAAGCTGGAGAAAACCCACGCTGACACGGGGACATGCAAACTCAACACAGAGAGCCCGGCTGGCTGGTGGATTTAAACCTGGATCTCTTTAGCTGTAAGGTGACAGTGCTAACTACTGCACCACAGTGTCGCCTGCTTTATGATTCAGAAATTAATTTTAATTACCCAGTTTAACTGAAGCCTTTCTACAGCCATACACCTCAGACTATTTACAGTATTTATTCAAATCAGGAGAGAGGACACCATAACAGGAACACTGCCAAAACATAATTTATAGATTTTTATCCCTCATGGAAAGAAGTCTCTCAAAGCTCATAACTGCTACATGTGTTTGCCCGTTTTACTCAGTCAGTGTATTTGGAAATGACTGACCTTTACCAAAAGCTAAAATATTAAGAATTGTGAACGCCACTGCTACATCACCTCAGACATTTCGATAAAACCTGAAGGAATATCATATGTTGTTTCTGACCGGGTGGCATCTGGCGGAGGATGATGCACCCTGTCCTTTTCTCTCCCTCACCTTTATACAGATGTCTTGGTCCACGTCCTTATAGGGTCCATCACCCTCATGGTCCCCTTGTGAGCTGTAGTTGTTCCAGTCGTCCCTCGGGGGGCGCTTCCGGTTCACCACCTTAAGGGGCTTGAGGTGTCGGAACAAAGACGAGGAGGAGGATGAAGGTTTAGAGGATGACTAAAGGAGTGTTGTGTAACATCAGGCACAAAGGACAAATGGGTGAAAGGTGTTATTAATAGGAGGGCGATAAGGTGGAGGAAGAAAACAACATTCACAGCAAAGTGAGACAGCCTGCAGCAGGGGGGATAGTGAGAGAAAAAATTGGAGTATGCACACATATTCCAACCAACGAGACAGGTACTAAGCCGACAGTAAGCAGATATTAAAGTAAATAAATTGCTCTCATATTGCAGGACTACAATGTCCACAAATGTGACTTTCCAGTACAACTCTTCCTCATCCCACTCAGAGATAGCATGTAAACAAACGTCGACCTTGTCTAAATCAATCCAACCCAAAGCTGTGTGTTAACGTGCACTTACCACAGCTTGGTATTTGTTTTGGTTGTGATTGCTGGAGCCAGAGGTTACCATCGTTCTGGGCTCCTGTTCGTCTCCGATCTCATCGCTTGAGAAAAACTCACTGAGCTTCTGAACGCTGCAGATTAAACAGAGGAGAAACAAACATACCATTCAAAACATACCTATGCCATATTTAACTACTACAGCAGATGCACTCAAGCATCACAGACCTTAAATAAGGTCACTTTCATTCATGTAAAGATACAGTAACAGCATCCCTCCTATTTGCTGTGACATCATTCATTCAGTGAAACAAATTGGAAAATCTATGGAGCACAGTTCACTGACAATGAGCGCTCACATATCTCTACATCTCTGAATTAAATCACTTATCTTTTACCTCACTGCCTAAACGAGAACAAATGCTTCCGTGCTACAGGCCACCTAAATCTAATTACTAAACCTGTGCTAAATGTCAGATCTGACACTAATTTTCTTCTATCTACTCATCTATGCATCCATGTGTGTCATGTGTAGCCTACAGTAGAGAAGCACAGGTAACATGCCTCAGTGAACCCTGTGCAAACACTGCAGTATGACATTAACGTATGTTATGATTAGCATGATACGATGAGAATGACTCTTGAAACATGAAAAGTGTCAGTCCACAGGGAGAAGAACTGATGCTTATTCACCACAGGACAACTCTGAAAATTAAATGAAATATATTAAAGGCTGCACAATGACTCTGCATTTACAGTATCACCTAATTAGCTTCTTTCCTCTACAAAGAGACATTTTCTCATGATGTGGGAAGATAAACCAAATCTGTGAGGGTTTTTTTTTTCTATCCGGTGTCTGACAAATTGTGTCAGATCACACAGTCCTAAAATAGACACCTCAAAGGATCACAGGCAGCCTCCACATTCAGAGAGACCAAAGCCACTCTAATAAGGTGCTTACACCAGCACTGTTGTAATAGCTAGTCTCCTAAAGGCCCATATGGAAAATGCTTGATGTTGGTTTCATCATTTCCTCCCATTACAGTCCTGCCCTGTGATCATTTTCAAGACGTAAAGATCGAGATGATGGGATTAAAAGTGACACGCTCTCATTGCCTGAACAGTCTGAAGGAAAAGAGTTCTGCCTCACTGACTTAATGACACACCCTGAGAAAACCGTTTTGATCTTTTAAGCAGTAAATTTATTCATAATAGATGTTGTTAATTATCCGCGTGAAGAGATTATGCATCAAGAAGGTGTAAATAACCACCTCAGGTAAAGCAGTGAGTTTGCTATTCACAGAACAGCCAAATGTTGAAGCTTAATTTTACTCTCATCTAATTATATATGGAAAGTAAACACTTCAATTCTCTTGCACATGATTACTTTTATAGCTCAAGTCAACACTTTTAAAGAGACAATGAGAAATGAAATGCTTATTTTTCCTCTTACCTGCAGTGCTATTTGTCAGTCTAGATTGTGTTGGAGATATCAGCCGTAGAAATATATGCCTTCATGGTATATAATGCAACCAGATGGCACTCAGCTTGTGGTGCTCAAAGTGCCCAAAAAATATATTTGAAAAACTCGACAGCAATGTCTCTTTCCAGAAATCATGACCCAGTTACTCAAGATGGTCCACAGACCTTGCTGTGAGCAGTTTCATAGGAACTATTTTCTCTCTACTGGTCTACACCCATCAACTGTACAGAAGGAAGCATGTATCTACTGCTAGCGTAGCTCATCTAGCACCACTGAGCTAGCTAACGTTAAAGCACACACAAACTTCAGTATATACCACACAGGCTGGGTAGGACCAGGGTGTGTGTGTGTGTGTGTGTGTGTGTGTGTGTGTGTGTGTGTGTGTGTTTGAAACAGAAATATTTGCAGTAATTATCTTAAACAGCTGGATAACTGGCAGATTTACAGATCCTTCTACTCTGTGATAGTCACAGTAATTGATGAGGTCCATTTGCGATGCTCTTACATTATTTATGATGTAAATATTTCATTGTTCATTTGCGATGCAGACTGTTTATCTCAGAAAGATCCCAGAGTGCCCAGAGATTGAGTTCCAGTGGCACCTAATGATACTAAAGACCGCATCTCATCTTCTCATCTCTACTTGTTTGTGTATGTGTTTTTTATTAGATCATCACCATGAAAGACGGTACAATACAGACTGAAGGGGCTCTAGAAGACATCCAGAACTCTCTGAGCAGTGGAAAACCCTGATGCACTGACAGGACCAGGAGTTTAAGATGGTGATGAGTGGACATTCAAAGTGCTAATGAATCCTTAATGACTCAGAATCTTTGCTTTCTTTTAATTTAACAGTTTTTATACTTAGAAGAGCTGCCGCACAAGCCAGTGCTGCCAGTGATTACTTGGATGTTTGCTTAACTGGGCAGTTCACCCCAAAGTAGCAAAAGAATACATTTCAAAAACTCAACAGAAATCATGACCTGGTTATTCAAGATAATCCACAGACTTTGTTGTGAGCAGTTTCATGTAGGAACTACTTTCTTTTTACCAAACTACATCCGCTAACCATATCACCTTGTAGAGGGAAGCGTTTATCAACTGCTAGCTCGCCTAGCACCACTGATCTAGCTAATGTTACAGCTCAGCCGAGGAGAACGCCATTCATATTTACATGTTGCTGTCACAACCACAAGCCTCTCATCCATTAGTAAATTCATGCCTCCTTCTGCGCAGTGATACAGATGGCCACCTAGTTCCATTATAATCGAGAGAAGGCAGACATCTTTATAGTCCATATCTCCAACACTCTGCAACTCACACCAAAACAATCTAGACTGATGAATAGTGCTACAGGTGACAGGAAAAATATGCATTTTGAACTCGGGGTGAACCTTTTGTACTTGTTTATTTACTCATGTTTATTAAGACATCTTGAGCAGTAGAACACTCCCTCCCTGCAGCATGTAAGCTTAAAAAAAATAAGGTTTCATCATTTGTATCATACTTGCCCTACATAGATCTGTAAAAATATAAGAAGTGTACCCATCAGCTTTGTCACTCAACATAATAAGCAAAGCGGCATACACATGAGGAGTTGCTGACTTGTGCAGCATCAGTAGTGGGGGAAGACAGATCTCTCAATCTGCAGCGGACTAATCACAACAGATGTCTTGACTGCCAAACTAATCGTGAAGCTAATTACTGCGGTAAATAAGCACAACATCCCAGTGCACTAAAACAAAAGAGATCTGAGGCACTTTGTTACATGAACAAAGGCCGATCTGATAATTGAGCTGATCCATCTACTGCAGGAAAAGGTTGAGCGTTTCATCTAATCGTGTTGCTTTCACTACTCTGATCACTGCCAGTAGTGTTTCTGTTGCTGCAGCTATCTTCTTCTTCTTTCCTGAACTATAAACAGTCAAAAACAAACCAGTCTTTCATAGTTTATCTTTAGATTATGCAACTATATTGTCATTTATATAAAAAGATGATAATTCTGTTCATATTTTATAGGAGTGTCCAAAAATGTCTTCATACTGGGTAGATGTGGTTACAGAGATCAGATTCATAATTGGCTCAGAGCTTGTTTTTAACTTCAGTGTTACGTATTTGGGAAATGTGCCACCCGGGCTTAAGCAGCAGGACAGATATTTATTACTGAGATATTTATTACTTAGTGCTATTAGCAGGTATTAAAAAAGCAATAACCAGAAACCTGAACCTCTGAATGGATAAAAATAATCCACGTGCCATAAAAATGTGAAAAATTCCTGTTGAATTTGAAGTTATATTTTTGTCATATATATCTAGTTTGTTTGCATAACTTTGTTTTATTCCCCTCTGTACCAACAAAGTGGACTGTAGCTTCTAAAAAGATGGAAGATACCCTGGTTTTTTGTGACTTACAGTGATGGAAAATCAGGACCTTCGTGATTTTAAAGGGCAATCATGGACATTAAGGACCGAGCACAGTTCCTGATACTGCACTGTAACCCAGCTTCTTTTCATTTCTGTTTTACACAATGTCATTTCACCTCACCTACGACGACTCTGTCTTGTGTCCCTTGTTTTGTCTGTTCTTGTCAAAAACAATGAAAAGAAAGTATAAACAGAAGACGATACATTTTGACATTGCACTCTGCTGTAAAAACACATTTTAGTTTCTCACCTAACAAGAGCCTTGACAGTGGAGCGCACCACACTGGAGAGCAGGAAGAGGGGCGTGACCAGGATGTGAAAGAGGGACAGAGAGGCAAAGGCCACAGCTGGGGACAGATCAGCATCTTCGGAGATGTGAACATGAACCACAAACGTCTGCAGGGTGAGAGGGAGGACAGAACGACTGAGGTTTGAGGTCTCAACGGGGTGGATTTACATCCTTAACCCTGCACTGGCTTATAGTCACTCATGGCCTTTTCAAAGGGAAACAGGAGTCATCCTCTGGCTGTCAGCATCAAGTTGAACCTGAGTTGTCCTTTTAAGTTTGAGGAGCACGATAAAATCGAATCAAAGATGAATCACTTGTCTATCTTTGTCGTTTATAATCGTCCCTCTCCTTGGTATCTGTCTGCATTTTCCAATTTGTCACCGCTCAAGTCCACAACCATGAAGGACTTCTATAAATACAGACAGGATTTAGGGTAGTGCTGTCAAAGAGCCCTACACTGTGTCACTGTGAAATGTCACTAGACACTGTCTCCGCTCTGTCCTCCATACAGAGGGAAAGTCAACGGGATGCTCTCTGCTCAGTCGTAACTAGACTCAACTGTAAGCATCTTGAGCGAAGCATATTGGATCCTTTATATTTAGGTGAATTAAAGAGCTAGAATTCAAACTCACCGTCAATACAGCTGCAATGGGAATAGCTGCATTCATGAAAACTGAAAGCAGAAAAGACACAGACAGGAGGATGTGAAGGTATTTTCCAGGACTTTACCAGTGAAAATAAACAGTGTTGAGAAAAGTAAAAGCAGGACAGCTATTATGGGACTTTTTTCTATTGTTGCTGTACATTCTCACAAAAAAAATCACAAGTTTATTATTTCAACGCAGATATTCTGTTTCATTTGAATTGAATGATAACTTGGCTCCCTTACCTTTTGGTTTCAAAAAACCTCTTCACAACTAACAAAACAGACTCAAAAATACATGTCTGTCTGCAAGTGCATACCAGAGAATCACAACATCCTGTGTGAGGACATTTGTTACTCTTCATCATCTTTTCCCTGACCAATATTTTCTGTGACCTGCCATTTTCATCTATGCAGTAAATTCAAAATGTCATGAAATATTACCTAGAAAATGAATGGATGCCGAGACAAGAACAAGTTTGTTGCTGCAGTGACAGCGTAGTCTCAGCTTTGCACTAAAGACACAACTTCGAAAGACGAGTGATGAATGCAGATGTTTGCTCTCAAATCCTTGTTCAGCAATAGTTACTGTTCACTCACAATGCTGGTAGAGACAAGAAAAAACCAAGCCCCAAGGAGCAGAGCCAGGCCTTGAAGCCAATTTGACATAATGCCAAACCATGGAATTACAGTTTACGAGTCCGTCGTGTGATGCCATGGGGCCCAATAAAACTTTATCCCCACAGACTTACATTGTCAAAGAGACATCTGTAGATCAGTGGATACATTTTTTGAGCAAAACCAGAAGATAGCCGCTCAGCAGGTGAAAGTCTCTAGTGCATTTGCTCTATGGGCCCAGTGATGCTGAAAATCTGCATCATTTTTTACTTTCTTTGCTTCATGTGCCACAGAGCAACAGTAAACAGTATGCTGCTTTACACACAAGTGAGTTGAAGAGTATTGTGTAATGTCTGTTTCATTAGCTCCGCCTACCATCTTTGGCAGGGCACCCACTGCTGGGTGATGGAAAATGCATCGCCAACTGCACTGTTTGTGATTTTCCTAAGAATGTCACCACAGGCACCCAGTTTCTATAACTGCAAGACTCAATCATCACTGTAATATCTCATTCAATGAGAAATAGTAACTGAACAGACATTTATTTAAAAGAAAATATTTGAAATTACTCCCTTAAGGGTGAATAAATCTTTTCTATTACTGTCATAAAACTGTTGTGTTTCATTACTCTCTCTTGTAAAGAAAGAAATTATGATTGCTCACTCCTCTTAAATCTGCAGTTATTGATTTTGGATCGGACACAGTCTATTACAGGACTGGAGCCAGGCAGACTGCAGTCACTGGTCACCTGGAACAAGATAAGGAGGACAATCCGTAGAAAACAAATAAGCATGACTTCAGTGAGGCCTTAGGTAGTGGGTTGTGCCTAGAACATTAGTTAGCTTTACATCCAGTTATTTTTATACTTGTGTGCTGAATAATAGATGTTGCCTGGGTATTGTGGGGTTCAACATAGTTTGATTTACAATAGAAACACATGAGTCATGTGAATAGTGATGTAGATAAAAGCCTTGTGCCTTTCTGTGAATGTTTTTTTCTGAGGAAGAAACATTAATTTTTTGCAGCATTTCATGAAATTCAGAGAGCAAAGTTCAATGTGTGCAGAGGGAACAGAAAGCCTTACTGGATATAGATGTGTAAAGAGCGAAGGCCTGCAGGCTGGTGAGCTCTTTGTCTCTGGTCTCCTCCACACTGTCACAGAAGATATGTTCCCAAGCATATAGCTTCAGCAGCTTGATGCCTCGCAGCAGCTCGTTGGTCTTCTTTAGACGTTTGCTGGAATATTCCTGCAAGTAAGAAGGGGAGACTTTGATTAAAGAACCGTAATCCAACACATCAGGGGCAGATCAACTGTAAGAGGTGCAGCCAGAGGGCGACATGGGAGTAATCACCTGGACTCCCTGGATTCAATTGCCGATACAAGCATCTGAGCCATAAAAGAATAGTGTTTTTCTCTTATATAAAAATCATGTTCCACAATATCAGGGACTGCAGGAAACAGCATCATTACAATCAATAAGACTTATTTTATAGCAGCTCTTAGAGCAGTTGGAAGCAGCACAAAGGCTTAAGGCAAGATGAGAATAGCTTGTGTGACTGAAAACATTTTATTGTTTATTTCTATCCCATAAAACAAATGTTTTATTCCACCGAGGGGATAATTATGTTTTGAGGTGTCCAGTTAGGTGTGTGTGTGTGTGTGTGTGTGTGTGTGTGTATCTGAGAGCAAGAGAAGCCTGTGATGTCATGATTCAACACCATCATTACATCCACCTCATTACCTGGTATGATGTGGACAAGCCAATATTGACCAACTCTGTTTGCAAAGTTCTTCATGATCTCTCAGAGCTCAGAGGCCACACACACTGAAGACACTGATTGCATTTAATTTCAAAATTTGAAGAGAATTGTTGGTAACCAGACACTCTGGCAAAACTAAGCACTACTGTTAGTTTAGTCAGGACCACTTTAGTCAAAGACAACTTTATTTTCATTTCAGTATTATATTTGGTGATATGGCTCTGTTCTGGGGCCTCTCTGCCTTTCCAAGGCCTATGCAGAAAGCCTAAGGCGGAGAGAGCACACCTCTCTGCCCTTCCACACGCCTACAAAGAAAGCCTGAGGCGGAGAGAGCATACCTCTTTGCCCTTCCAGCCGCCTACCCAGAAAACCTAAGGCGAAGACAGTGCACCTCTCCACCCTTCCACACGCCTACATGGAAAGCCTTAAGGCAGAGAGAGCACTCTTCTCTGCCCTTCCATGGGCATACGAGGAAAGCCTGAGTCTGAGCGCGCTAACCTCCCTGCCCTTTCATGTGCCTACATAAAATGCCTGAGTCAGGGAGAGCAGAGCAGCATCAATAACAAACAGAAATGACAATGATAAGACACAACAAGAAAAGGAGGAGCTGGGGTGGAGGTGGGTTGCAAAGCGACTTGCAGAGGAAACAGCAACAGAAGGCAGGTCAGAGCAGTTTAAATAGGGCGCCCTGAATGAGATTTGCCAACTGGTTGTATTGAAATGAATCATGTGATCTATCAGCTGACTCCCTTCCATCAGTCAGCTGCTCCTTCAGTTGATTGGGCTGTTTGAGATCAGCTGATGTACCTGGGATGTGAGCTGAGCTTAACATTGTGTCCTGCCTGAACTAACGCTATGCTTATGTGACTGTGATGCAAAGGAATAATAGGTTTCTAAAATTCTTTGTTTCCAGCATGATTATAACACAATAGTTTGGAAGCGATGCTAGCAGCTCTGTGATGCTGCAATGCTCATTGCAAAGCAATCCAAAGCAGGGTTGAAAATTAACTTTTTGTCCACATCTCACTGTGGCTGGTGAATTCCAAAATCCACCAGCCACTTTCTAGGTTACCATTGTTTTTTTGGCTGGTAAATAAAGCAAATCTAGCACTTACATGTTTTACCAGCATTTGGCTGGAGGCTGGTGCTTATTTCCAACCCTGATCAAAAAGTATTACACAAAGTGAGGTTTTGACCTGATAACGGTGCTAAATGAAAAGTCACAGAAACCTTGAATGTCTGCAGAAATTGCATGGTAGTCTATCCAATAGAAATTTCAGCCTGAACCACAAATGTCAACCTCATGATGTTATTAGAGGAAAAGTCAAGGGATCACCAAGGTAATTTTATCCTCAAAGGCTCATGAATGTCTTCACCAAAAAATGTGTGCCAATCTTTGTAACCAATGTTGAGATATTTCACAGGAAAAGTGAAAACCTTGACCTGTCAGTAGTAGATGAAAAGTCAGGGGATCATCAGAGTCACTGGGATACTTCCTTTGGTCACCATGAGTGTCTGCACAAAGGTTCATACAAATCCTTCCAGCAGTTGTCAAGACATTTCTTACAAGAACTAATGGTGGCCTTGGGGGACTATGAATGTCTGTACAAAATGTCATGGCAAGACATCCAATACTTGTTTAGATATTTCAGTCTGGACCAAAGTGGTGGACAGACCAATCCACCACCTGCCTCACCATTAGACTTTGCCTTCCATAGCCACTGGAATGGTTATAAATAGATCAAAATAGTCACAAGCAGTACTGCATCTTTGTAGAAGAGCCAAAAAAAAACTCACCAGGGTGCTCTTTTGAGTTTGGGACAGCTTAGTGGCCACAAAGTATTGTACAGGAGCTAACACAGCAATGACGGTCGCTCCAATCAAGGCACTGATTCCCAAGAGGTAGTAGAGCAGGATCACTCCCACAATAATCTGAGAGTGGAGGGTATAGAGAGAGAAAGAAAGAAAGAAAGAAAGAAAGAAAGAAAGAAAGAAAGTACTGCGTTAACCTTGTGGAGAAAAAATGAGGAATAAAAGATTTCTAAAGACACAGTGCTCCCCACTGACCGTACCATAGTGCACCATGTCGTGAGGAACATTGACCTTGAGCATAATAAGGACATCACTATGGATGCAATAATATATCACGCACATGACATGCATCTTAAAACTGTGATTTCTGATACCTGCAAAGCAAATGCTGGGAGAATGACAGCGGCCTTTGAAGAGACATGATTATTTATTTGGATGTTCACACTGAAGAATTAAGAATGATCAAACACTAATATTTATGAATTTCCATCCTCCACATACAGTAACTGTCTCTCTCTAGGTTTACAATAGAGATGAGTCATGTTTCTCCCTGTCCTTGGCTCCCTCCAGCCACCCACCGTCTTTGGCGTCACACTGAGCTTCTGCTGGATTCAAGAATCCCCAGGATACACGAAGCCAGATGGAAATGTGTCACATTACTCTCTCCTTTATCTGTCGCAGGATAATGTGTCCCACTGGGGACGAGGCGGGTGAGGAAAAAGCAGGATATGATTCGAGTTCCTTTGTGATAACTCTAAAAAAAAAAAGTAACACTTTTTTTTTTTACAGTGGCTGCCTCCCGGGTATGAGCCATGTAACCATGGCATTTACCATGGCATTGTATAGCTGTGGAGCTGCCAACCTCTAGCGTGAGTCTTATCATATGTTAGTGTGTTGTAAAAAGCTTCACACTACATACAATAACATACTCCATGGTCACTTTATGCAATATCTACCAGGACTAAGTGTCTAAAGCCATGGAAGTGGCTATATTTAGCTCAATGTCCCTTCTAAAATGGTCCTGATAATGGCCCTAGTAAAAGCAAATCACTAAACTCATTGGGATTCATTCTTTAGGAATCATGAGTGTTTATACAAATCTATCTTGTAGATTTTGAGACATTTTACAGGATAAGTCAATACTTTGACCTGTTGGTGGCACTATATGAAAACTTTAAGGATCACCACAACCATTTCAGTTCATGCTGAGGGGAATACGATTATCTGTGCCAACATTTTGTGGTAATCCATCCAATAGCTGGTGAGATATTGTAATGTGGGCCAAAGTGGTGGACAGACAGGGCCAAAATTGTCATCATTAGTCACACCACTAGCATGGCTAAAACAGGACAGGCACAACAATCTTCTCTAGATACCCTTATTCAAGTTTATGTAATAGGTCATTATCTTGTATAAAAGCAAATCAATAAGCAACTGTGAACCCTATATTTCCTGATTAAAGGTTCAATTTGGGGAAAGATAGTTGATATTTGAGCCTTATGGGTCAAATATCGACGACCTTGGGTTGTTGTCAGACTGAACCGGCTACCCAAAGTGTAGGTTTCTGACAACCTGGAAATGAGACTCAACAATGGACTGTATTTCTCCAGAATTACATACCACACCTTTAACTGCAGCAGCTTTAAATAAAATGAACATTTAAATATCACTTTAAAACTTTGAGCAAAAGAGTTGTGTGTATTTGTTTACACAGTGCATGAGTCAGTTCCAGTCTGCTGAGCGTTAGAAAAAACTTTTCCACAGGAGACATTTTGGCACGTCATAGCAGGATAAAAACAAGTGAAACATAGCATTATAAAAACTGCTCTACATTTAAGTGAGCTAGTTTCAGGATCCTGGTGTTGTGCATGCTGGCTCACTGGCATGGCTTACTGGGGAACTTGAATTAAGTCATTTCACCTGTGCTTTCTCTGCTATGACAAGTCAAAATGCCTGCTTTTACAAACAAACAAAAAAAGAGATCTATTTACTTCACTGATGAAGAAGATATGCTTCAATATGTTATTAATCAGCAGGTCATGCGATAATCCTTTTTCACAGCAAAGATTTGGGCATGTTACAGTGGGAAAAGCTGTAAATAATAAAAATGAATGACAGCTGAATTTCATTTAGCTGCGTCTGTTCCAGGGTCCTGCTATTAAAAAGCCATTAAAAATCAGCTGACATATCTGAGATCACCGGAAAACTTCAAAAGCCCATCAGGGCGGGAGGCTGTAAAAATCGAGCACAATGGATTGATTCACAGTCTGGGGCAGACAGGTAGGCACAGATGGAGAATACTAATGCAGCTCAGACCTCAGAGGAACCATCAGCATGTTTATACTGCTGCTGAATAGCGTAACACAGCCTGTTTACGACCTGCTGTGACTGTCTTTTTGTTCATAAGAATAACATTTTCATATTTTTGCAGACACATGAAGCAGAAAAGGTGACACGTTGACCATCTTTCTATCTACATACAGTCTATGGTTTATGCCTTTAAGCTGTCTTCAAAAATGTTATCACTGAAAATACAATAAGGAATAGGTTAAGGGAAACTAAAATGCATATTAAAGAACTATTACTGATATAATAGGTAATGGTGTCAGTTGAAAAACATCTGTGAATGCTGAATCCTGGATGTACGATTCTTTGTTAACAAATCGTATGCAAACTGTGTTAGATTCATCCTTGTATTTTTGTCTCTGTCATCTTTTTTGGTGTTTCAGAATAATAAGTCCTTCTTAAGCTTTTTCATGCAAGAGAGAATTTTTCATGGACAGTGCCTCCTGCCATAAAAAGATAAGAGGATACTTTCCTTCAGGCACAGCACATGGTGCCAACAAAGGCCATAATAAGCCAGAAGAAATATCAGGCACAGGAGAGAATCAATGTAATAGTGCCTCAATAAAGCATTAGAGAACTGTGAGGCAAACTGTGATTTGTGATATTGGGCTTTATAAATAAAATTGAATTGAATTGATAATTATAATACCAGCTGCAAAAAACACATTCATACAAAATGAAAACCGCTGTACAACTGTCTGAGTCGACAATATCTCGTGGCTTATTGTGTTTTTGTGTCCAGATCAACTCACTTTCCTCTCTGATGACTCTATTCTGTAAAGTCTTCTGGTTAATCAGTATTCCAAACACATCTTTGTCGCTCTTTCACCACAGCTATTGTTGTTCCTCTGAGTTGCAACAGCTTTTTCTGGTTCCCCAAAGCTTTGATTTCCGTGCACCTCCACTGGCATGGAGTGTACATAAATGAACAATATGCAGCAGCAGCATGTAAATGTAAATGTGGCAATGTGTGTAACTTTTCTATTCCAGGCAAAACGGATTTTACATTTGATATGGATGAAACGATGAAGGGCTGGAGGGAAGAAGAAAGAAAGAAGAAGCAGGTGAATATGACAATATCTTGAACAGAGCGAAAGAAATAGTGAGAAATAATGAAAACACACAATAAACTCCAGTCTCAAAAACACAGAAGTACATCCAGCAGGTTTCCTTGGGCACTGGATTTTCTTGAGAAACTAATTGACCTCTAGGGTTTGTTGAAATAGTATTCTTATGATTTGCCAGGATAGTTGGTTTCAACTCTAATTTCTCCTGAGGAATTAATAGCATACGCCTAACAACATTGATTGTACTGTATTGTGTGTGATGAATTACACAATCCTCTCAAAGGACAGCATTACAAAGCATGAAGGTCGCACACTTGCAATCGACAGCGCACGTTCACTGTGAATCTTTTCTAACTCCCTCAGGGGCTACACCTGACCTTCCTTTCTCGGCCTTCACACCTCTGTATACAATCCAGTATTTCCCACATGATCATAAAGCGAGCTTTGCCTTTGACCACAAGCCTGATGAGAAAAGACAATGCACCGCATACAATGAAAAAGACAACATATAGCAGAACTCAGCACACAACAGTACAGTCTAAAAAAAGAGCAGTGTAGCAGACACCTTTGAAAAGTTTCACACAAAGAAAAAAGTGCAACAATACACAAAACAAAGTAGAGCAACGCAACAAAATAGCACAAACAACAAAATTATACTACGTAATACTTTGCATTACAGTGTAAAACTTAATTCATAGTTGTTTTGTCCTAAGGGATTACGCTTTAGCTACGAAGCCTTTGCACGTAGATGACATGCGCCTACTCAAAAAGATAACTACAAGTCCATGTAGGTAGTAGGTAGGTAGTCATAGTTGTTTTGTCCTAAGGGATTACGCTTTAGCTACGAAGCCTTTGCACGTAGATGACATGCACCTACTCAAAAAGGTTACTACAAGTCCAGGTTAAGGCACTTACAAAGATAACACATGAGCACTGCAAGAACTCACTACTTAAAGGGATAGTTCAGATCCTTAGAGGTGGGGTTGTACGTTTCCATAATCAGTGTGTCACATACAGAAGATGTCAGTCAGCACACTCACAGTTTGGAGAATGAGACAGGAGTAGCGACACGGAAACTAGGTAATGTACTGCTACGGACAGGGGCAGCAACAAAACTTATTTTAGCCACCTAATAAAAGTCCAACCAAAAAAAAAGCATGATCCGTGTAAGTGTCTGCTCCATTTAGAATATTTTCACTGCTTTATCTTGCGGCCAGACAACAGTTTGTAACTATAGCTGTTATATCGCTCTCTTCAAAGCCAGACTTCATTGAGGAAAACAATAATTTAATATCACTGAAAACAGGAGCTGCTGGTCTGCTGCCTCGATCAGTTAGATCGTTTGTGTTACTGTGTGACTTCCACATTTAAAAGGGTCAGCTTGGATTCACCAAAGTCACAATATAGCACAGACAAACTGACTGATCAAGGCAGCACTAGACCAGTAGCCCCCGTGTTCAGTGAACTAAAATGACTAATTTTCTCAATGGAGTCTGGTGGCTTTGACGGGAGCAAAGAGCAGTCCCTCCAGGATGTTGCGATGTTGAGTTTGCAACAATTAATACAAATTCAGCCAGTCCTCGTGAATTCTGCACAAACTTGGAATTTTTTCCAATGACCGCAACCTTACCACGAATTTTACTATTCAAAACGGTTAAAATCTCATTTCATTGTAGAGCTATGTGCAGCATATGGATTCGCTCAGCCCTCTCTTCTCTGTTTATCATGAGACTTGAGCTCTGTGCCTAAGACAAGGTTCACACACACACACACACACACACACACACACACAGTGGCAGGGCTAACTGTTAGCCTCACATGGCTAACATTACCTAATAGTTACGAACAGGTTTAAGGACAGAGTCACGCCGTTTCTGTGTTGGATGCTGACCACTGGAGAGGCCCTTTTGCCCAAGCAACAAAATATGACGAGTAGGGATGAGATCAAGTTGTGTTGTGTTAGCTTGTGCTAACCAGGCAGAAAGAGCTGAAGGAGAGCAGCTCACAGAGAAGAGACATAAAAGGCTATGACCATTGGAACATGTATTTCAATTTTTTTTGAAAAGCTGCATGAAATAAGACAATTCAGGCCACAACAATCCCAAAAACAGCTCACAAAATCCTGGAGGGACTGGAGGGATGGCTTCCCTGTCAACATGAGCTGTCTGAGACAAGGTAAAGCGGTGAAAATATTCTAAATATAGCATACACTTGAACTGATATTGATGTCTGTTTTTTAAATGGCTAAAAACATTTTGCTGCTGCCTCCCCTCCACAGAAGTACATTGCTTTGCTTCCATGTTAGTATTCCTGCCTGCTTCTCCAAACTGGGGGCATGTCGACCAACAGCTACTGTATGTGATACACTGACTGTGGATAAGTACCTCATATAATCCCACTTTAAAATATCCTAACTATACCTCTAATAGAGTAGATCAAACATGTTTCTTACCTGTACTGGCATTGCCCACAAGTTAGGACAGAGAAAGAAGAACCACATGAGCTGGTTGGTATCTATGGCAACCAGGTTACAAATCTGAGCGACAGTTAACTCCCCCATGGACATGTTGGAAGTGCACAGACGCATGATCTTGTTGTAGATTTTTGTCTGGAGAAAGAACAGTCACATTCAGACCCATGTCCACAAACAGTAAAACCTCTTAGTCACGTGTTTCATGGAGAATTTCATGTACCTGTATGGCGCCACGCAGGTTAATGCCTGTTTCAATAGCCACATAGTAGGAGGCCTGGAGGAAGGTCCTTTGCAGGAGCAGGGCAAAGAAGAGCAGCACAGCCAGCACATATGCATTCTCCAGAAACTCCTTGGAGGAAATGAAATAGATCCCCATCAACCTCATCTGGAAGAATGGAAAGGTTATAAGAGGAGGAGATAGAGCTATCGACCGGTTTATCATTGTTAGACAGGCAGGGACGTCAGCAAGGTCAATCACACAGGCTGAACTCTGCAGAATTTGATTCAACTCGAGGTAGTGTCAGTGATGACTTTGAGCTAAAACGGTTCCTGTTTACTTTCTCAAAAGTGGAGGGTGACCGATCCATTTCAAATGTATCCTTTACATTTCACAGTAGGGCTGCAGCTTTGCACATGAAACCCCAATTACACTAAAGTGCAGTGGAGTCCTCATCAGAGAGCAGAGATAATAGTGTATCACACAGCTGATATGTGGAGTGTGAGCCAGAAACCAAAGATGAATGTGACTCAGCTATAGGAGCAGATACAGATTCTCCTTCAGTGATTAATTAATTACTCAATCAGGCATCATTCGCTCAGGAAGAATTAACATTTATTGATGTGTCTCAACTCTGAATCCACTCATCCGTAAAATTTATCTGGTCTCTCTTTCTCATCATGCTGCCAAAAACACATTTCTCACTCTCTCCATAAGACCCAGAAACATCACTGACTCAAACAGTCACGATTTCACAAACCTATTTTCACTTCTCTCTCCAAACTGATGCGCTTTCGAGAGCATTTACTGAGTGCCTGGCGAATCTTTTAACCATTTTCCAATTAAATCTGGATGCTCCACCAGCTTGTATGGATGTGACTTTCAAAAAAATAACTGCAGAGTTGTTCATGCGGAAGGATGCCTGAGTGTCATTCTGCCCTGTGTGGAATCTAAGAAACCGAGATAGCTCCGCCAGCAATAAGTCTCATAAATATTTGACGAGGACTAAATTAGTACACCATTGGAGGCAGGTGCACCGGGGAGAGAGGGCATCATAAATGTCCCATCAAACTGTAACCGTGACCTTTGAGAGGCAGGAAGAAGCCATGTGACGTCTCCGTCACGTCTGCTGAACCTGTCTGTTTTTGAATCATCATCTCAGCTCTCTGTTTATTTCCAACAACATCTCTGTGCTTTCTCGGAAAGAATTCGCTTTTACTCAGAACTCCCGTGGCAACCAGTGTCTTCACTGGTTATCTCTGCACGTTCTCACTGCAGCACACAAGTGTAAAGGCTCACAAATAAATGCAGATAAAAATGGGTTACTGCAGGTAACTGGTGTCTCTGCCAGCTGTACTGATAGGTGAGACTCTCTGATGTGATATCCGTGTGAAAACAGACAACAGCATCAGAGCCAAGATACATTCTGTCAGGAGGTGTCACTGTCACTATTCCTTCATTTGTAAAGCTAGATGAATAAATTATGATTACCATTTGCAAAGGAATATCAAAGGCCTTGAAAACAATTAGTTTTCAGAATTCATTTTTATGTCAAGCTTTGGGCTCTTACATGAACACAGTTTTCTGCAGTGTTGTGCAGTTTTTGTTTATTTCACATGAGAGATTTCAGTCTGTGCTCCTCTCACTGGTTTGAAGTGGGTGTTTGCTTATGCTGTCAACACTCTCAGTCAAATTTGATCAAAGCACACACACACACACACACACACACACACACAGTCCTGATGAAGCTCTTCATATATGATAACTATGCATTGCTTTTTCTCCAAACTTTACTGTTAGTGCTGCTTAGATGTGAAATCAGGTTTCCAAGGCCTTTATGAAATAATGTAGGGATATACTAATCAGGCAAAAAGAGAGTAAAACTGAAGCTGTTGAAGGAGGAGATGTAAGAAAACTGCAGCTGAGGAGAGAGGACGTCTAGACAAGCAGGTTAAGCCTGGTTAGTTTTGCACAGAATAATAATAATAATTAATATTGTATTAATAATAATACAAAATTTGACAGCTAGATTTTGGAGAAATTTACAAAATTTACAAAACCAAAATTAGACAGGGTTGTTCCATTTTTCACTAAATAATTTTAAGAAGGCTGTAATCACATTAAATAGCCTCAGAGTAAGAACTTTAAAAAATGGTGTGACATGGCAGACTCGAGGTTTACTCACTAGTTCTGGAGCTTATGACCGTATACCATAGCTGTTTTTCAGGGAATCACAAATCACTAGCAATAAAGAAGATAACATTGGATCCTTTGAATTATCCAGTGAAAATGAGAAACAAATTCAGCAGCTACATTTGCTTTCTAAGGACAGAGTTTAATTCCTTACATGATGTCAGGCTACGCTACCCTAGTAGGTGTATGGCAGTGTGGTTGACCCCTCACCGGCTGCTGAATGGTGCGGTTGTCCTTGCTGATGTGATGGACGATGCCGGAGATGCACAGTGGGCCGGCGAAGCCAAGCAGGTCGGCCAGGAAACGGAATGTGATGCTGAGGATGAGGGGTCTGCCGAACGCTTTCCTCAAGGCTTCCCAGATCAACTTCGGGCCCTGGGGTGCTGTGCCCTGAGGCCTCTGAGGGATGGTAAAAAAGAAAGAGGGTACAGAGGCTGAATTCAGCTAATCAGTAGTGACTCATTAGCAATTTTGTCTACTTTAACCTCTTCTGCTCTGCGTGGACACAGCCATCCTCTGCCGACATTACTGTCTTTCAGAGACTGGAGCAGGCTAAGTTTTAAAGCTAGAGTGAAAATACTGGCATTATATTAGACTCTGAATCTGCAAGTACTTATGAGACACAGATGGGCAAGATAAAAGACATCATATAGTTTCATCATAATGTTCTAAGCCCTTAGTCACTCTTAACCTTTAAAATTTGAATAGACGCTTAACAAATCACAATGTTCATTATAGATTTATAACTAGAAACTTGACACATGGTGCTGAGCTGCATCTCAAATTTATCTTCAGGTTCTTGGATGTTCAGATAGCAAATACTGCTGACCCACTATCTTCCCCTAAAGATCCACTGTCTTCCCTAAAAAAGGCAAAAATGGTAGGGAATGGTGGAGTAGAAGAGGTTAAAGGATTTGGATTCTTAAATTTTAAATCCCAAATATAAATTATCTATTTGGGAAACATTTACATTTTTACATGAGGCTCAAACTCATGTTGAAGGTAGGAGTAAATGTGTTTGTTTCTTCTTTGCACCAAACATTATGCACAGCCATTTCTCTGAGGAGCTCAACTGGCAGCACAACAAGAGAAAGAACAAAAACTGGGTTAGACAATACAGCCTGCTAACAGGGCAAGAGGAAGTAATTGCTTGTACATAACAGCTGAATTGACACATCATTAACTCAAGTCGCTACATCACTGCATAAGAAACCTGCAAAATGAGGTCAGGTTAAGGACTTCCATCCTCCCCACTGCTGCTGCTGCTGCTGCTGCATCATGGGATGTGGTGATTAATGGTGAATTTCACAGTGGAGCTCAGTCAGTCATGTTTAACTGCTCTGTAACTCATGATGCAGGAAAACCATGGCGGTGGTGCAGAGGACAGGGATTAAACAGCAAGTGAAAAAAAGCTGAGGGTTTTCAAATGACTTCAAATGACAAAAGAAAATGCCAAGTCATAAGAAATAATTTTGAGAGATAAAAAGATTTTTCCGAGGCGGACTGGAAGAGCTTCCTTATATTAATTTATAGCATGACATCCGAAATATATTACCTTCACAAACAACACAGCAGCTTGGTTCAGTGAGTTAGCAATGATCAGAGAAAACATCTGGGCCGTCATGGTGCAGCAAACACTCCCAGGACATTTTCACAGTGAGTGTGTGTACACGTGCATCACTGTGAACAAGACTGAACCACTCAGAACTGTGAGAACAGACGTGAATGTTCCTATCTTTCCATCTGAGCTCACGCTGAACCTCGGCCTTCATATAAAACATAGAGTCACTGTGAACGTCACTCACTCAAACAAACACACACACACTATTTCTTTCTACCTAGGGTTCAAACGAGACGGAAGGAGGACGTTTCTTCTCACACACTCAGAGTGAAACTAGCTTCCCATGAAGTGCAGTGCTTTCACCCCCGCAGGGGTCGGGATGTCGCTTCGTTCACAGTCGAATGGGAATGACCCGCTGCCTCCGGGCTCTCCTCTAAATGCCCCACCCCCCCACCTCTCCACTGGGATCTCTCAATCTCTCTCATCCTTCGCTCCTGCCGGAAGGAAGTGGGGTTGCGTTCACACCGGACGCACATGCAGCAGTGACGAATGTCCGTAACCTTCCAAACACTGGAAAACAATGACCCTGTGCAGGAGGCCCTTCACCTCCGACCCCTGACACGTGCTCCGAAAGTGAGATGGAGGGAGAGGGAAAAAAAGAAGGAGGGAGGAGGAGAAATAATATGTGACGCAGGAGCATCTCCAGTTTGGATTAAATTAATAAGACTGGAAGAACACCGCTTTGGGAGGAGATCAGCGTGCAAAAAGAGAGAACCAAAAATATTATGTACACCTCTCTGACACAGCACAAACAAAAGCAGTTTCATCTGCCTCCTCAATTTTGTACCAAACCTATTCTACATTATCTACAAATTTAGAGGAGCTGTATTGCAAACTAGCCCATGTGTCAATATTGCAAAAGAGGATGTGAAAATATGTCAATATTTCATTTTTTAGGAGGTAGCGTTGTTTGATTTTTCAAATGGCAGCTATTACATTTTGATTGCATTGCTTTTGTCCAAACTACATTTCACTTCACTTCATCAAACCACCGAATCCTGGCTGCTGTTGTATTGAGCAGCATCCATCCACCCACTTTCTTCACCAACTTAGAGTCTTAGAGGGCTCAGCATTTGTTGGACAGGAGCCAGGAGAACTCCCAAGACAGCAAGTATTAAACAATTTAGAGTTTCCAGTTCACTAAATCTGCATGTCTTCTGACTATAAGAGGAAACCCATAAAGACAGAGGGACAACATGTAAACTCCGCAGAGAAACACCCGAGCTGGACATCAGGTTTAAAATGACAGCAGTGCTAACCACTGAGCCACTGTGTGACCCTTATCATGAAAGGTGTCTAACACTTTGTCCACCTCCATCACATACACGGCGGAGAAACATTATTAGAAACACCTCACAGTAAACAGTAATGCAAATCAAAACAACACCATAAACAGGAGCCTTAAAGAAGCACTGGGTTTAATTAACACCTCTCTGACAGCACCAACAGTGTTTCACAAAAGAAGTGTTAAAGATATAAAGTGGAGAGACTGTATTAAACTTTGTGACAGGGAACAAAATATAACTTAAAGCTACAGTTGTTAACTTTTATGAAAAGAACTTTTTGTCTTTATAGACTATATTCTAAAAGAAGTACAGACAGATAGTCAGTGAAAAAATAATCTTCCTCCTCCTCTTTCTACTGCCTCTGATGGCAATCACTTGAATCCACCACTGCATCAGAACCGAGGACTCTCTAATGCAGCTGTCAGTCATGTGAATCACTGCTCCGGCCAATGGGTGGTGTTTGGTTTTTGCTCGGCTGTTGTAAAAGTTGCAGCTGGGTCACAAGCTTTTTCATTTTACACCAGAACAGTCCACAAAATTATGTTTCTGAAAACATTTGAGGTGAGAAAAAGACACCGAAGTAACAGAAAATTGATTCATGTTTAATCAGTGCTGCCTAGTTGACAATTTACCAGAGTTAATGAGCAGCTGCATTAAAGACTCCTCGTCTCTAATAGGTTGTTTTCATGTGGTGGATTCTTGCAACTACCATCAGAAGCACTAAGAGGAGGAAGAAGATTTGTTTCACAGATTATCTGTCCCATCAGCCACTGTAAGGATATAGTGACAGTTTCAGCAAATATGCAAAACAAAAGTCATGTTATAAAAGTCGCCAACTGCAGCTTCAATCAGAGTATGTGAGCGGAGCAGAGCGGGGAGCGGGAGGATTTTGTGTTGAGTGAGGAGCAGCTATTTTTTTTAAAAGGTGGAGCGGAGCCTTATCTCTCTCTCCAATTTCGCTCCGGTCGCTCATGCCCCACCCAGAATGCATCTTTGCACCTGCGCACACCCACACTATTTTCTTTAAAAACTATGGAGTTTACTGTGTACTTCAGAAAAGAAACTGAGAAGAGAAGCAGCAGTACCTCGGAGAACGGTCCCTAACTGCGGGGAGAGGCAAGAGGGCTTCGGAGGTCGGCCGCTTAACCTGGTCTGTCTCCTCTACACTTTGACTTATTTCCACCCTGCCAGCGGTACCGTGTAGAACGGTCCCTAACTGCGGGGAGAGGGCTCCCCCGGAGAATCTACCAAGCTCATGTTTTATTGGTGCCGTAGCATTGTTCCGATCTCTCATTGTTCCGACCTCTCATTGTTCCGACCTCTCATTAGTCCGACGTCCCGTTGTTCCGATACGTGATTATTACTGTATTTGTGTACCATAGAGGATCAGCAACGCAACAAAAGTTGGCTACTGGTCGAGATACAAGTGTCATAGAGAGGAGAGAGTGAAACACCATAACCTCCTGTTATTAACTCTGGGGTCTGGGTTGTGTGGGGAGCTCTCCGCGGTGCTGAACGGCTCCCGGTGGCGGCTCCGTGACCGGCTCTGGGTTAGCTGGGAAAGGCTTGAGGCGAAGCAGGCTCACGGCTTATGTGTTTGCCACTTTCTTTTTCATCTTAACCCACACCATGATCTTTTCCTAACACTAACCAAGTGGTTTTTGTGCCTAATCCTAACCAGACCTTAACCACAGGGCATCATGATCATTTCGGAACAACGGGACTTCGGAACAATGGGTTTAATATGGTCGGACCAATGAGATGTCGGAAATATGGAAGACCCCATTTTATTTGTGAATAGAAGATTACAGGTTAGGGTAGTACGACACAGTTTTTTTGAGCGGAGTGGTGAGCAAGTGGAGCGGGATAAAATTTATGATGGAGCGGAGCGAAGAATGCGCAGAACCAAGCGGAGCGGACGAGCGGCGCAAAGTGACAGGTCTGCGAGCAAGGAGCGGAAATTTTCACCCGCTCCGCTCCACTCACATGTTCTGGCTTCGATAGGGCTAAAATAGAAAGAATAAGCTTGAGCATGTGTCCATGTTTAAGACACATTGTTTGTTTACATTATTGACTAATGATCTGTGTGACGTCTGAATACATTTTAATGGTCCCAGTTCAGCCAGAGATGAGTCATCACAGGACAGAGATCATCGTATTTTATGAGAACAGCAGCATTTAAAAAAAAAAAAACAAACATTGTAAGATTCCCAGATCACTTCATGCACATGTCAGACCCACAGCAATTCAACATTGCAAACATTATGATGACAGTTGAACTAACAAATGGGCTCTAAATAAAGTGAAGTGGGGTCATAAGAAGCCAAACAAGCTGCACGCTAAGCTCTTACATAAATACTTAAATCTTTGTTTGTGTCTGTGAGTGGGAGCTCCAAGTTGATCCCCTGATGATAATCCACATTCAGAATGAGATGGCATTTTTCTCCCACTTTGAAATCTGGTTTGCCTGAGTATGTTAAGGCCACTCCACATGAAGACATTCTCTTTGTTATTTCTGCACAAAATGCTTCAACATTTTACTTCTGACAAAAACTAGGAGTCGTGGGAGAAACAGCCCAAAAGTATTATTCCCTTTCTGCAGATTTTCTTTCCAACATACAAATCATCTTCTGTTACTTTCTGTTGCCATCTGCACCAGCGCCTGACACATCCATGATTATTTATTCAGCACCAATGACGCAATGAACTACAAGATCTCAGATCTGAAATCCAATGGTGTTCCCACATTTGAAAAGATCTGAAGAAAATGTTACATTAAGTGTTACTACAGACTGAAAAGGAGTCCTCCAGTTTCTAGGTAAATGGTAGAAAATTGCTCACCATACTCGCGTACTTATATGATACTCCTACTGTACATTGTATGGTTGAATTACTCTCATGTCAGCTGTGTGTGTTTTGATGCCTTTTCACACTGGTCTGTGGGCTGACTTGATTTCAGCACTAGGCTGTAATCCCATGTTTTCCATAAAGAAGACAATAACCACTCTAAAGAAAACTAAACCAGCGGTGCACTCACCTTCTGGTCTTCGAAGGCCTTGCGTAGCTTTATGTAGTTGGTGAGGGCTCTCATGGCAATGGGCAGTTTGCCGATGACCTTGAGGTCGATGGGTCTTCTGTGAGCGTTGGTGATGAAGGTGTTCATCCACCAGTAGGTGGCTTTGGACAACAGGTTGACAAAGGGCTGCAGAAAACGAACACCCAGGTCCTGGAGGTCCTCGGGGGGCTTCACCTCTGTCGGGTTGGCAAAACACATGTAGCGCTGTGAGAAAAGAACGGACAGAAACACAGGTTTGATCTATTATTCGAGGTACTGTGTCATCTGCAGCAGCCTGAAAATCGAAGGTGAATATAAAAATGTGCAACAGCTGTGTAAACAGTGATTCATTTATTCAAACAACACAACAATGGAGATAACAATTATAATCTTCTTTATACTGCATCCAAGAACAACAAGAAAATGTGACACACTCTTGTCAGCGGGATAAATTATAGCAGCTGAAAGATAAAAGCTCTCTCTATTGTGTATTAATTGCAGGCTGTCTGATGTCACGATGGCTGAATCTTGGCAAAGCGTAACATTTCCCATGTATGTTCTTCTTTCACAACCATTTCACTGAAAAGAAACAGAAAATGATAGATGCACTACAGTGAAATTTATCTTGAGAATATTTTATGAAGACAGTGAAACAGAGTCTGTGCATGTTTTTAAAGCTTTATGGAAACTAGGTTATTGACTGGCAGATGAGTCACCACCGAATACATCCAAACACTGGGTGCTATTTATAAACACTTAACAAATTATATTATTTTCATGATGCAATAGGTCTCATAATATTCTGTTTTCATGGCTTTATTTTGAAAATAGGTAGGAAATAAGTGCACACTGGTCTGACATTTTTTCAGCTGGGTTCAAAAAGGGTGACTGAAAATGTCAGGAACTGAATAATCAAAAAATACGACTGTGATTGGCTTGTTGTGCAATCGATAGAGAATATATAGAATATAGAAGAGACACAGAAAGCTCCCTCTGCTCTCAAAATCAGCAAGAGCACCATGCTGGCACAGCTTTGACCCACGTATGAGCCAGATGGCAGCCTGAGGGTATTATTGTCGGTGTCATAAAGCTGAGAGGAACTGGCCTTCACCTTCATGCTATGATCTGTAATTCTTTTTTTTAACCTTCCTTTTATGATTCTAGGTGTGTTTATATTTTATTGCCTTATTCTTGCTACATTTTTCATGAGAAGTTTGTTTTTTGTTTCTTTATGAATAGGAATTTCTTTAGGAATGGCGATGCTGGTCAGACAGTCGGGTCACCGCTTTGCTCCAGACTGAAATATCCCAACAATTATTGGATGCATTACTGTGAAATTTTGGTACAGACATTCATGTCTCCTTTACTACCATCAAGGCTGTGACATGCACCCAGAGGTGGGACAAAGTCATTGTTTTGCAAGTAAGGCTCAAGTCCTCGCACTCAAGTCCCAAGTCAAAACAGGCAAGTCCAAAGTCAAGTCCCAACTTTAAGTTTCGAGTCCCAAACAAGTCATAATGCAATAAGCTAGGCGGCACGGTGGTGTAGTGGTTAGCACTGTCGCCTCACAGCAAGAGGGTCCTGGTTCGTATCCAGGAGGGAGCCCTCCTGTGTGGAGTTTGCACGTTCTCCCCGTGTCAGTGTGGGTTTTCTCGGGATACTCCGGCTTCCTCCCACAGTCCAAAGACATGTAGGTTAATTAGCAATGCTAAATTGTCTGTAGGTGTGAATGTGAGTGTGAATGATTGTCTGTCTCTATGTGTCAGCCCTGTGTTAGTCTGGCGACCTGTCCAGGGTGTATCCCGCCTGTCGCCCACTGTCAGCTGGGATAGGCTCCAGCCCCCAGAATTAGTTATGAACATGCTGGAAATGAGTAGTGTCAGTATTAGCTGAATCAGCAAATTGAGGAAAATAAACTGATTTGTGGCACATTTCAAAATAGCATACTTTTCTGGTCTTTGAGCTTGGAGGAAGGTATCAATTATTTTCAAGTCAACAGGCTCAAGTCAAAGTGAAGTCATGAGTCAATGGTGTTAAAATCACAAGTTGAGTTACAAGTGTTCTTTGATTGTGTCAAGTCGAGTCTAAAGTCATCGAATTTGTGACTCAAGCCTGCCGTGATTAAAAGTCATGTAACTCCAGTCCAAACCTCTGCACCCACCAACATAAACATTACTTTACTTTCAGCTCAACATGTGTGGCAAAGGAAAAAACAACATAGCATCACTGGATCCAACCTATTTTTAACTCCCGCTGGGCAGCATAACTGAACACTGGAGTGACTTGGATTTCAGACTAAAAGAAGAGGTGACTGAAGCTAAAAACAGACAACAATCAAATGACTCCACACAACTACACACTGGAGACAACACACACTCACCCTTCCCAGTATGACATTGATTTCCACAGCTAGCAGGAGTCCATACAGCAGCACCAGCAGTCCAGTGATGCAATAGCGTAACTGCCTGGGGCCGATGCCATGCTCGGTATACTTGGCGAACTTGATGGTCTTCATAATAAAGGCCAGCACCCAGTAGATCAGCAGGGCTGAGGAGATTCAGCAGGGATCAGAGAAAGACAGCAAATCACTGGGTTGCCCAAAAAGATAAATAACCCCACTGCAGACAGATCATATTAAAGCAGGAGTTTAAATTTAATGTTTGTCACTTAGGCTTAAACTGGATTTGTGAGATATGTGGGTGCATTTTGTCAAAGTCTGAGTCACATTTCAGTGAACACAAGAATAGCCACGGCTCAGCTGATGTTACAATTGGTTTATTGTTTTGTGATGAGTAATGTTTTCAGTGCAGGTGTTATTTATTTTTTTTGTTTTAGTCCTTCAACTATAAACTGTTGTGTGAGGTCTTCCTCTTTTAGTTATTTTTTTCTTTCCTTCATTCACCATCCTCTTGTCCCTTTGCTCCTCCCCTCAGACGTCAACAGCAACACCTCAGCAGTGTGTGTCTAACAGCTTCCAAGGTGAACACCTTTAATCCAGTAAATAGGAGGTAAATCAATTGTCTTCAGTACATGAAGATCTTTTGATAGAGTCACATCTTGTCAGGTTTACTGAGGTAAACACTGAGAGACTGAGACTGTGAAAACACTCATAATAGATTAGAAAGCTGTCTGTGAAAGATAACAATCAAGGGTAATAGAGAAACAATATCATCCATTCAGACTCTAATATAAAGTTTACTTTTTCATTATGAAGATAATCTATACTATGACAATAGTCGCAGTGTGCGGGTCAATGGCAGAGTCTCACGGCAGGAGATTCATTTCTTTTCATGCGATGATGAACCCAGCGCCGCTCTATGACTTCCCTCGAGAGACTGGCTGTGATATAAAGACTTAATAAAGGCTCAAGGCGGCTCGCTGACGTGATTGCGAGTAAAAACCTGAGAGCTGAACACAAATGAGTTAATGATGCATAAGGAGGAGGGGAACAGTTGAAGAGAAGCACAGAGGGGTTATAATCACAGCAGGGCAATTCCAGAATCTTTATATGAGGTGGGACCAATAACCAGTCTCTTTCTGTTGAAAAATGGCTTTGAAAACATTAGGCACAATTTTCAGGCTGTTGTGCAGCACCCTGTGCCCTAGTTCAGGTTGTATTACATGAGAAGGGGAGCAGCTCAAGAGCCCGACAATCGTTTTGTACTGCTATTTTGCAGAGATGTCAACAGTTAACTGTTTAATAGTTTAATCAATTAACTGTTGAGAATATTTTTGACCGGTTATACGTGCCGGTTTATCGGATAGCTTTGCTAATTTTCAGTTTACTGAGCTGCGCAACAACTGGGTCTGGTGGGAGCGAGCAAGCGGCACTGCTCATTTGGCAATTACTGCTGAAGGGCAGGCAGTGGGCATGTGCACTGGGGTGGGCAGTGGGCACGTTTCGCATGTTGACGTGGCTAGCCAGCTGTCAGTTGGCAAAGCCAACATAAAATTAAATAAAAGGTGAGACATTTACATCACAAAACATTAAAGTTTTTCCTCGTCTAAATGGATAGCACTTTATGTGGCGCTAAAGCTCACACTGAGACACACCTCTGCATTACAGGAGCAAGCATGGGAGTAAAATGTATAATATATGGTTGCTATGGAAATATTATATTTTAATGTATTAATTCTCACAGGTGATGAGGGGTTGTGATAAAAATAATAACAACGAAATCTATTCCTGTTGAAAACACAGTAAACTGTGCAGTTCTTTCATCATAAACCCATTGTCCTAATGAAAAGAGATAATTAATATCTACCCCGAGCAGTACAATTACACTGTATGATATTGCCCTCAGTCATTTTCCAATCCTATCTGTATGTAATGAACCATTCATCTGTGAATGGTGGACCTGATTCGGTTTATAATTATATCATCCTGAAGAGCTCATGCAATTTGAATGTGCTGTTGTTCTGACACTCAGAGGCAGAAGAGGTGGCAAGGGTCAGTTTTATATGAAATAATTTGATTTATCCCTGCTTTACAAGCCCTGATTCCCTGATCCCTTTTCAGTAATGTTTTCACAAGCCTTAATCAAATTTTGACGCTACAAAAAGCTCTGGGCTCTTGTCTGAAACCCTGACTGGGTGTTCAGCAGAGCCACCCAGAGACCAGCAGTGAAGAGTATAAGGGGAGCATTGCTATAAAGACTTAATTGTGTTACGTGACGCTTAACTCAATACATGATGGTAAATGAGAAGGAGCATGAATGATGAATAATCAAAGGATAGCTGAATATAAATATACTGTACCCAGTAGTAGTTTGGGGAAGTTGGAGGTCTCGATGTTATGATAGTAGACAATAGAGGTGATGCCAGCCATGAAGGCCAGAGCTGCAGGCATGTACAGGTGAAGATGGTGGGATTGGCTGAACCTGCAAACAATCATCAGACAGAAGAGGAACAAGCTTAGAGTAAGCCCATAATGACTGATTCAACTGTGAACGGCCCTTCAGCTAAGCACTGAAGTCTGAAAAGCACAGTGAAATGCACTTCAGTTATAATCATTCACATGTAGTTACCCACCTCCAGTCTGCAGAAATGGCTGATAAACAGCAATCCTGAGTGTTTACTGGAGCCTGTTACGCATGGACTCACTACATCGGACCACAACATGATGTATAAGGGTCAGGCAGAGAGAAGGGGAGGGCAACCGATAACAAGGAGGATTTAATAAGAGAAAAGGCAGAGATGGATTTTCTGTCCAGCTTTGTCTCTTCATGCGTAAAACCTGTAATTGGCACATCAACTCTAACTGTCACTTATTACCTAAGTGACAAACTCAGGTTAAGAGACAGCTGCTGAGTTTGAAGGTAGAGGAGGATTAAACAAATTGGAAACACAGACACAACTTTTGATTGGAAGACATGTTCAGTGGCCATACCAGGTATCAGGTTTTTTTTAATTTATATTTTTTAGGGCATTTTGCCTTTAATGGACAGGACAGGTAAGTTTGAAGGGGGGAGAGAGTGGGGGGGGATGACATGTACCAAAGGGCCACAGGCTGGACTCGAACCTGGGCCGCTGCGGCAACAGCCTTGTACCTGGGACGCCTGCTCTACCCATTAAGCTACAGACACCCCTTCAACATAATTTTTAACCAAATTTAAGACTGACTTCTGGATAAAACATCTTTCTTAGTGGGTAGATATAAAAGTAAATACACAGAGTACTCCAGGGATGACGTTTTTCTGTAGGCTGAGATGGAAACTGGCGTCAACCTGGTTCCCCCGTCAAAAAGCCTATTGGATTTACCTTTGAATTTTGGATTATTGCAGAAAAAAGCCCACTGGCAAACAAAGACTTATGATACTTATACATTTTGTTCCGTAAGATAATCTTCACAATAAAAGTTTTGAAGCCTGACTGCAAATGCAGTACAAAGCTAATGTTAGGACATAAACTAACAGTCACATGACTTAATGTTTCTACCAAAAAAAAGGCTGTAAAACCATGTTTGGCATGATGATGTCCTGTAGTCTCATTTAGCCACTTGTTAGCAAACACCTTTTTTTAAAGACACAAAAAAGCTTTAAAATTCACAGTGGGGTATTTCCTGACATATTTTATGTCATAGAACAAAACATGAAAGTATGTTAAGCTTGTCTTAACCACAGACCTTATTTTAGGCATCTCACTAAAAACCCATTAAAAAACACTGACTTTGAGATGAGGGAACCAAAATGCTAAAATGCTAACTCATTCGGGTCTCATTCCTGGGGCTCTCATTATGTACTCGTGTGAAGAGGCAGGTTTAATGTAGAATATGGTTAATAGAGGGAGACAGGTTAATCTACTGTACATTTTGCCAACAACAGGTAAGTATGAGTGGCAGTATAAGGTTCATTGGTAGGTTCAGACATGTGGACTTTCATGACATTTTAACAGATGGATTAATGAAGTCAGATAAAAGTTTGTGGCAATTAAGTCCTCACAAATTTAAATGTAAGACTAGGCGAGGCTAATATTTGTTAAATTAGCCTACATTTAAGACTTTTGAAGACTTTGTTAACTCCCATTCTGAATTGACCACAAGTGACTCGCAAATGTGTCAAGTTTGTAAAAAACACACATTATTTTCAAGTACAGTGGCTTTCCAGCACAGAGGATTTATTTTGAAGAGCCATTTCCTGCTGTAGGGTGACTGAGGGACAGCTAACGTTACTTACTTGACAGAGATAGCATACTAGCTTGATGACATTAACCACAAATATGACACTGAACATATTACACTGTGTGGACCTTGAACTAATGACTAAGGAGAAATATGGACCCTGTGGCTGGACCAGTTGGGAACCACTGGATGAGCAGATACTCTGTGTATTTTGTGTTGTTGGAAAGGCCCAGGAAAAACACTTAACAATTTGCACTGCTAACTGGCTAAAATTAGCACCTACGACACCAGTGTTGGGCTCGTTAGCTAAAACCCATTACTTGCTACACTATTTGAAAAGTATTATTATTATTATTACTTTATTTTTTACTCCCTGACAACAATAACGTAATTCATTGCACTACTCCTAATATTACTTTTCCGTTTACAACCCACAAAATTGGTAATTATGTCTTTTCTCCTAAAATTCAGACTTCACACGTGCGTCTCTCACACGTGGGGGGGGTCATCCCTATGTTCCCAGGGTTCTATGTTCCCCACTTAACCCTGCAAAAAAGCTTCTATGTTCCCCGCTTACACAAAAAGGATTCTATGTTTCCCGCTTGGTTGAGTGGGCAACATAGAACCCGGGAAACATAGAACCTTTTTTGTGTAAGCAGGAACATAGAACCTTTTTTGCAGGGTTAAGTGGGGAACATAGAACCCGGGAAACATAGAACCCTGGGAACATAGCTACGCTCCCGTGAAGGGGTCCTGTGTTTCCTGTGACCTGCATTTTCCTAAGTATCTTCTTTAAAGACAGAAAGTCAGTTGTGGAATAAGCAACATTTATGGTGCAGGCAGGCTTTTGAACTCGTAAGTCACGACTTCAAGTCACGAGTTACGACTTTGTAGCGTTCCGAACATGGCGAACCGTTTGTTTGTGCTTCCCCATTATTGCTATCGCCAAAGGTACCTGCTCCTTGCTTATTTGAGTGAAACGGAGGAGGATAGGGTCACAGATGCTATTATAGTCTATTTTTTACGTTATCTGTGTGTTTGGAAACGTATTTTGTATTGATTTATTCTTGCACTAGAAACCAGCTGTTAGAGCGGCTGCCAATAATGCGTTAACATTAGGGTTATTTTATGTCTATTTCTCACCATGTATCACCTGCATCAACACTGCATCCATAGGGCTTCCATTGTTGTTTAGTGGAGTAAGGTTATTGGTTTAGAGGGCTGTGTGACGTCAGAAACCGTAACTGGGAGTACATCGATCTGGTACGAGTTCACGGGTGGGAAGTTACGGGTTTGACTGCCGTTCCAGTGCACTTTCACGGGTTACAGGTTGTGAAAACATGAGTTACGGGTTGCCTGGAACGCACCATCAATCCACCACATATCCAGCCACAAGCTTCATCAGTTCCTCAGCTTTGCTCTGTAAAGTACAGAAGCTTCCCCTGGCAGCGATTAGCTGACTCACCATTGTGTGAACACATTTGGCTCAAGCTTTAATGTGTTGCATACTCATATGTAAAAATCCCACACTTCCACTGTAAGCAGGAAAGAAAGATTTATGAGCAATTAACAACTAAATCACCAAGTCCTAGCCACAGTGTTAGCAGCTAGCTCATGTTAGCTGTTAGGCAGTAGCTAGCTAACGTTGAAAGCTAACTAAGGAGGGCTATCAACATTTGGTCTAGCTTAAAATTGTAAAGTAAAAAGAAAACACAAGGTGCTCAATCATAACAAACCAGTACAGATATCCATTTAGTAGAGAATATGGTTGAAAAACTGCTGTAACAATTATAACAGAGGCCTACATCACAAAAACAGCTTCTGTCTGATGTCTGCTGACTTAGCATGCTAACAGTTTTAGCATGCTAGCATTTTTTTTAGCATGCTAGCTTTGCCTATTTTCTGCTTTTTTAGCTTTTAGCTAATACTCAGTCAAGCAAAAACTTACCGTAAATATAAACTACAGGGATATATATTTTTTAAAAAAAGCTTTTCAAGTTGCATTTTTAACTTAAAATTGTGTTTATCTAAAGAGGCAGGCTGCATGGTACTAAAACCTGTTCTCCAGTGAGTCATTACTGAGCATTTGTTGTATGGAAATTAAGTTTTAAATGGTGACGTGCACCTGCCATCCCAGCAATACTCCGAGGAACTATTGTTAGACAATGAAGCACACTTCAACTAACATCACATAAAATGCAGTATGGCTCATCAACTCATAGTTGGTTTTGTCTGTTAATCATAAATATACAGCTGTCTCAAAACTGCCATAATCATTGTCAAATGCCATACACACAGCTTTAAATTTCTGGAACCATTTTAATACGATAAGTGTGTCAACATACCCATCAGAGACGATGCCCTCTGCGATCTCACAGACGAGGATGAAGAGCAGGACAAAGGTGAGGAGCCAGCGCAGGTTGTGACCAGGGAAGTGAAGCCAGGTGCTGTGGTGGATGTGAACCTTTGAACTCTGGCTGCCCCAGCCTCAAATAGGAGACAGGAAATAAAAGTTTATTTTAAAAAGCATCATTTTATCCATACAGTCAGACAGTAAGATAAAGGAGTGTCTGCAGAGAGTCAGAAAATGTAAAATTAGATCAAAAATGGCAAACGCTTCTGTTTTTTTGACACAATTCACTGTGAGCTACTGTAAATTAACACTTGAAAAAACAACCTTGCAAACACTTTTGACTTCGTGCTACCTACTCCCAATGCAGCCTTCAGCATTATGAGCTGCATATCAAAGCTCTCTCACACTTAAAGCAAGGCTGAAAGAGGATCTGTTAACTTTTCAGAGTTCAGGAAACTTCTGTTGTTATCAGTTACATCACCCGATGCTTGGCAGGCAAGCCAGTAGGAGTAGCCAGACAGCTGCTGGCCTGTGACCGTTAATTAATTTAGCTCTAATTGCAACAACTTTGTGACTTCTTTGTCCTTTATCCTCTCTTCCTTCACTTCACTAGATGTTTGTGTCAACTATAATATCACAATGATTCAGTCATCAAAGTGCAATGTAATTCATTAATGGCTCATTACTGCTACTGCTGTCACAAAACAAATCTGGGATCATTGAATTATGTTAATCACTCCTCTGTTGTTGGCACCTTAGCTGCTGGACAGTTTATTTCTCTGAGCCGTGTTGGCACAGGCTGGCAGTCTTACACAAACACACAGCCTTGAAACAGGCAAAATTTCTCACATATGTAAACAACTGCGTTGATAATCAGCAGATTGTTTCTTCTTCTTTTTTTTTTTAGCAAAAATGCTAAATATTTGCTGGTTCCATTGTCTCAAATGTAAAGACTTGATGGTTTTATTTGTCTTGTGTAATACTGAATGAAGCATATTTGGGCTTTGGACTGCTGGTCAGACAAAACAAGACATCTGAATATGTCAGTTTGAGGTCTAGGAAACTGTGAAGGACACTGTTCCGGACTTTTGGATATTTTATAGGCTAAATAATTAAAGGGCCAGTGTGTAATATTTGGCATGGTTTATTGTCAATCTGAATCTGAATCTGAATATTCTACCCATTAATATGTTTATATAAGTGTATAATCGCTATAAAATAAAATTCATTTGGTTTTTGTAGCCTTATAATTATGCTTTTATATATATATATAGCAAGGGCCTTGCTTTAGAAAGGTCGCCATCTTGCGCCACCATGTATGTACAGCAGACCGAGCAGACAATCCAGCCAGCCAGAGAACGCGTTTCGCGTGTATAAATAAACCAATGAAGACAGCGGAAGGAAGGAAGGAGGAGGAGGAAACAGCAGAGAGTGTTAGTAGTTCGTCGACAGAGAGCAGTGAAAAGTTTTTTTAGTTATAAAGTTTGCGAATGGACCACACTTACCACGCAACAGGAGAGAATGAACCTGAACCGTCATCTGCGAGGAAAAGAAGACGCAACTTCACTCCTTGTGATGCACTCTCTGTGGCGCTTTTCCTCCTGATGATGTATCTCCCCAATGATGGTAGCACCGAATCCCATTCTGTGCATTCAGCCTCTCTTCTCGCCCGCTCAGCATCAAACACATGGAGTTCCTCATCTGTATGCTCCGGCTCAAACAGGTATGGCTCTGGGTCTGTGTCCGCTACAAGAAAATCTTCAAAATCGCGTTCAAAGTCGTCCATTGCAGCTACTATAGTCCGGAGATATTGCTAGGCTAAATAAACAGCTGAGCTCTGTTTACCGGCTATGCTATCAGCCAGTGTGCGGGCTGGAGGTTGGTGGAGCAGAGAGGGGAGGGGGTCCTCACTCTGAATGGTAAACGAGTATGTGTGTATGAAGTGTGTGTGTTACGCTAGAAGAGTGTTACCGGAGTTTTTGGAGTGCTCAAATAAACTGGCCTTTTCCCCGAACGCTACTCTGGTCTCCTGCTCGTGAGGGATTCATTACAATATCGTAACATGGTTTAAATAAACATTCACCTCGTCGCTAGATAGACCTACTCCTGAAAAACTTGTGCGCAAGGCTTTTTGTCCCTACGAGGCCACCATCATTTACCCGACGGGAGGGGTGAGCGAGTGAGCCCTGGAATCTAGAATTTGACCACTGATGTCACTGTTTTCAACCCATTTTACACACTGGACCTTTAATTGATTAATAAAAAACTAACTGAATTGGTAATAAAAATAATCAATAGTTGCAGCCCTAACAGGGGTACAATAATCCTCCTCTCTGACCGCTGGTGCAAAGCAAACTGTCTCATAAAAGTGTTGTGGTGCAATTATCCTCTGCAGTATCCTCTTACATTGGTGGCCTTGACGACTAGCTGAACTTGTGAGCCAGCACTCTGAAGAGCAGCACATTACAGAGTTGCAGTTGCAAGGTGGACAGAGAAGCTTTCACAGCCCAGAGGTTTGTCTTTAGTGGCAAAGTTATTAGTGAAAGCACTACAGCTCAAGGTGACAGGGCAGAGAGAGGAATCACTGCAGCTTACAGCCAGGTTCAGCTGGGTTATCCTCTAATGTTAACAGACTCACACTGCCCTACTCACCTGCTTTTAGCTTTTACTTTCAGTCTGCTAATTTGCATTATTTAGTTGGACTTCTTCTCTGCAGCTAAAATTCCAGTGTTTACAGGGATATATTGGCAGAAATAGATAAAAATATTAATAACTATGTTTTTGTTGGTTTATTATAACCTGAAAATAAGAATTGTTGTGTTTTTGTTAGCTTAGAATAAGCTGTTGACATTCACATATGGAGTGTATCCTCTTCCACAGAGTCCGCCATGTTGTTCTACAGTAGCACAGAACAGACAAACCAAACACTGGCTCTCGATAGGACCATTCCCATTTCAGCATTTCAGCATTACCCACCATAGTTCTATATGCTTGGCAGACAGGAGAAGTTACAGCAGGTTGCAATCTGCAACCTCATCACTAGATTAAGAGGGAAAATGTTAAAAATGAGAAACAAAATGTTTATGGAGGAAACTTAAACAATGTTTCTAGAAAATGCCACCTTGTGAGGGAGAAAATTAAGACTAATAGTCTACAACCATGGCAGCAGCTTTGTGCGATATATGAACATGCTCACAAAGACAATGCTAACATGTTGACAGTTAACAGTTGTAATGTTTACTGTGTTCACCATCTTAGTTCAGTGTGTTAGCTTGCTAACATTAAGTAGAGACCATCTTGCGTTGGGATCACTCCAGCCACACAACAGCAACAAGCAAATGTGGGCCAGGGGCATAAAGTGGGGGGCAATAATCCCTTCCCTACCTCTTATGAAGGGTGTAACGATCCATCGATCCGGATCGATATATCAATTCAATGATCAATGATCCAATATCATCGATGCAAAGTGAAAACATTGATCCATATCGTCATCTTTGGGATACGCTTTTAATTTTGAAAGTCTGTGTCACCATCAAACAGCAACAGGCAGATGGCAAGGCACAGGGACTGTGGCTCAGACGTAGAGCGGGTCATCCACCAATCAGAAGATCAGCGGTTCGATCGCTGCAGCGCTTCTCCAGTGTGCATGTCGAAGTATTCTTGAGCAAGATACTGAACCCCGAATTGCTCCCGATGATGCTTCCATCGGTGTGTGAGTTTGTTAAAAACTGAGTGGCCGGTGACACCTTGTATGCCTGGGCCACCAGTGTATGAATGTGTGTGTGAATGGGTGAATGTGCCTCATAGTGTAAAAAGCGCTTTGAGTGGTCCGATGACTAGAAAGGCGCAATACAAATGCAGGTCCATTTACCATTACAAAAGATAACATTATTTACTCTGGAATAAATCAGCAGTGTGGAAATAATTTGGATTTCGGAGAAAAAAGGGGCCAACAGACAAAACACATGCCATACGTAAACAATGCTGTTACGAGATAAACCACACAAACATTACCCACCTGGATGAGCATCTCACTCCGCTAACTTCTCACAACAGCAACATTAGCTGCTCTGTTTGAACAATGTTGGGCTGAAAAAATGTGAATGCAGGCTTATATTCAACCATGCTGCAGCATAAATAATAATAACGCTACATGTAATTTGTTAAGCTATAAGTAGAGAAAGAAAAGTCTGCAAGCCGTTAGGTTAATTTATGCAGTGAATAACATGCTAAAGTTAATTTCGGGTCACTAGCAAAAAACAATTGTTTTGTCCATGAACCTTGTGTTCATGTGTTGTCAATTCATACTTTATAGCTGTTGGGAGAAGGTTGCGTTCACAGCTTTAAGCCAGAAAAGCCAAAAAAAGATGATAGTTTGGGTTAAAATGAAAAGATTTCTTTCAGGAAGGACTTTCTGGCAGAAAGCCCTGAAGGTTAACTTAACCCATATACTGTTTTATGTGTGTTAGTGGAGTCAGTTTAAAGTAAACGTCACTGCACTTACTGTTTATGTGCTTATTTTATCTTTTATGGCCAAAAGCAAAAAAGAAAGGGGTGGCAGCTTCTTCTGTAACTGATTGTGTTATATCAGCATTTAATATTGTCTCATATTGATCGCAGGCCCTGAATCACATAAAATCTGCATCATATTGCGGCAGGGTTTACAATATCTGCAAATATCGTATCGTTGTCTGAAGAATTGATATAATATCGTATCATGATGAAACTGGTGATTTACACCCCTACCTCTTACCCCCTACTTGTAGTGCCTCAAACTGCACCCATCTTTAAACTCCGCCTTTATTTTGATCTCACCTACACATAAAGTTTCGTGACTGCATCTTGCACTGTTGCGACACTAATGCATTGACAAAATATGTCCACAGACAGACAAACAGACAGACAGACAGACATATAAACACCTGGCAAAAAACTCAAAATGCCTTCTGTAGTGGCTCCTGCTTCAGTAGGTGCCACCAAGAGCATATCTTGCCATGATGACACACACACAGACTCACAAGTTAAAAAACAATATAAGACATCGGGGCTTTATCACAGCTGGTAATTAGGACTAAACACTGAGTACGCCTGAGGCTGATGGGAAAGCCCTCAGTTTAGTAGGTGTTTGGTTATAAACCGAAGTATTCTGCAAACAGAAATTTTGCCCTGATGTTGGCGCTAGATGAAAAGTTAATGAATTGCTTAAGCGGTTACAGTTCATACTGAGAACATGAACATGTGAATCAAATTTCATGGCAATCCATCTAATAGTTTTTGAGATATCCCAATGTGGACCAGAGAAGCGGACAGACCGACTGACATTACCATCCACAGAGCCAGCATACTGTTAGTACTGGAGCCAAATATGTTATTGGGAGGTTTGCTTCTGACTGTAATTCACTGTGTGGGTTTTGGGGGGCGCTGTGCTGTCACCTGGTGAGTTTAGGTATTTTAGGATGTGACCTCACTATGATCATCAGGTGTTTGACCCGGAAGGGCAAAAGGTTTTTGACCGCTGTGGCGCTAACTGCCGGCGTTTTCTTTGTTTGAGTTGTTAATAAATCCGAATTATAACGCACCAGAAGACCAGCGTCCGGACTCTTTTACTGAGCATCAAGAACGGTAACGTTAGGGTGAAAAACCAGTAAGTTAGCGAGGTGCGTCAACCAGGTTACTCTGGGTCAAGCATCTCAGTAGCTAGTGTAAGACTTAGCTCCTTTAACAGTTAGCATGGCCAAAAAGAGCTGTCATCTAATAGTACATAACAAAGTAGAGTGACAGAAATTACACTGAAAGTTGAGGTATGGAAGAATAGCCTCACTACAAAACATCCACACACACAAACAAACAATAAAGGCAAACAATATCTCTGTGTGTTAAATATGATCATATAGGCTGCACATTCTGTCGACAACAGGCTCACAGAGACACTGTCAAACTGTTGTATGAAGTGACAAAGTGTTTTCCTACTTTAAAAAAAGCTCCACATGGTGTGCACACACACAGACATGTGAGGGCAGATGATGAAGCCAGAGCATGTGTGACGGTAGCAGCAGAGCGTGCGCAGCGACGCAGAGCTGGTCCGTTACACGACGATGATGACACTAATGGAATGGCCAGCAGCCAGGAAGGGAGGCAAAAGAGAGGTAACCTAATGCCAACATGATGCCTCTGTACACCACATTCATCAGAGGAGTCACATTTAATATGTCCTTACATCCATACCATACTCAGGAGACTCACATTTCTATCACTGGCTATGGGACAGCAAACACCTACAGTACAGAGAGGGCGTCTTAACTCATGCACAGTCAAAGTGTATTAATGTGTATGGGCACTGTAATGGAAATAAGGTATTTAAAGTTATGCTTTATTTCGTCTTTATACAATATACACTTGCCTATATATCATATGTTAAAGTAATCTGATAGAGAGATAACTGAGAAGGGCAGCCAGAGAACATGTTAAAGCCCATCAATCTTTTTTATATCCCCCGGGAGTTGTGCTGACACATCATCAAAGCACAAGTGTATGTGCTGGGTGTGTGGTCTGTGCAGGGATGTGTGGTGCGAAGACGCTGAGGATCTCACCTCTCAGCGACACTCACCGATGAAGAGGATGGGGAAGGTGATAAAGAGGAGGAAGACATGTGGCACCACATTGAGCGCATCCAGGAAACAGCCGTTGTTCAGAACCCCTCCGTCCACGTTGTAGGCCACCGAGTTATTCTCGTTCCCACAGAATGCCAAGGACATGGTGGAACCGGGACTCTGCAGGGAACCAGTCGGAGGAAAAGGAGGAGGAGGAGGAGGAGGAGGAGGAGGAGGAGGAGGAGAGAAAGAGAGATTTTAAATAGAAGCTCTCAGAGCATGTCGTCTTTTCAAAGGGAACACTGATGGCGTCTTCAGTAGATAAATCCCACAGTGACCTCCTTCCTGCTCCCTCTCGAATCCAGCTCCCAAATTTTAGATCCAATAAAAGAGAGGAGTCAGAGGGAGAGAGGGAAGGAGGCAGAACGGGGTCAGAGGCAGTCACAGTCCGGTGCAGCAGCGGCAGCAGGTCTCTCTCCTCTCCCGCAGTCTAAGCTGCTTTCTCTGCCATGCTGGTGAGAAACATCTGCATCCCGTCCGCCTGCAGTCCTCAGACATCCTCTAAAACTGAAGCTTCACTTGCCGCTGCACAGCTCCACTGGAATGCACTCAGACACACATACACACGCACACAAGCAGACACATACAGCTAGAGCAGCGGTGGCATTCTGCAGCACACACTGCTATTCCTGTCTCTTTGCAAACAAGAGCTCAAAGTTGACCTTGGAAGGCAAGAGCAGAGAGGGAAGAGTGTGCAGGCGAGCTGGAGCTACAGAGCTACTGAAGGTAGGGGGGTGAGGACAGGAGGGAGCAATGAATGAATGATGGAGAGAGAGAGAGAGGGGAGAGAGAGAGGAGAGAGAGAGAGGGGGGGGGGTACAGCTGCTGAGAGAAGTGTGCAAACGTTGGAGGCTACAAAGGTACGTGTGAAGCATGAGCAAGCATGCTAATCTTAATCCCAACACCACGTTTGCAGGAATTACATAACTCTTCCCCTCAGTCATTTACCACTTCAGATCATATTATAACTACAAGACTTCTAAACAAGAAAGAGCGCAGCAGTGACTGAATAAGTAGGCTGCCCCGATAAGAAAGAAAAAGGGACGTAAAATATTAATGAATTCCTGGGATGGATTCATTGTGCGTTCAGGTCCTATGGGAAAGGTCCCGCTGCAGCCAATGGCAGCTGACTTGCTCAGAGGGATCAGCGAAGAGGCACATGGGAGCAGATTTCTGATAATCCATGTATCAACAGGGACAGACTCATGGCCTTTTCCTCCTGGTTAAAATGATGTATGGTTAATATAATCCACTCTACTGTGACCTTCACATAACAACAACAAGGAGATAAGCTTACTGTAAATGTAATGAGCAGTTTACATGGGTGCTTACACACAAATATGTGAGCCGGGGTGCATTCAAGTAACAGATAATGCACTCAACCGTGCTTAAGTTGTTGTCAAAATGTGGTGCTGTGCTGGAAATAGCATAAACTAAACTGAGATCCAATGACATTCAGTTTTATCCCCATTTAAATGTCTGACTGACTGCAATCTGCATTAGACATTGTTGTCCATTAAACGACATCCCTGAGAGACAAAGTGCTGTCATAGCTATTGGCATATTGTTATATTATAATGTTATGTAGTATGTGTAATGCATTATTTCCTTAAAATGTCTGGAGGTGCTTTTATAATTACATTACAGTGTTATTCTAGTAGCAATAAAGAGATAAATCAAAACATAAATGCACGTGGTGATCGCTTTGTATTTAATCCAGGCAGAATTAAAAGTTTTAATTGACTTGCAGCAGCGGTGGCAGTCTAAAATTATCTCTGTGTCAGGAAAGCAAGGAAAATTAAAATGTTGGATTGTTTGTGTAAATGCTGCCATATGTCTTTGCAAACTCTATCCTCAGTGGAGTTTGCAAACCTGCGGCAACAACAGGCTTCTCACTGCAAGCACATAGCTGTGTCCAGATTTCTCATGTAGGCTTAAAGGAGTATTAAAAAACAAACAAACACCAATTTGTTATCTTTCAGGAGGCTGTTGTAAGGCTTGAAGCAATAAAATGTATAGAAAAGAGGCACCAGGCGTAGCTGAAAGTGAAGAAATTCTAGTTGAGTAGTTTCATTTTAACACCCAACTGCAGCCACATCCTCTCACTTCCTGTCCCACATTAATTATCATCTTACTCGGAGGACCGTACTCATACCAGCTGACAGTAAATAACTTGGCAAAACATAGGGGTTTTAAACAAATCAAGCCAAGGAGAGGGGTATGTCCACAGACAATTGAAATATGTGGCATAGCAAAGCACAGACTAACCAGATGTCACGTCAGCAGGGGTTTCACCAATTCAGTGGGAATAGATTTCAGCTTGCAATATACTGCCAACACCAATTCCTCAATTAGAGATTATCAGACTCGATTGCAATGCCCTGTGTCTGTATTATTATCTCTTTTTTTTCAGCTGGGAAAACTGGCCGATGCATTGGTTCTGTGGTGCCCTACATATGAGATGAGCACTGTCCATCACTGGATTGCCTGAGGGGGGGAGTGGAAGCTTCAGTGTGTGGAGAAAGAAAGAGAAGAGGTAGAGGAGCTGCAGCCACTCTCAGAGGCACTCAGAGAGGAAAAGGGTTAGAAGAGCTGGAGGGCTTACAGCTACGATCAAGAGAAATGCATTCCTAAAATCATTAAAAGTCAGCTACAAATAGAGGCTCTGCCATTGTTAGGTGGTGACATCATATATAGGTTATAGAAGCACAGATACAGACAGATGCCAATATAACAGGGCTGACTCTCTCTCTCTCTCTCTCTCTCTCTCTCTCTCTCTCTCTCTCTCTCTGTGAGAGAGTGTGTCAGTGTGGTTATAATTTTGTCTGTGGCAGTACAAGTGAGGACAAGAGGTGGATGTTAAATCATGCATCGATCTATGTAAAGAAAGGAGGTACCAGTGCTGCAACTCAGCATTTACAAAATGTGCTCCATCTGGCTGTGTGAATGTGTGACCACGATGCAACAGCACAGCCGTGAATCCAACACATCCAGTATTTCACACTCACCCATAACTCGCCCCTAGAAATGAATCCCAGGGATGTAGCACACTGGCACACACACACACACACACACACAAGGGTTCCTTAATAACTGTGATCCAAAATGACTTGTAACATCATTACACAGGCCTTTCATCTGCAGCCAACTCAGGTCTGCACAATTATGTATGCAAATGAAAACATTTATGTCCCTAGTGGATATTCATATAGGCCTATGACATGTCGGTGTAATTGAGAAATGCCCCACAAGTAATACCATGCTGTGTGTATGCAATGTTAACAAAGTGAGAGTATCGATCAGTGTGTGTGACCAGGTGACAACCAGCAGCTCTTACCGGTTTATATCGAGAGATCATTGTGTTTCAGCGGCGTTTCCCCGACTCCAGAAACACTCTCCAACCCTCTTCAACACTGTCACATCCGTCGCTTGGGTGTAAAAAAAAACCAAAGAGGTAAAATCTCCCAAACTGCAGTCTCTCATGTGCTCGGAGTGCAGCCGACTTCTTGCTGTCCCACTTCTTGTTTGACCATCTGAAACACACGCGGGCGGCGGTTTAAGGGTGGAGGCAGGGAGCTGTCCACGGTCCTGAACCCGGGTACCGAGGAGGAGGAAGAGGAAGAAGAGGAGGTCAGATCTTCCACCCGAGGCCACCTTTGGGCTCAGTCATGAACCGACCACCGGCGGGTTACAGCAGCAGGAGGGTGGGGGGGTCGCTCAACCAGACATACCACAACCACAGCGGTCGATACAGCGCTCATAGCAGTCACGTATGTCATCATGTAGTGGGAGCGGATGACTGCACGGGTTATATAACAATGAAATGGGATGCTGCACAGCGAGGCTGCACACATGTAACAATGTACGATGGGTTTTTTCGGTTTTTCTGAAATTTTTTATGGCCTAAAATTCACATTAATGACAATTAACTCCTAAGATGTGAATATAAACTTGATTGAAGTAGATTTAATGACAGTCAGGTTCCTTAAAAGCAGAATTTTCCTGTGAGAGGCTTAGTATTCAAGAAGGAGCACGTCTGCCCCCTGTGGACATTTAATTACAAAACTGTATGGCTCCCCAGACTCGAAGTAAATCGATGCAGAGCTGGTGAAAACAACGCAATGCAGGAGGTGATGCAGGGAAGAGTATCTTACCTACAGCACCTTGTAAATTAGTAGAGTATTGGTTATCCACCTTTAAAACAATAACACAAAGAAAGGAAAATCCATATAACTTTTATGAAAATGTCATGAATTGTCTTAAATGTATTTGTCTACATGGTAAAAAAAAAAAAAAAAAACGTAATTAAAATCTTATGGCATTTTCTACATTTTTTAGGATGTATGGATTTTAAGATCAGCCAAAACATTAAAACCACTGACAGGTGAAGTGACTAACTTGGATTATTTTTGCTCCAATGCATTGTTCTGCTGAGATCTCTTTGGTTCTGGTATTCATGTGGATACCACCTGATATGTCCCACCCACTCAAACACTGTTGCAGACTAAGTACCCCCCCTCTTGGCAACAGTACTCCCCAATGGTAGTGGCCCCCCAGCAGGATAATGCACCATGCTACATTGCAAACATCACTCAGGAATGACCCAAACAATGTGACAAAGACCTCAAAGTGTCAATCTGGCCTCCAAATTCCCCAGATCCCAATCTGAATGAGCATCTGTAGCACATGCCATTAACCCACCTCACAACCCACTGGACTAAATGGATCTGCTGCCAACAGACTGGTGCCAGACACCGCAGGACACTCCCAGAGATCCAGTGTCAATGCCTCAGCAGGTCAGAGCCAAGTCTGATCCAAGGAGGCCCCACCTTGGATTAGGAGTACATTTGGGGTACTGGCACATCACAAGAATCCTTGAGTAGATTGGGACCTGGGAAATTTAGAAGCCAGGTAGACACCTTGAGCTTTTTGTCACACTCCACAGGCCATTTCTAAACAGTTTTTGTAGCGTGGCATGCTGCTTTTCTCTGCTGGGGGCGAGTACTGCTGCCATGAGGGGGGTACTTAGTCTGCAACAGTGTTTGAGTAGGTGGAACATGTCAGGTGGTATCCACATGAATGCCAGAACCAAAGGTTTCCCAGCAGAACAATGCATTGGAACAAAATAATCAAAGTTATTCACTTCACAAAAAAAGGGAAATCCAAGGCACTCTTCTTTAAATTTATAGAAAGCCTTAATTCAAAGAATGGCTATTTCATTTAGAAGAAGTTAAAACATGATGAAAGTGGGTTACAGCTCACGCGTTTCGGCACAAAAGCTTTCCTCGGGGTGTGAGGATTCACTTCACCTGTCAGTGGTTTTAAAGTTTTGGCTGATCGGTGTATATTTGGTATTTTGATATCTGCTTGCAAGGAAGCCCTCACAAGGTGCTGGTTGCATCCTGAACCCCCACAATAGGGGAGTGGACAGACATTGTATATGATATTTATGTTATGGAAAAGATTACTTTTTCTCTTCATCTTCAGAAAAATGTGTTCATTAAATTCTGGGCGAAGTGGGTGGAATATGTAATACTTTTACGACCTAATTTTGTGGAGGTATCGTACAAAAGACCCTATAATGTTTAGTCAAGCAACACTCATTGACTGCTATTCTATTTATTTCAATCCCTCCTCAAGTCTCCCCGACATACAGTATGGTGCTTATATGTACAGTTAATCTCTCCCAAAATGTTCTACAGAGGTCATAAATTGTGGAAAAAAGTTAAACAGCAGGAGAAATTACTTTACCATAATGTATAATTCATGTTTTGCTTTGTAAACTGCTATAGAAAAAAAACTTCTTCTCTCTCTTCTTCCTGAAAATACCACTTAGTGCTGACAGTGTTCGCTGTTTGCCCAATGAAAATCATTAACCAGACTTTATATTTGCCACCGTAACACCAGCCTGGTAATGTAATGCTGGAAAAAAGCAAAGCACGAGGGTGTAGGAAATCTGTATGCACAACAAAAAGTCAATTCTGTGGGTGTGAGCAGTCCGTTATTGGGCTTTGACAAAAGGCAGATTAGAGAGATGCTGTGATTACAGCTTGCCTGTTTCACCTCACCCTTTATTGTTACACTGACAGATGAGACACGTCTGAAGGGTACAATTAGCATGGTGAATCTAGTGGTTCGAAGCTAAATGAGTTTAACCATGTACAGGCTTGATAGAGGTGAAGAAGATTACTGAGGACAACCCAACATTGATTGGATCATCCTTTAACAAGACAAGACAACAAGGATGTGCACTGGCTGTATGGATGGCGTCAATATCTTGATACATGAGACAAGGCTTAATTGTCAAAGAGCCTTGAGTAAAAACAAAAGACCAGCTTCAGTGTGAATCTTGAAGGCATCATCAGCAATGAAAATCTTCTTTTTAATGAGTGTGGTTTTCTTGGCAGGCTGTTGATGAGACTAGAAGAACGTTCTGCAGGATAAGAGAGAAGAATTATTCAACAACATGTAAGATAAGAGACAGTTGCACTAAATAAAAGCTGTTAAACCTGCTTTATTGTATTCACTGGGCTGCTATGAAAGCTGTTTTGATATCGTGCTTGCTTCAAAACACAACAGACCAACACACATGCAGGTGAGTTAAGAAACACAAAATGATGTGAAATTTAACCCAAGGCTTCTTGTACTCCCCTTTTTTGACTGAGGAGTTGAAACTGCAAAACTTCTTTGGCATTTTAAGGGTCCGATGTGTAGGATTTAGGGGCATCTACTGGCAGAGGTGGTATACTATTCATAACTATGTTTTCATTATCACCTGAAAACCTCTCTCACAGTGTCCAACATGTTGTTTCTGCAATAGCCCAGAGCTCTAGATAGGGCCATTTGCATTTTTACATCAGCCACCGAAGTTCTCCTACATGCTTGACACATGTGAGAAGTTCTGCAACCTCCCTGCCAGATGTCACTAAATCCTACACACTGGACCTTTAAACTTCATCAACCTCACAAATAACCCTGAGGAGCATATTAATCTTTTACTGTAGCAGAGGAGGAATCCTCTCTACAGTACCAGCTGGTGTCACTTAGTGTCTATGTATGTCAGAACATGTAACAGTCCCGGGGAACAACATCCATCAGAACAACTGCTGAAGGCTGGCAGGAGTCTCAGGCTGCTTTTATGAGTGGCTGTGACTTCACGACACAGGACAATACCACAGAGGCCACACATGTACATACGTGCCTATATATGGCTCACTGGGTGGGGATTTGGCAGATATATGATCACATTCGTTGGAAATGTGTTTACTTGAATAGCATGGCTATATCGTTGTGGAGCACATGCTTCAGAGATAAGAAAACATCGCCTCCAGGCTTCATATAGACACACTGCACATTGTTCACGCTGTATACATTCACTGTCACATTAGTGTTTCTTGGAAATAGCCCAGTTGTGACGGGAATACGTAAATCTGACAGTTTGACAAAGATGAGGGGAAACAAATACCAAACGAGTCTGTTCGTTTCGTCTGACTGACAGGGAGACTGTCACATGTGCTCAAGAACAAAGACCGGGGCCCAAACAAAAACAAATGCCACACCAAACATCCCCTCTGAGACGTGCAGTGAAGAGGAGGAGGTTTGAAGACTAAGTTGATTACCAGGACGAGGGTGAGGTGGGAGGAGAGGGAGGGCTAGTGCTGAAGTAGGTAGCCGTGTCTGTACAGTGTTGCACTGCCTTCAAACACCTTTCTGTTCACAGTGGGACTGACTGATGCTGACTTAGGGCTGCATACACGTGCACACACAGACACACAAGCCACACTGTCACATACTGAAACTACGGTGCCAGTTTCATTAGATAATGGCTTAAATGATCATAAAAATGCCTCAGATATGATGCAAAACAATGTATTATACATGTTTGTAATAGAAGATAAATAATTATCAGGAATGCTTACACTTCATCTTCATATTCTTTCGGAGGGGAAATAGCGATCACAACATCGATCCAGTCCTAAAGGTAAAAACAACATTTATTTTCATTCTGCGTTTGACTGAATCAATAGAAAATATTAAGTCTGACTGAATCTGCAAGTTAGAGTGTGACAACAACAAACACAAACAATGAATCAAGGCTGACAGAGTTGAAGTACAATCAATAAAACGCCCTGCTGCTGTGGCTACTCAGGTAAACACCATCGTTCCTTTGAAAAATGAAATATGACATTGCATTTTCTTCTGAGTCCTACCCCTCCACTATGCCAGGCCCGAGCCAGAGAGTTTTGTCCCTCAGTCAACGTGGCATCGATCAGGATCTTCCCATTCACGGCCATAAGTTCATCCCCGGGCACGATGCCACCTACAAACAGGCACATCACATTCGGTTCACTGCCCGAACATATTCATTCACAACGGTGACACACACAGAGTAAGTGCTGAGCCAGCTGCAGAGATAAATATAGTCTCCATGAAGAGGCACTCAAACACTCGAATCTCGACGTCACCTCACGTCAACGAGTAAACGATAATCATGTTGTTCTTCACAGTGAAGTGCTGTAGTGGGGAAATACCTCCAAAAGGCTGCAAGAATGTCATTCAATGAAGTGTTTGTGGATTTAATTTTGAGCTGTCTTGAAGTTACTAGTTGAAAATAAAAAATGAACTGACCGTGCTTATCTGCAGCGCCACCTTCATACACAGAGGATATCACCAGCTTTCCCAATGGAGAATCTGCACCTCCCTCCAGAGCGAGGTCAAGCTGTCCAGTCTGAAGAACAATGAACAAAAACACCATTAGTCATGTTTGAGAATATTGCACTTTAAATCTGCAGTTGGTAACTTTAAAAGCCACTGTACTATAAAATGTTTTCACATATTTGCTAAAAGTGTCACTACATCCACAGTTGTACATGAGACGGATAATCTGTGCCTCCGAAACAGATCATGAGCCTCCTCAGAAACATAGTTTAGTGTACTGTTGAGCTGTAACATGAGAGTGTTTGTGACCTGGTTGCCATGTTGATCACAGACAAGCACAAACAGTGCCCCCACCAGCTGGAGGAAAGTTTCTCATTTTACAGCTAAACAGTACACTAAAATATGTTTCTGAAAACATCTGAGACGAGAAATAGGCAATGCTGTAACAAAATCAGTTAGACCGCGGTTCACGAGCTGTGATTGACATGATTGACAGCTGTGTTAGAGACTCCTCCGCTCTGACTGGTTGTTTTACAAAAGCCATTCTAGCATATGCCATTAGAAGCACTACCCGGAGGAGGATGGACATGATTTTTTCTCATATACTACGGAGTGGATGTAGTGAAAGTTTGCGCAAATATGGCAAAAAGTTGTTTTCATAAAAGTTAGCAACTTTAACTTTAAAAGTGGTAAGTGAGATTCATCCCATCCATAAAGTGAGTTATCTGAAGTGAAGGGAGGAGACGCAGTCTTTACCTTTTTGATTCTCAGCAGTCTCACATCTCGGCCACCTATCTGGTCCGCGGAGAACTATCAACATATAAAAAGGAGTGAAGAGGGGAGAAGCACAAAACAACTCTGCAATTGCAAAGGAAGAAGTAAATAAAAAGAGGTGCCAACATTAAGAATGGCTTTGTACTCTCTGAGTATGTGTGTGGCAATGCTAAGCAAAAACCAAGAGACTTATAGACCCTTCGTGAGTTACTAACCATAAGCATAACCATAAAGAGAGGACTGATCTACAGAAGCTCAGCAAATTATTAATATCTCTTATTCACACAGAGGCCATTTGAATTAGCCTAATTTATTATACTTAGCTCACTAGCTAGCCACCGAAAGTTGCTCATATGGCTTCTTTTGTTGTTGTTGTGTGGATGTTTGGTTTTTCAGTCCCTTTATTCACTAATTAGTGCATACACATGTTGGGGCTTAGAAGGGGCTTAGATGAGCAACATAGGACAGTGTGTGAGGAAAAGACACAAGAAGAATGAAACAGAGGGGAGTAAATAACTGCAGTTAACTGAGTTCTGAAGGATGGGTTTAGTTTAGTATTATAAATTCTTTCTATTCATGTATACACACATTCCTGCTCCCACACACACAAATGTTTCCCCAGTTACTTTCTTACATGTACCGGTATGTTTGTACTTGGGAGGTGGCATTAGCTCACCGACAGCAGGACTGATTTGAGAACTGGTGAATATACTTTATTGAACAGTTCAAGTTGTTGTTTTTTTTGCAGTGCTGATTGTTATTTCATTGATATCTGGCGTGTGAGTAAATCCAACCATTGTGTACTTTTTAAGTTAATTGTTTTCTTGGCGATAGTTAGGGCCACAAGTAGGGGTATTGTGATCTGTATCAAAAGGTGTTGAGTATATCCAGACCATCAAGTGTCTGTTTCATTTTCTGCTGAGGCATACAATACCATGGAGTATGGATCAAAATCTTCCTCGTATTTCTGAAATCCCTGCAAGAGAATCAACAAGCAGTTTATTAAAATGATTCAACATGTACCAAACAGGACACAATGAACCAAAAGAATCTCAGTGACTGTCATTAAAAAGTGTGCTGGTCAGATTTCCTTTGACAACCAGTTCTACGTTAAAACATTTTGAATAAAAAGAAACCATGGAGACTGAAAGGGTGATGAATTCAAAAGGTACAGTGGCTTTTAAAGCCTCAAACCTTAATTCGGAACAGGGACACACGCACTCACAGAGAACATTATTCCTAATCATTCCTTTGAAAGAAGACAGCTATTTAATTTAAGGGGAAGGAAACAGAACAACGGACGTCACATTTATCCAGCGACGATGACTCAGAGATCCATTTTTCTCCCCCGCAGAATAAACACACATTAGTCAAACTCTTCATTTGCTGTTGTGGTGCAGAACTCTACATTGGACTTAAAGGACAAATTTTGTAACATATGTATTAGTTTTGGCTGGAGACAGCAGTTGAAAGAAGCCCAAACAATCTAACTGATGTGATCTTTGGACTAACAGTGAATGTAATAAGACTGGTGTTTTCTGTCTCTATGCAAAGTGGAGGTACAATATAAGCTTAACAACCACCTTTCTTTATTATAGTAATACACACCGGACCAACCAATGTAGAGAGACAGTCCTTGACGTACAAACCACCTGATGCCAATAAGGATAAAAACCAATTACACCAGTAAGACTGTGACATGCATTCCCACACTCTACTGTGTGCACCAAATCAATAAAAGCCCACTCATGCAAAGCTACACAACTGGACCTAAAGGCCGTGATGCAGCCAAAACAGGACAGCCAGTCAACCATGAGGTAACCTGACACAAACAGTACAGACAGAACAGTAGTAAAAGCACTCAGGAGACAATAATTAATCAATAAAGGTGATGATAGGTATGGATTACTTGTCGTTTGTTGTTTGATTTAAAAGATGAGTTGAAAGGAACCATCCGTTTCAGCATTTCCGGAGGCTGAAACACAAGATCAGGTAGCAGCTTTTAGCAAACACATAAAAACAGGACAAACACAACCCTCACTTCTGTGCTGTAACTAATGCATATACATATTAAATACATTTTAAAGTGTAACTTGAAGTGTTTTACTGCCTTCAGCCCTGATGGCTGTGGTTAGGTGCAGTCAGAAGTGTGCTCTGTTGCATGTGTAACCACACCCAACGGTGATGTCACAGTGTAGTGAAACACCTTGGTGTACATTCCTACATCACTGCAGTGAGGTGAGAGGTTAAACCACTTGAGGGTGAGTGTGCAGTGTGATGTGCTGGGTTCTGTGACCATTGACTACTCTTGGGGTAAGCAAAGAGAATTCTTTATAACAATAAATAGAGTGTTTAATACTGCCAATATCATAAAAATGTGAAGTGTTTTGGTCCAATTCTCAATCATTATTGTGGTCAAAAATTGAGACTGGCAATTGTCTTCATTTTTATAACTGTCAAGAAATACCATTAAAAGACCAAAACCAACAATGTCGTATCGTATGTTGTACAGATTATAAAGCCCCTTGAGGCATATTGTGATTTGTGATATTGGACTACGTGGATAAAACTGATTTTACGTGAATTAAGTGAATTAAATGTATTTGCCTGTAATACTTTGAGACTTCCCTTCCCTGTCTCTTGCACTAGAAGCCCATTGGTTCCTGTCCAAGATGTTATTTTATAAAAAACAGGTCACTAATAATAGAATAGTTTACATTTTTTAAACTAAAGAAATCCTAAAACAAGCTGGCCACTGTCGTTTTCAGCAAATGCATCTCAAACAGGAAAACAAGCACATTCGTTGGGCACTATTTCCCTTCGTGAGTTAATACAGCGGTTCCCAACTGGTGGATTGCAGTTCAAAAGTGGGTCGCGGGTCCATGTGGACTGACCACAAGTGACTCGCAAATGTGTCAGGTTTGTAAAAAACACACTTTATTTTTAAGTACAGTTCATTCTGACACAGAGCTTTTATTTTGAAGTGCCATTTCCTGCTGTAGAGTGAGTGACTTATGGACAGCTACTTAACAGAGACAGCAAACTAGCTCGACAATATGGCCGAACACAAGTATGATGCCCAATGTACTAAACTGTGTGGACCTTGAACTAATAACTAAGGAGAAATCTGGACCCCGGGGCTGCATCACTTGGGAATCGATGACTTAATACACACTTGAAGTAAGTATTAACAGAAACAGGATGATGTATGTGTGATTGACTTGGAGGAACATGTCCGCCAAAGCAACAGTGTGCTGACTGATGTATTTAATTGATTTGGAACAATGGAGGTCTAATGGGGGACAAGCAGTAGGCTATCCGAGGGGGGGCAGGGAGTGACGACATCCCACTTTTTAGCAAAATGACCTAAATGTGTCCCATTTATTAAACTGCCATCCCTCTCTATCTCCTGGGTCTGGACCCAGACGCTGTCCTATCCAGAAAATCTGCACATCCCGATAAGCACTGTGACTCAAGTGAGTGAGATACACACATGGACACAGGAGAGACGAGAGACGACAGTTGGAGAAATAAGTGAGTCAGAGAAAAGGAATTTCACATGGCATGTTCTGAAGAGAGAAAAGTAGACAGAGAGAACAGAGTACATGTATTTAATCTTGAGTGCAGTTAAAAAAACAGTATGTCTCTCATCATATGTTTCGAGGCCATAGCAATTATTAAATGTGGTGATGTGAAGCTCCACTACAACTCAGCGCAGAGCATCTTTTGATGCTCACTCGAATCTAAATTGAGGGGCACAGAAAATAAAATTCAGTATTTTATAAAACAGCTACGTCATGGGATCCGATGCAAATACTACACATATGGCTCACCACAGCTGCACAAAACGTTCAGCAGCAGTTCTCTTGATGTCAGTATTTACAAATCAACTTATAAAATACAACACATAAAACTGTCTTTTAACAAAATTGATAGTATTGTTGAGGGCTGCAGCACTGTAGACTATTCTGTCAACTGGGGTACAACGTGTCTTGGGAAAATGAATGATTTATGGTGTCACCTCCTTCAGCTCCAACAGTCAAGGTGCTACTAGGTGAGCAATTTCACCTCCAGCTCCAGAGGTGCTGCCGAACTAATGACATGTGCGACTGTGCTCTCAGCTCTGAGTGTGTGACTCTATTACTGTGAGGCTTCGATTTACTGGAAATGGTTACTACAAAGTAAATGCAGTTTTAAAAATAAACAATCTGCCCAGTTTCATTAGAGCTTGTTGAGAGGAAGGAGAACTGGCTCCGTGTGTGACCTAATAATCACAGATTGGCTCTCTGTGAAACAGCTGGAGAGTCTGGAGGACTCACCGGGAATGGAACAAAAAGGCAAAGATGAATCCCTCACCCAGATGATGGCACGCTGTGTCAGATGTCTGAAATGATTTATGACCCTATTACGCTTAATCGGGGAGGATTTACGAAGGGAGGAGATGACTGCAGTGTGGTGCGTTTCATACCAGGCCATCAGAACGGAGCGCAGGTCTGAGTGGATCTGGTCGGTGGGTCTGGGACTGCGGCAGCATGACAGGTTTGGACATGACAGGGGCCATCTGACGCCTCTGGTTGGGGGGACTAGGAGCTAGTTGCTATTATGTAAATTAAACAAATCATTTTAAAAAACATTTTAAAACAAAAGCATTTCTTTTTAGTCAGATACTAATTTATGAAGCTCCTAATTTTTATGAAAAATGGAGTGGGTGTTTAATTTCTATGGAGAGACACTTACCAAGGGGGTGCTTGAAGTAGAAATTCGACTGGCATGGGAGGTATTTCTCATTACCTGAGCCGCAGTAAAATAAAATCAATCTTCCAGCCCCAAGGCACACACAGAGCACTGTAGGAATATCAATGCAACACACACCCAGGCTCACTCCCATTCCCTCAGATATCACAGCATGGCTGAGGATTCTGAAGCATTCAATGCATAATCCATTGGATGAAATGCAAATGATGAAATGCAAACCAACACGAGCACACATGCATATTTTTTTTTTTAAATCTGCTACTCTCAAGAGCAATACCAAACTGCTTCCATCACCACCACACACCATGCAACACTTCAGTAAAACAATCCACACAGCTACAAGCAAACATCAATAACACCTCAGTCCATCTCTGAGTGGCTTTGCCTCAGCTGGAGTCAATTGTAAATCAATGACTAGACAATTCAATCATGCTAATACGATGTATCGCTCTCTCTTCATGCATAAAACATCCCAATACATAAAATAGAACATGTATAAGCCTGAGAGTCTTGCAGCCTTGAAAATGCATCAACTCTCTGAGTGTTCTACATATTTCTTGAACTGCTGATGCAGCTTTTACTCATAGATGGAAAACAAAATCCTTTCTATCAGTTGAACAATGCAAGTCAGTAACACAAAGAGGAAAAACCAATCCGTCACATCAACGATCTCAGATGAGAATCTCTAACCTTTGGACTGGAGGGATACGACATTTCACTGGTGTTGGAGGAGTAAATTCCTCCTCTTGGGAGATAGCCACCTGCCTCCCACTCACTCCTGCGCTCTGGAGGACTGGGAGGGTGCTGGAGGTGATGGTGATGATGCTGGCGGTACCCGCTGAGGGTTCCTACTCTTTCTTCCGAGTGTTGTGGGGGTGGCGGCGGAGGGGGAGGCGGAGGAGGTGGCGGAGGAGGGGGTGGCGGCGGAGGAGGCTGTGGAACAGGCTGAGGGGAAGATGGGGGCCATGACGACTGAGATGGAGGAGGATAGTGGGAGGAAGGTGGGGGCTGGGGAGGCTGAGGATGAGGCTGAGGATGAGGCCTGCGCCCCTTGTTGGTCAAGGTAGACGGGGCAGAGGGAGGTTTTCTGGCGCTGGGTGGAGACGGAGGCCGCCGCTGTGGGGATGCTCTAGAGGTGGGGGGGGAGTAGTTGGGTATTGTGGGGTTCAGCTTAGGGGAGGGTGGAGGTAGAGGCAAGGGAGGGGGAGGCTGGCTAGTGGTGGGCTGGGTGGGGGCCAGTTTCTTCAGAGGGCCCCTCAGGCTCTGATCCACCTCATCCAGGTTAATGTCGTCCAGATCAGTGGTGGCTAGGTGGAGGCCGCCAGGGAAACGCTTCACCTTGGGCTCCGAGGCAGGAGAGCGTGGTGGGGAGAGCTTAAAGTTACAACGACATGAGACCTATTAATCATCTTCAGCAATTATAAAGAGGCAAACGTGCATCCATAAACTCTCTCCTGCAGACTACTGTTGCATTCCCTGTTTTCTTTTATTGTACACAGGAATCTTGTTTTAGGACAAATGGTCTGCGGTCACCTGAGGAAGACCATTTATGCCAAAATAGTACCATGTCCATGAAGAATTAAAAAATAGGAATGAGATAATAGAGTGTGGATATTTATCTTTATATATATTTATGATCTTTTTTTCTCATTTCGTGGTATTTCAGACTCAAAAAGTGACATGTTTTGCTACTCTGATTTCATGCTTGTACTGTCCTACTGATAAAAATGCTGGAAGATCATTTATTTTTAGTGGTATAAGCAGGTGAAAATAAATAAAATTTTCAACTACACACTTTATTGCCTCACCTAATGCATCATATTTATCATGTAATTCAACATTCAAAATTAAATAAGTGACAAAAGGGCACACAAAGTACTGCAAACTCCACCTTTCCTCTTTTTCTGAATTCTAACAGATGGAAACACATCACACCTGCACCTGCCCTTCAGCAACTTCACTGGCTCCCAGTTAAACACTGTTCTTAAGTACTTCTCCTTGTTCATAAATCCCTCCATGGCTTGGCAGTTCACCAGCTTTCCAATCTCCTCAGTGCTTACACACCTCACTTGCTCCATTCCTCTTTTGCCCATTTACTCTCCACTCCTCCCTCCAGGCTACGCACTATGGATGACAGAGCTTTTGGTGCGGCTGGCCCTAATCTGTGAAATGCTCTCCCTCAGGGTCTGTGCCAGTGCTTCATTCAAGTGGCAACTAAAAACTCATCTTTTCAGACTAGCCTTTCTTAGTGCTTCATAATGTGCTTTTGTGAATGTATTCTTTTATCTGTATATGTATGTCATTATTGCTGTTATTGCTCCTGTTATTATCATTATTGTTCGCTGTTATCTGGTTTTGTAAAGTGTCCTTGGGTGATTTGAAAGGCGCTTATTAATAAAATGTACCATAAAAGCTTTCTGATCTGACCTTCTCCAGGTCATTATACTCAGTCACCAACTTAACATGGTGGAAAAAGGGGCCTCAGTGCTGTTATCATTAATGCTATGTAATTGTATTAGAGCTCTATATCTATCTCCTTGCAACAGAAAAAGAAATTAGCTTATGACATGGTAAAACATGGAGCCCCTAAAGGTGATATAGGTAAAGTTAAGTTCATTTTCTTGTGAAGTTATGTTGTTCGCACAAAAATTCATTATATAACCGTAACCATTATATAACATTTTATGCTAAAACAAAACATTGTTGAAGAGCTCTAAGTGCAGAGAGATTCTGACAGAGGAGGTCTCTCTCTGTACCTCTGGGGATTCATTCTCCACACAGGATATCTGCTCCAACCGAGTCTGACAAAGACGCTCCACCCAGTGTTGCACTTTCTCAGACTCCTCGAGGTCTTCTCTCTCCGTCTCTGAGACCTGGCATGATGCAAAACCGGGCAGTATCAGACAATAAGAATGAGCCACACACACGCATGTTTTCACGCTCAGCTTTAAACTTTGCATCACAAGATAAACAACAAGGCTGCATTTGGTTAAAACCACAACTACGTTGCCATAAATTACATCATATATGTCAAATGGTTGAAGTCCACTCCACATGCTTTGGTAAGCCCTTCTTTTTTCGTACCTCCTGAACCAGCCGATTGATCTTTAGCTGCTTCTCCCGCTCATACATCTCTTCCTTCTCTTTGGCGAGTTTCAGCTCAAACTCCATCTCCTTTTTGCTCTTTCTCTGCTCCTGCAGTGTGTCCGTGTTGGACACTTTCTTCTTTTTCTTCTTCTTTTCTCCTTTCTGAAGTGTCATCAGTTAGTCAAAATAAAAACGCAGGGGACAGACAGATCTGCCACTCCAAACCACACAGCAAGACATGCATAAATAGCTGGTGACACCACACTGTGTGTGATGGATAAAAGCCCAGCCAACAACAACAGTTTTATAAATATTTCCAAAGACAAAAGCTCTGGCTTTGAATATGTAACAGCCACTTTGGGCTGATGACATAAGTGCCGGTTATCTTTGCTTTGAAGCCACTCTTACACCACACTGAACTCAGGCAGCTGACAGTACCTTGCGAATTGATGGCAGTTTCCCCTCATATCGGTAAAACCAGCCAAATGCTAAGGATGGAGATGAACACAGGTCACGCTCACAAGTTTGTTAAATCAGATCCAAGGTTACAACACAGTGTCAGCGAACTCCAAGCAGTGCATCTATTTTAAAACAACCATTACACTACAGAACCACAACACAGCAGTCAAAGAGAAAAACGAGAGAAACAGATTAAGCCTGCTCCATTCAGGCTCTCAGAATTACAAATACCAAAGATGCAAACTGCATTTCAGTGATGCAATAAAACCCCCACAGCTTTCAACAGCTGGATTGTGGTTGTATTCCATTAATTTTCAGCAGCATCTAGAAAAAAGCAGCTAATTAAAATGATATTGAAAACACCATCTCCAATGGCTGCATTTTGGTTGTCAAAGGAAATTTAGCACTTGTCTGTGTGTACGCTGTTTTGCACGAACAGCTGTGACAATGGCAGCTGAGGCTCCAGACTCACTTGTCTGTCATGCTCTTCCTCCTTGTCTTCCTCTGTAAAGGAGCTGGCTTCATCAGCTTAGAGGAGAGGCCATAAAAAGCAGCACGGCACACAGAAGTGACAGAAAGAGACAGAGAGAGCGTGCAAAGGAGAGAAAGAGGGGAAATAAGGTGAAACCCAGGCAAGAGTTTACTTCTAAAACTCAGGATTCATGCATTTCAGGACAAAGACTCTTTCAGGTGTCCTTACGAGAACTCTTGGCCTTGTGGGGTTTTGTCTCAGGTGGGGCGGGTGATAGGCTCTTTGGAGTGCGGGGGCTCTTAGGGCTCTTGGGCCTGTCTTTGGCTCCCCAGTCCTCCTCCCACTCTCTGTTGTGTTTCCTCTCCATCGTCTCAATTCTACGGAGAGCAACAACACACATAAGAGATGTGATATTTTATACATGCCACAGCAATATTGTATTTCGAGGACATTAAAAAAAAATTATATACCTCTCCATCTCTTTTTTATAGCGCTCCTCTTCCTCCGCAGCCTTCTGAGAGATCTCCATCTTCCTCCTGTTAAACACATGATAAATATACAAAATAAAACTCTGTACGCACAACATGCTACAGCACAAGGCCATAAATACAGAATATATGACTTTAATTCTAGTGCTGGTGAGTGTGTCAGCCCTGCAAAATGTGATATGCAGCCCCATTATTCATCCCCAGATATCGTAGGCATCAAAGCACCGAGAAATCCGAGTGTGTCCTGAATTTACAAACACCTGGGAGGAATGTGATATATTAAAGTGAACATAAATCTATATAGTGATGTAACAACAGAGCAATATATGGTCCTCGGTTAAACGGAAAATCAATGTAGGTCCTGTTTACTTTCTTTGCACCTGATATATGTAGATACATGATTGTAAAATATATGGCTATGGAAGACCACAAGTGTCAAACAGTAATAAAGCATTTTATTAATTAATGACTAATTGTACAACAAAAATAGGTAAAACCCTGATGAAGATGGTCTAGTCGAAACGTTGGTACTTGAATAAAAGAAAATATTTTTGCATCGAGTCTTAGAGTGTGCGCCTGACATCTTTTTTCAAATTTGTATTTTTTCGTCAATGGTCAGCGCCTCTCCAAACCTGGTGTGTGCTCCTCCTCTCTCTTCAACAATTACTGTGTTAACAAATGTATGTATTAATTTGATATTTTAATGGAAAATAAAAAGAGGAATGAACTTTTTTTTTTTTTTAAAAAAAAAAAAAAGAATTTACAAATAAAATATTAATCCATTAACAAATATTTCAAATTAAAAAAGATCTACAAAAACAACACATAAAAGTCAATTAGTACATCATTTAAAAATACATTAATAAATAAATCATGGAATTAAAAATGCTTATACAAAAAGAGAAATAAATAACTCGGTTATAAACTGAATTAAGAATGCAAATTCCAGTCAAGCACTTATACAGATAAATACATTTTTTTGTGACCAACTTTATTATGCTTTTTTTATTGTATAGTTAGTTATTCATTAATGAAATGCTTTAATAGTATTTTATTATTTCATTGACTCTTGTGGTCCTCCATATATGCCTGGCTGATAGGGATTTTATTTTCAATCACACATGTAGAGTATTTAGTTTGTGTTGTGGTGAAAGGAAGTAATGCAATAACCTGAATGCATCTGAGGTATTCGAATTTGGGGTGACAGGAAAGGTCGGAAAGAACCAGGCTATTGTAAATCAATAATTTGGCTACAGATGGTGGGGGGTGCCTTTTAAAATGCACAGAGGGATTTCTGGAAAATGTCAAAGTAATGTCAGTCAATACCTTTACTATTGAGTGATTCCCCAGAATAGTAAGACAAACTAAGCCTTCCAGCTGACAGTGGTTAAAAAGGTACTGGGCACTATTTGTGTTTAGCTGTATCAAAATGTCAGGCAGTTTCTGAAAATAATCACCTGCTTCTGGTCAGTAAAGCATTTTTATAGGGCCACTTTTTAGTTTAGTAATTTACTGGGCAGCTGGAATTAACACTAGTGAACTTGTAGAGCTTCTTTGCAGACCCAGAGCATGTACTCTGTGTGTGTCTCACTCGGTTTAAAACTGAAATTCTGTTTTCATTATCATATTAATGTGACTTCATATTGGGTTAAACCCTGTATGAATACATCAAGTGATCTGCTAAATTTAAAGTGAAATTAAAAGTGAAATGTATTTGTCATTGACATAGACATGGTTTATCTTTGTATTGTATACTATACTATAAAGTATGATGGTGGTTGTGTACTTTCAGTGCTTGTCTGGTATCGTTATTTTTTGTCCTCATGTCCTGTTTTATGTTTCTTTTACTATACCTGCCCAAGGAACTGCCCCTCAGGGTTAAATAAGGTTTTTGTTAATTGAAGTGAATTGAAACATCAGTCTTGTCTACAGGTATAAAAACTGTCAGTCTTCTGCCATACAACAAACACAGGGTACATTTCAAGAACAGGAGAGTTATGTGAGTCACTCACTGCTTCTCCTTCTCCTGCTGCTCTTTAATGATTTTGTTGGTCTCTAGTGCCACCCTCTTCTGGTGCATCAGCTCCTGCCTCTCCAGCTCCCTGCGGGCCTCCACTGCCAGACGCTCCTCATCTGTCATGAACAGCTCGCTGCCCTGAGAGGGTGACAACAGCCAGACATGGCAATCAGGGAAAGACAACGTGTACAACAGGGGTCCTCAAACTTTTTGGCCCTGGAGACCGGCAGGCAAACTCAAAACTGTCTCCCCGACCAAAGAGACAGAGGGGAGATATCTGTTTTTGTCACTTGACATCTTTGAAGCCTCACTCACAACCTAAGAATCATTGCTCTATGGCGCATGAGCAATTTCTATAATTAGCATATAATCATTATACATAAGCAGGCACAAAAACGTACAGAATACATACTAGAAATCCTGTACTGTATGCAGTCCCAAATATCTACTATTGCAGGGTTCCCTAAATAAACGCATTAGACAGGCACCAAGGAAAACAGTAAATAAGAGGGGACAGCTTGTCTCAGTCACACAGTCACTGTGACTGAGTCCCGAGGCAAACAACCTGTCGAGGGACTTGACTGATGATAAACGTCGCCCCTGCAGACAGCAGAGCGGAGGCACAGGCTAGGTAATGTGATGTATCCAGAACAAAACGGCACAATAGTGTGTGCAGTGCAGGAATGCAAAGGGGAGATGGCAGGAGTTTATGCCCCCACATCCATAACAGATGACATTACCTGTTTTGCCGAGATAAATCAATTTCAAAGGTGTCGTCAGATCTCACCTGCATTCCAGGTTTTCCCTTATCAACATATTATTCTAGGATCCCAATCACAATACAGACAACAGTTCTAACCAGTTTATATACAGCAACACACATATACACACTTTATCTAGGATTATTATTTTTAAAGGGCTGTGTGTGCAGATGTAATCATATGTATCTTAAAGGGTAACTTTTTCCCCTTATTTTCATGTCTAGGTGACTAATGGGATCAGCACTATCTGAAACTGGTCCAGTAATAGGCAAGAGGGCTGCAGGCTGCGGAGAAACAGGCTCAAATGTAACCACTCAGGGCATTTGCACGCTGCCAATATACAGTCACTGAAAAGGCTTGTTTTTGCCACTGACAGGCTCAGATTGTTATTTCAAGTGTCTGATGATGGAAAGGATCCAGAGGTCGACCTTTTTGTTCAAGAGTAAGATCCTTTTTGTTTAACCAGAAGCATCCCTGAAATCACTATTGCCAAACCCACCACACGCCATTTTACATTTTTTGACACCTTACTGGTGAATTGAGGTTTATTCCACACAAACCAGAGTTGGAGATTGTTGAACAAGCACAAAGATGAACCAAGATGGTTTGTGTGAGTTTTATTTTGTCTCTGTCAACTTTGAATGAAGTGTGTTTTATGGTTTTAAAGTTACAGTTTATTTAAATAGAGTCTGGTGGCTTTGTTAACGGCAATTTCAGGGTTGTTTGTAGTGAAACAAAATGGATCTTACTCTTTCACAAAAAAAGGTTTTTCACAGTAGGGGTCCTCTCCACAACATTGTCAGACACTTAGAATAATAATCTGAACATGTCAGTGGCAAAAGCTTTTAGTTGATGTAAACTGGCGGTGAACAAACGCCCCATGTGGTTACTTCACAGCCTGTTTGGCTGCTGCCACCTGCAGTGTTTTCACTCAATACTGGACCAATTTCAGATTTGTTGTCTCCATTAGTCACACAAAAACATGGGGAAATAGGCTCTAGGTTGAAAATTAACAAAGTTAGCCTATGAAGTGGCATTATGTGTTCTAACTTTGAGTGAATTCAACCATGAGTTAGATGAGAAAAATCAGAAAAAGAGATCATATTAAATGCCTCATAAATCAGTCTTATTTTTTATTAAACGTAATGCAGTTATAGTGTACTTACAGCTCCTGTGAGAACAGTAATAGTCAGACTCCTGCTGCTCTTCAGGACTCTCACCGCCTGGGCACATAATAACAGAAAACTTCAATTTTTAGGACATATTTATTGAATAAAATTAAGGGTCTCTTAGAGAGACAGTTCTCTGTGGCCTGTGAGGAGTATGTGCTATCAAGGTGTGAGATTATCACCAACTCCTGGTAAATACTGCAGGCTTTGTTTTCTCCTTCAGCCACTTCAGCAAATAACTAATAGTCCATGAAGGATTTTTTTCCGTTGCCAAACCATTTTGGCTGGATAAACATTAATTTGGCTGTGGTTCGGCTGCTCAGGAAGCTGAGCGTAGAACAAACACTGCTGCCAACGCAAGCATAATTTAAACAGATGCCTTCATGGTGCTGTGGGTGCTCTGGATGAAAAGGACAAAATGTACAAAATTGTGAATTAATGTTTAAAAAAAAAAAGACTTTAGACTCCAGCTGTCGTTATTGTGAGTGGACAAATAATTAAGTTAAGCAAAATTCACCTCTTTGTGGTCCGCATTGGTGAAATCCACCCCGTTCACCTCCACAATCTGGTCTCCAACCTACATTTGAGGAGAAGACAATGATGCAGTTAACGGCAGGCAGGTATATGAGTCTCACAGTTTCACAGAAGTGTTTCGATCATTTTGAGCATTCACCTCAAGTCCAACTTCTGCAGAGAGGGAGCCTGGCTTGACGTTACTGATGTAGATACCAGGCTTCTGGGTTGGACCACTGGAGATGCTGATGCCCATACCCTTGGTGCCCACCAGGCTGAGGAAAACCTTCTTCTCCTTGATTTCTTTGCCTCCAATGGACGCCAGGCCTGCAACACTGCTTTTTTTCTCCTGGAGCAGTAAAGAAAGACAATAAGCTGTCAGCTGATGCGATACAACTTTTAAAACTGAAACATGACAGGCAGCAAAAACTAAATTTGTCTCCTACCCCTGACTCAGACACAAACTGGTCGACAAACTGCCACTTGAGGGGTTCGTCTGATGAGCTGGAGTGATAGAAAAAAAAGCAAATGAGAACATAGAGATCTCTGATGTCATCTCAGCACATTAAATCCTCATTTTACCATTCAATCAGCAAGTAGAAATGATGGTCCTGTTTATACCTGGTAATAACATGTCTTGGGTGATCTGATCACAAGTGAACAGCGCTAAATACAAGTGTTAAGGACCACCAAGACACCAATCACTCAAACCACTTGCCGAGGTGATCTGGGACAAATCTGACCAGGTATCTTTTGTGGTGTAAACGCTAACGCATATTGATGCGTCCCCAACAATGGCTACCTCATCAATGCAGGAAGTGGTGATTGTTTTGGCGACTGCACACTATCACTCTGTAACGTGCCCATTTTATGACAAGCTGGAAGAATGTTGCGTAACCGTCCAACATTTTGCCCTTTGGAAGGAGACGCATTGTGATTCTGTTAACATTGATATCTCCAGCTGTCCCATCATAACTGTTAATGTGATTTGCAAGCATGCTACTGAGTGTGTGTGCGGTGCCCTTCTTGCATAAGTAGCATAGGCAATTACTGAAATCTGAACACAAGTGGTCAGCTGGAGACGCACAATAGACACAGACGTTAACAGCGATGTGTCTCGGCTGTCCATTTGTGTTTGGATCACCGAGACGTACCTAAATATCAGGTATGTACAGGCTGTTTATTACCATATCAATTATTTTACCTTTTCACTGGGATCATCCCCACATCTGCACAGATAGAATGAAACAAATAAAATCAAATGAATGTTGGCACAGATGTTAAACATTATTCATTTTGATGCATATGAATGATTTTACTGTTGTTGGAGATGAGTTTGTGTTTGACGTACGCCTGACTTTGAGTGATACAATCTTCTTTGTCTTGATGAGACTGATGACCTCCTCGTGGATGCAGGAGGAGATGGAGTAACCATTGATGCGCACAATCTCATCTCCAACCTATAAATCAACACAGGATGGGATATTATGGATGACATCTTCACTTTCAATATATCAAACCAAATCAGAGATGGAGTTATTGCTACAACAACAATTTAAATCCCTGTCTGAGTATACCAGCCACAATATGATTTAATGATCTGAGTCTATTTATTGACATTTTGATGCTTTAGTCATTTACATAATTGAGTTTAGCTTTCACATCTGCATGTTAATGTCTACACAGTCATGTACAATATATACAGATGTATCCAACGTGCATATACACATGTACACAGTCGTTTATTATCTGTTCTATCTGTTGTTTCAGAATCAGTTTAAAGCCTTATCAGGGAAGGGGACTGCATATTAGCCTCAGCTAGACATCCTATATACAGCCCATCTGCTGCTTATCTTCATGCCACAATATTTATCTGTATGACCTCTGCTAAATAAACAAATACATAATGACTAATAAAACATATCTTAAGTTAACCTGCACAACCATCCATTTTGAAGGTAATTAAGCATACAACAATATTCATTTGAATGTAGAATTCTTTCTATAGAAGTAATTATTTATAAGTAATAGCAGGGTTTCCCACAGATTCATGTATTCAAGGCGGCCCGCTGCCATCAAAACATCTTCTGCCATGTTTTGATATTACATTTTTGGAACTGGGCTGTTCATTAGGAGTGCTGTTGGAATATATATTAACAGTTCAGTTATTTATTGCAAGTTTAAGTTGAACCTTATCCTTACAAGTTTGCTTTCACTCACCAACAGCTGCTCCTCTCATCCATCAATCTGATTTGCTCTCATCAGATCAACTAATCAAATATCCACCTTGCAATTTAAACTTCACAAACTGCTGCTGAGGAAAAAAGGACTACACTCTAATCACGTGGGAAGCACTGAATTATTGTGTTTTGTTTTGACTGTGTCTCTCTGGGTTTTATCCAGATGTTAGACAGGAGATGACCCTCACCTGGGATAGTTTCAAAGTGTAATGGATGTCTGTCATAATAAACTATGTATTAAAGCATCCATCTAACAAGGTAAGTACCTTTTTCTTTAATGACAACAGTTATTTCTTTTATTTAATGTCCATCTGGGTGACACTGATTTATTATTGACTGATATGCAAGCGCTCTGACAGTTTAAAAACATGGTCCTTTGCCCCACCTAGTGGATTCTGGTATTATGACTGACATGCAGTGTGATGTACCGCTGCAGGACACATGAAAATCATTACGCTTTGACTGATTTCAAAGACACAACTATAGGTAACCTGTTTAATCTTCACACTAAAGAATATACTCATTAAGGGGCATGTTATGTACAAAAAAATGCACTAATTAAGTACAATTTTCTAACATACTGTATGTATGCACATGCATGTAACTATATGAAACTAGTGTTAGCATACTAGATGGTATTCTTAAACTAGTACTACGAGCCCTAAAGTCCCAGAAGGTGATAATTTTTTTATCTTGTGCAAACAGGTTAATTATCTTGTGCACACAACATATTAAATATAAATTCATGAGCATCTTTAATGAATTCAGATGCAGCTAATCAACTTCATCTTCTAAGGCAGCCTAAAGTGAGTCCTATGTTTTCCAGCTCAGTATCCTCTTAATATGATACATTAAGGAGACCTTTTAAAGGGTTTTGTATTCTCAGCATTTTTCCCGAGGGTCAAGTGTTCAATGTATGTTTCCCTTTGTCACTGTGTTGGAACCACCCACCTACAGCTTATAGTCTACTGATGTTACACTCCTTGAAACCTACGCCCTGAAATTTGTGGGTAAGACAGTTTTCTGGACTTCAGACTTTGTATTCTCCACAGTGGCTCAACAGATTTTTAACATTCAACCTGCATTTGAAACATCTTTTACAAAGCTAACCCTTACCAATGTTAGTTTATATCAAGAGACATGGGACCCTGGGAACATAGGGATGACCCCCTTAAGACCCATAAGGTGATATTTTTTTTATCCTTACCTGTGCACGCAACTTATCATCTTGTGTGAACGGGTTAATTACCTCGTATGCACAAGATGATTACCAGCTGCAGCAGCAGGGCTGGTATTGTGTTCAGTGTGTGTGTGTGTGTGTGTGTGTGTGTGTGTGTGTGTGTCTGTGTCTGTGTCTGTGTCTGTGTCTCTGTCTGTCTGTGGACAGATTTTGTCAACGTCCCCTGGCACACACGGTATTGCGGCGGACGTGATTTCAATATAAGATGGTCTTGTGTGCACAACATTAAAGACATACCACCTTTCAGGACCTTAGGGGCTCAGACCCACTGCTACTGTAATGACAAAATAATAATTCTACCCACAGATAGCTCTTTATATGGTACTTAAACTAAAATCTGCATTTAGTGTTTCAGGAGAATAACAAGGTATGTGATATCATCAAAGGAATTCAAAAAAACACCACAGTTAACACACACAATGCTACATACCTGAAGGCCAACATTCCCAGCCTGACCGTCTTTGACAATCTGTGATATATAGAGACCACAGCCAAACTCCAGCCCACCTCTGACACTCAGACCCAGTCCATCACGATGTGTCCGATCCAAACGCACCTCTTTCAGCTTCCTGCACAAACAGGTAAGAGAGAAAGATATAAAACCGGGTCAGGTAAAATTTAGAGAAAGAGAAAAGGGATGGTTTCAGTATGGAAACAAGGGGAAGAGCATGGGGATGCTCAGGGATATTATGTTACAGTTACATCACCTTTGTGGGGATTTTTAATTGTGCAGGCACATATGGGATAGAGACCACATATACATGAGCCTTTGCTGTACTCACCGTGACCTCTTGGGCGTGAGCAGGTCGTACTCCACCTGGTGTTTGAGTGGGATGAGAGGTCGGATGGCGTCAAACAAGGGCAGGCGCTTTGGTTCATTGATGACCAGCTTAAGGTCTCCAACCAGCACTGTCAAATCCATCGACCTGCAAGAGGAGAGGGGCATGACTATGATTTTTATAGACCATTTCATATACAATGACTTCTACCTTCAGCAGGGAAAATGTAAGGTCCCCAGGTCAAGACCAAGTGAATTTCTACAACATGAGCAACTGTGTTACTCCTTACAAGAAGAGGGGTTGTAGTAGAAATACAGTACGTACTGAAGTTGCAATAAAACAAGAACAAGGAAATGAAAATGTTTTGGTATCTGCGAACACGATAAACATTTCTATGTAACATCAATTACATTAAAACACAGTGGGGAATTAGCTTAACAGACAAAAACAATATATAATCAAATCAAATACAACACCACTGGAAATGGCACCTTACCATAGACTCAGCAAAAGTCATTGCTTGTTTTATTTATATGTTAAATACTATCTGGTAATTATTTTCTGTGAATGAATTATATATTGAAGGGATTACTGTAGCCCAAGGATTCCTCCACCCAAGAGCACCGCACTGTAGAGTTTAAAGTTCCCAGAGGTGCTGTTTCAGGGATTTTTTTTTTACCCTGATAAGAATATAATTATGGAGGATTTTATCATGTATGGCAAGGCTTTATTATAATGAATGGTCAGATTTAGAGATAATAAATGTGATACTGACTCTAATCTAAAGTACAAGTAATAATAATGGCCTTGAAGGGAACTTATTAGCTATAAGATTATATAAGGCCTCCATTAAAAGGTTTAGCATTGCACTCCAATAACATTGTCAGTTATGATGGACAGTATCAAAAGTGATGCAGCAGAAAAAGGATCCTTAAATGGCTGAATTTCAAGGATGCTACGTCATCAAATCCCACCTGAGGGCTGTTAAAATGTCGAGGATCCTTCAAATTCTACTGATTCCTTCATTCAGAGAATTTCCAACCATGCACGTGTGTATCCTCAGCAAGTATAAAGGACCCACAATATATGCTGGAAGTGAAGGCAGGGCCTCTTCAATGAAACCTGCGCCAGCGGAGCTGGGCAGGATTTAGATAAATATGTCATTTATTTGGATTAATATCTCCAAGAGTTTTTATCATACAAGCATAAAAAACACTGACAGAAACCTCATAATTTACACTTCTCAATGTGTCCACTGCCAAATAATGAGTTTTTTTAAAGACATAAAAGTTTCTAAATTAATCATTTATAGCAGTGATGGGGTGCTAAGTGCCACCAAAGTTTCATTTAGCCTACCCGTTTGTTTTTTTAAGTATCATCCAGAAATATATTCTCCCCAAAAATCACGACTCTGAAAATACTGCTTAAATTTGTTAAAATTGTACAACAACATTAGAGAGTGCCAAAGTTATCACAGTGACCAGAAACCCCCTCAGTCCGCTGAGAGTTAACGGCGCTCACCTGGGGACATGCGTTAGCCTGTTCCAATGTGTGTTCACCAAATGCTATGAACAACTCTTGCCTTGCCTCTGTAGGATCCGTCCTTGGATGTACTCGTCCTACCAAGGATGGATCCTTGACTTTGATAAACACCAATTGTCTTCTTATGCCAAACTTTCCTCTTCCTTGTCAAAACCTGATGCTTACATTACCCACAATGCAACTTGACTGCTGACAGATTGGACAGGTATGTTAGGCTAATAGCGGCTAATGCAGCGTCAAGCCGCTAGCCTCAAGCAGAGATGAGATACGGAGAGAGCTACAGACGTCAGCTCACTTCTTTGTTTTTCCACACCCCCAGATTATTTTCTTCCTCATACTTGTAGTCTTCAGACCCAACCAACGCTGACTCAAGTGACATCACTAGAGGCAATTTATCAGACTTCACACTGCTCCCTTTGGAGACACAAAAGGCTTAATACAACTTTTTTCACATATGCAGCAGTAGTGCTCCCAGAGACCTGGATTTCCCCTTTAATCTTCCATTTTGCTTTTAAACAACAATAAAATTATATAACTGTAATATCTATACTGATGCTGATGGAAAAAAACAATCCAATCATCTGTCTTCCTCCAATTCAAAGGGAGATAAAAGGGCAACTAGAACAGCAATTAAAGCTGCAAAGTAAGCTACTGTGTAAAATCTGTCCACCTGGCCTCCTCTTTAAATTATTAATAAGCGCCATTTCAGCCCTGTTTGGAGGATGCACATAAAAAGGGCTTTTGTGGATAACTGGCCAGGCTTGTCGGAGTACAGTGGAAACTGATCAGAGGCTTAACCGTTAGAGCCACAGAGCTCTGGCTCTGTACAAAGATTAATTGAAACCTAGACCTGTAGTCCCCCCAGTGCACCCCCTCCCCAGCCCTCTGAGACCAGGCTGTTATCAGAAACCCTGGAGGAGTTTAAACCGGAGGTCTGTGTGCATCAGAAATGAGTGCAACCATATTAAAAGAAAATTACACATGAACGTATTAAAGGTTGGTGAGATGTTAAAAGAAGTTAAAGGGGCAATTGGACATAATTTCACCTGTAGCCATATCGAACTAGAAGGAATTACAGCAACACTTACAGCAAACAACATTTGTGCCATTTTATCCTAGATTATACCATCTTTTTTATATTTGGTCTTCACAAATAACACTTTTATCAGTTCTGGTTTAAAGTGGTGATCATTTAAGGACACAATCTATTCAATAACCATCAACATTTTATTCACATGGGAATATAGGGGAGGTGAATATACAGAAGTGTGTGTGACAAAACAAAAAAGACAAATGCAACTTTCTTGTGGACACACACTGTAAAATCACACTGCACAGTGACAGATGGTACTCACTGGTGATACATGCGGAGGACATCATACAGGTAATCCTTCTCTGCTTCATTTTCAATCAGCAACTCCACCTGCAAGAAAGGACAAACATCTAGTGCCATCCTTCTTCTCACTGCTGAATCAGAGGAAACGTCAGCCCACTGACACACGCTGTACCCCTCTCCTGTGGTCCTGTCAACACCACAGCGGGATGAGCCATCAGTGTGTATCTGTGTGCCTGTGTGTAAGAGTCATACAAACCTGATGGCGGCTCAGCTGCAGCAGAATGGTTTTGAGGAAACGCTTCGGCCAATCACTGATATAACACATCTCGCTTTCTGTCTGACTAAATGTGTCCTACACTACAAGCTGCACGCTTCAGTCCCAATCTAAATTGCTTTTTCACCTGACTGGCAGGCTTTGGGGATGGTGAGGCTCCTTGGACTGAAGCAGGTGTAATGGACAGCCCTTCCCTAAAGATCAAACCACTGGGAGGGAATAATGGCTGTACAGCTGAGGAGAGGCTGCAGTAGGAAGGTCAGCAGTGTCGGCTTACATCTCAGACACAAACAGAGGTGAAGATTAACACCCAACATTCACACACACGCCTCATCTTAGGCAGTACGTACTCACTGATAAGTCTTACAGAGAGCAAAACTCATGTACACATGCACATTTAGACACTTCCGTATCATTTTAGATAGGGTTTACAGTAATGGTAGATTCACTATTGTAATCATAAATGTTGGACTGCACTACGTGGATCCGGCTGTGAGGTCGCTGTGAGGGTGTGTGACATGATTTTTATGACCGTTATAAATTTCTCTTGCACCAGGCAGTGAGACACAGTCAGCCACACCTGTAGTTTGAACTGCATGCAGACTTTAGCACCATTAACCAGTAGGGTATGAGATCACTGGTCAGGTACTCATACTAAACGTGCACTGCACTGCAGAACAAAACACCTTTGACTTTGCCATTCTAACTTAACGAAACAGACAATAATGCAATTCTTCTGCAAAAGCATAGTGATGCAAACTATCAGCCAAAACAGAGACACAGTGACGATGACAATGTCCCGAATAGAAACAAAGCCTGATTGTGCTGCGTTGGCCCCTCAGCCTCTAATTAAACTCATAAATTGTCCCATCTCTTCCGCTCAGCTGCTTGTCTCTGTCACGGTCGACTTTATCTAATGCTAAGATGCCCTTTGTGAGGAGGCTGTAATATGCGACACTGCCTGCCTGCCTGCCCTGCAGAACAGATGGCTGTGTGATGATCCCTACATGGTCTGGGTTTGAAAACACCCTGAACATATCATGTTCCCTTCCTCTGTTATTTTCTGCTCATAGTTACCTTTTCAGGCTGTTATATGTGCCAACACCAACACATATTATGATTTGTGCTTAATTTATGTAGCCACATATTGTGGATTCAAATTATATTCTGGACCTCTGTATGATGTTTACCTGAGCCAAAACAATCATGGGACAGATACAGAAAGGATACCCACTAATGTAGCAGTTTAAAATAGACTTACTTTGAACTTTAAAGGAAAATAGATCCACTGTAGCCAACATTATGCTCTGAAGTAACTACAGATATGCCTGTAAATAACATCTAACAGGACAGTTGTGGAAACTGTAAGAACAAAACCCTATGAAATTGACTGAATCATAGACAATCCAAGAAACATGTTATTTCAGTTGAATGAAAGCCCATTAATCTATTAACAATTCTAATAGTTTTGTCGCTATTCTTCCTGTGGGTTTATTAGGTAGTGATACACTAGTGATTCATTATATTTTACCCTGAAATTGCTGGCATACAATTCCCGATTGAATTCATTCCAATTAATTAAAAAGAACACTATAATTTGCTTGTAGAAAAGTATCCCTTTAAAAACATATTTTGGATGATTTTAAGTGTAGTTTCTTTATCGTAAGGCTGTCGGTCAGGCCTGTGTCTGCGTAACATCCCACTGACAGAGACACCTGAGCCAGTGAGGCGACAACCAGGTAACTTAGAAGAAAAGCTTAATAAGGACCATTTAAATAACATTAAGATCAATATCTGAATAGGACAATGTTTGTATCTTACCTTGTGCCTAAATTCCCGAGCTACTTTCCGCTCCATCGCTGACAGACAGTAGCAAATAGACCGCCGTGTGTTCCCAGTGTCGGTGAAGTTTGGCAGGACTGGACCGGGGTCAGCAAATCAAGCTACTGGCAATAAAATAACAACTTCCGGTTGGATTTTTATGACAAGGTAATCATTAATGCGGATAAAATAGCTGGCGTAATGAATACAGCCAAGGTAAACTTTTAAAAGGGCATAGTTTATCGTACTCTCAAGTAACAATGTTATTTTTGTTTCATTTTTGTTCTCCAAACATTCCTAACTCGGGCTTTTATTTTGAAGGGATATACGTCTTCCCTTCCGCTTTTCAGCGAACTAACACAGAACCGGTGATAGACATATTCCTATTTAAAGGCTATGTCTCGGCATATAATTTGTTGCCCGTCCTTAAGATAATTAACGCTAGTTATTTAGGCCATTAGTTTAACTAGAAAATGTTTGTATTACATAAAAACATTTTAAACCGATAAAAATCGCTGCACCAACTTGAAAGAACGTTTTACTCTGAAAAAACCCTTTAATGGCCTCCCTAACATCATTATCATGGTTGACGACCAAGGTACCTTTTACTTGTTTCTGGTTTCTGATTGTGTCAGTTATTCCCAGAAAACAAACGGTTAAAAGGTACCTTGGTCATGGTTGACTCTTACTTTAATCGCAAAAAACTTCAGCTTACCCTGACTGCCTCATGAGTGACATTACAAGTTATGTGGTTATTTTCTTGTTTCATCAATTCACACAGTAGCTTAGTCCGTCACTGGAGGGCAACATAACTCCAACTTCGCTCCAATTTCCCACGAAGAAGAAAAAGAGGCGTAGACTTCCGGGTTTCAAAAGCTTGATAGCAACGAACAACTCTGCTGCCCTGACCGAAGAGGTGTGTGTTTTGGGAAACTGTGGGTATGTAAAATGTACTAGTATGTAAGTAAAAACACCAGAGATAGAATTATTATAACTATATTGTTACACTGTTATTTGGTGACTTTATGTTCGCTAAATCTGTAGTTTAACTATCAGCATATCATGACAGAGACAAACGTTATATTTGCAAAGGGAATGGAAGTGTTTATTTTGTGTTTCTCATATAACGTTAGTGACGCTATAACTTCTGTGTACACAACTGAGTCGAGTTGTCTTTTGACTGAACATGTGTTTAAAGCTTTAAAAAGTGCAACTTCAAAGCTTAGTAGACTTAGTTTTTAAACGTCCCGCTCCCCCTGGCGCCCAATTAATGGCAACTGAAATGCAGGGTGAACATCAGGTTGTTTTGTACTGTGTGTGTTACACATTTTACTAACTTACCTGTTACTTGTCCTGCACAGACCATAACCTAACAGCTATATCCATACACCTCTTCGGGATTATTGGCAAATCCCACCAAGAATTGTTTAGTAATTATATTCGTTTATTCAGTGTTTTATAACATAAAACACTGATCAAAAATAGTTTCGAATTAAAAATATTATGGATTTCCTTGGAACTCAAGTGATATTTGTTACAGCTGAGACTACACATCACTGATTTATGATAAATGCATAAAACAAGAACCTATAACAATCTTAATGAGTGTAAAATATGGCAACCGTCTTGTAAGGGACTGTTCTTTACTTGTCAGAAGAAGGGATGGCTGGGGGATGGCTTTATATTGTTTTGTTTTTTATTTATTTTTTAACCCTCCTCCTCCTCAAAGCTACAGATATTTTCCTTGAGGTTCCCAGAGTGACTTGCAGAAAATCCACGACCCTCCCACCATCTTAAATTAGTTGTCAGATTTTTAAAACTAAAAGTTGAAGAACAAATTCTGGAGTTTAAAAACCCTCAGTTTCCCACTCTTGTTGTGCATACCTGTTAGTCAGTGCAAACTCTTTTTTTTTGCCAAATTTTAACAAGGTGTACCTCACACCTCTCTCATATATATTGTTTTTCTTCTTCCTGTAATGTTCTTTTGGTTATGCTACTCTCTTCATTGTTGGCCCTGCAGTGCTGCTATTGTGGCTATTGACCTGTTGCACACTTTGATATGTTCGTACTCGCACTTCAGTTTTTATTTGCAACAGTTTAATTTGCACTACTGTATTTTATTTGCACTACTTATATTACAGTTTTTATTGCACTTTTTATGATTATCTCCTGGGCTAGTGCAACCTTGAGGAGCTTTTATTCTTTTAGCCCTTCCTGTTATGATGAAGATGATGTATTCATTTCATCCAGTAGTCCTGATTGCACAATTATGTTATTCAAATCTGCGTCTTGCTGTACTACAGCGTTGTCTACTCTGTGTCTTGTTTGTATATAATCGTTGTATCTGCCATGCAGCTATGTCGCACTATGTGCCTAAAACACATTTCCTGTTTGGGACAATAAAGAGATTTGGTTATGTTTTTTTTTTTAATCTTTTTTTTTTTCAGAGGGAAGCGTTGGTTGTTCATGATGTGTCCAAAAATGTCACAAATTTTAAAATCTAACTATCATTTCTGTTTTTCTGTTGTAAATGCTGTAATTTTGGTGATTTTTAAAGAAAACATACTTTCCAAACCTGCCAGTGGCCAATTTTTGAAGGCCTGTTTTCTTTAAGAATTGGCGGTAAAATAAATACAAAATACAACCATTTAATTTTGTGCCCCTCCCCAAAGCCAAACTAAAGAGGAGGGGGTGCTAAAAAAATATTTGACATGCCTCCCCCTTCTTTGCACCACACCGTTTCCTCTCATAAATAACAAACCCTAATATATAATATATTTAGCTAATAACAGTTTCTCACAGGGGCACCCCCTAGATGACATCTCTGTGTTAACATGTGTATTCTATATATAGCTGGCTCCTGCTCACCTTACTTGATATGCACATCTTTGTCTGTGTGGCTTGTTGTTATTGAGTTGGCTACAGAATTCTTCAACTTCCAATATCAAAACTTTTTTTGGTATTAGTGACAGCCACTTATCTTTTCACTTTTGTTTTCAGTGTTTTGTGCTGAGATGGGATCTCCAACAAAAGATGCAACACCACACAGGTGAGATTATACAGTCAACACACAGGAGGACACACAGTTTTTTGTGGTCTGTCTGCAAGAGAAAATTTGTTGTAGCACTGAGAGTGTCCATTGTGAAGAGGACGTAATGCTTTTAACTGTAATCTCCCCGAATGAAGCTTAGACTTATAGTCTGGTTCCCCACTGTTACAGTCCTAAGTCTGATTATCCCGCATGGATTTAGTCTCACTCAGTAAGTGGGTTTAACTGCCTGGGTAATCATTCAGTACCGCTGTTTCTAAAATTTGCTGAAAATATATACTGCTTATGCACAGGACTTTTTTTTTATACTTCAGAGCCAACAGGCGTACCCCTGGTCGAGAGCCTGACTCCCCACTTCCCCCCATCAATGAGCGGCTGGCTCACCTGCGTCCTTCCAGGGAGCTACTGGAGTTCTACAGACAGAAGATCGCCCAGTTTGACGGAGAACACGAGGAGCTGCTGCAGATGCTGGAGAAGTACAAAGGCATCACAGAGGACCAGGTGAGATGCAGCTAGGAGTCGTATGTGATTGCTTTGTATGTAACGTTGCTTTTCAGGTATGGGAGGGTATATTTGCTGGTTTTTATTGATCTCGTCTCCATCTTTAATATCCTCTCAGCATAAACTACAGTGGGAGGTACGACAGCGCGAGGGAGAGATTGCAGAGCTGCAAAACGCACTGAGTGACATGCAGGTCTACCTTTTCCAAGAGAGAGAACAGTCTCTTCGGCTTTATGCAGAAAATGACCGACTTAAGATCAGGTGGGTGCATGGTTAATGATGAAACCAGCAGATATTTTAACTTGTTAGGAGGTGAAGCGCAGGTGTAATTAACAACATTAATGGGGGCTTCTTTCCATTTAGGTGTTCCAGATCCATGACTCTGTAATAACTCTGCTATAATGCATGTTTAATCACTGACAGGGTGCACTGTGACACTTTAATGGATTGGAAGCATCATTAATGTTTGTAGTTATACCTATATTACTTATGATTATTTTAAGTCCTTACATACCCATGGTGTATCCATACAGGTGTTTTACTCGCTGATCAGACCTCTTCAAAAGGCTGTACAGACATGCACACTGTTCTTGACTGACAGAGGTCTAATCAGCTTGTATAGGTGTGCAGAGCCTTTAATATGTCTCTGCAGTATTGTGTTATCAGATTTTTTCCTTAGCACCTCTGTACATGGAATTATCTAACCTAAGTCACTGTTGTACAGGGAGCTTGAGGACAGGAAGAAGATCCAGCACCTTCTTGCCCTTGTGGGTCCTGACGCAGGAGAGATCACATATTTCCACCGGGAACCTCCTCACAAGGTACAGATGTTAACCCCATCATCAATTTCTGAACCCATCAGCTATCAGTCCTACAACGATAAGCCTCTGGGGGGCAACAGCGAGTATTTCAACCAATGTATTCAACCCCTCTTGCTCTCCACATGGACCTTTTATCGGCATGTGTTTTATAAGTACTACTCAGAGTATAAACAGAAACCAGAAAGCTTCTGATATCAAGATCTTGTCCTGTTGCCTTCAGATTGTGCATACATATGCAGATATCTGGTTATAGAAATAACATCCTGACTTGTAACACACAGGTGCAATTAACCACCCTATAAATGCATGTACACCTACATGGAACAGAGACCGTGTTTATGTGATTAGTTATACCTGTATTTTTCCAAATATCTGCAGTGGAAAAAAGTTGACTAACCCATTACGTCACAACAATGTCATTTTCCTACATTTTGAAACTGATTTTTCATTGAGTGTCATTACTGTATTTTGTTCCACATATAAGCAAACTGATGAGGGAATACTCATTGCTTATTTCTGCCATTTACCTGTGCTGTATAGAGCCTATAAATTGCTTCCACTCCGTCACATTTATCAATTACAATAAAACTAGAACAAATATGAAAGTTTTCTCTTTCTTTGTGGGTTAACAAAAAATGAGTTTATTCAAATGTGAAATCAGTGGTGTGTGCCAGGAAAAAAAGACAAGACAAGATAAATTCAATGTTTTGAAGATGACTGTATATCATCACTGTATTTCAGGTCACTGTCACACAGAGGAACGTTGAGTCCAGCTTGGAGGAACATCTCAATCTTAGGCCAACAAAGTTAAGACCTGCTTCAACCAGGAAAGGTTTGAAAACATTTTTTTGCAAATGCCTTTTCTACATTTATTATTATTTACATTTTGTCTAATGATTAAAGAAATATTTCAGTGTTGATGTCTGTTCATGTCTGTTTCAGCAGAGAGTAGCAGGAGAACAAAATCAGCAGACAGGGTAAATGGAGAGAGCCTGGAACAATACAAGAATGATAACCAGACGTTGTTGCTACAGGTAGGTCCAGGTGTCCACTTCCTGAATGCAGGTAATGGGATTTATGTGTTGGAATTTCTCACAAATATACTTACACATCACAAGTCAGTAGTCCTTTTTATGACCGAAATGTCTAACAAATGGATGTTTCTCCTGTCTCCATGGTTTTGGTGATGAGTGCTTCAAGCTATTATTTTTGTGGGTGATGTTTCAGGTGGAGGCTCTGCAGGCTCAGATGGAGGAACAGACCCGTCTGGCTAAAGAGCAGGTAGAGTCTCTGCTGGAGGATCGACGGATTAAAACAGAGGAGGCACAGGCACAACGGCAGAGAGATGAGGAGCGAATCACAGCTCTGACTGACAAGTGAGTCTGTGTTTTTTGTTGTTCACCACTACTGTACTACCTACAGCTGAGTGTATTTTAGGAATGGTGTTCTTTCAACACCCTCTTTCATGTTATGAAAGATGGATCATGACTTATTTTACATTTCTCTGTGGTTATACTCATCACTTTTAATGATAAGAAATCCATTCATTAGCCTCACTTCAATGTGTAACTCGCCATTCTTCTCACATGTGACCCCTCAGGCTCCAGCGAACCCAGAACCTGTTGTATGAGAGCACCAAAGATTTCTTACAGCTAAAGTTTGACACACGGACTCATGAGAAGAGCTGGATGGTGGAGAAGGACCGGCTGCTGAGGGAGCTGGACACCTGCCACAACCGTCTGAGGAAGACTGGGTCTGCTGGTGCAGAGCCGGGCCGAACGTGGCAGCCCAGCAGCAGCACAGCCCCGCTTCTCCGGCTTCAGCCAGAGATACAGAAGACACACAAGGAGGAGCTAAAAGTAATATTTGTTTATTTTTTTCTGAAGACAATCTTTCCTGTTTTTTATTTTATTTATGTTTTTTATGTACTTTATAAATTAATCTATGTCATCAGGCAATGCAGGAGGATCTGAAGCAAGCCCACCGTCTGGCAGAGATGTACAGGGAGCAGTGTACTGCAATGGAAACAGAACTGTGCCAAATCAGAGAGGAGGGTGATGTGGGCAGGGAAATATTTAAGGTACCACAGTTGGACCAGTGCTTATGTCTGTAAAATCTTCATACATATCTCTGATTGATTGTTTATATTTTATGGCGAGCCTCAAGTTTCTCGTCACTGATATCTTTATGTGTGCAGGAGCGTTCAGACAAAATGGCCAAGCGTCTTCAGCTGATGACTCAGCGTTATGAGGCGCTGGAGAAGAGGAGAGCCATGGAGGTGGAGGGCTTCAAGACAGACCTGAAGAACCTCAGGCAGAAATTCAAGGACGTAGAAAAACAACTCCTCAAGGTCATTATTCCTTCCTAAAGAAAAATACAGAGAGAAATAGTTTGACGATTGCGGCATTCAGCCTTGCTTGCTGCTGATATTGTGGTTAATATTTAACCCGTTTAACCTGATGTATATGTATCCACTGTTTCAGGTTACTCTGAATATTGGGCCCAATCAGGACTTAGCCATTCTGCATGAGGTACGTCAGACCAACAGCAGGACGAAGAAGGTTCAGGGTGAGCTGATGGCGCTGAAGGCTAAGATCTATGGACTGGAAAATGAGCTGAGATTCAGCTGAGGACTGGACTGTGCTGTTTACATTCTGCATATAGAGGACAATCTATGTGAGGTTTGTCCCAGTTACAAATGTCTGTGCTACTGTGTGTATCACTGAAATGTATAGTTAATGTTATGTATGATTTGTACTTTGGCCTAATAAAGATGTTTTGCTACAGTGATTTTAAATGACTGACCACCCGGTTGTTTACTTGAATTAATTCTACACACAGCGACAGGCTTTTTCACAGGAGACATGAATGATGGATCTGTTTTATTCAAGTGTCCAACTAAGCAGTGACAGTTTGATGTGAGTTGGCATGTACAGTATGAGGACCCTCAAACTGAAGCATCTACATGTTAAATTCAGCCATCACTCATTTTATTATTTACATCTGTGCTTTTTCTAACATATGTCTGGAAATACTTAGTGATCACTCCTCCAGTTACAACATTATATCATGGTGTTAACTACAAATAATAACCTGTTACCTGTCAAAAAAATGGCACAACTTTCATCAGGGAAAAAGTTTTGTCTGAACTTGTTTCTGTTCCTTCACTTAAGCCTTTAACTAGCTCTGACTTTCCAAGTATAGGTCTAACACTCTTTCTTTTTACACTTCACGCTACTCTTTTAATATTTTAACTCCTTTAAAATATTGTATTTTACTTGATTTTATGATTTTTACTTTTTATTTTTACTTATGATGTCTATTTTCAAGTTAAGTCTCACTGCTTATAATGCCCTTATTGTAAAGCACTTTGTGCAGCATTTCTTTTATAAGAGGTGCTTTATAAATACTAAAAACTACTAATTTATAAACTATGTAGGTTATAAGAGTTAACAGGAAAACCAGCATGTGTGAAATAGCCCCAGTAAACCACAATTACAATCAGTTTCACCTGACTTTATTTTCATTTATGAATATTACTACAATACACTCAAACATAATGTATTATGACATCTTACGTTTAAGTTTAAGTTATGTTTATAATATTGAAATCAAAAGCGTTCATGTTTGAAATGTTGCAGTTAAGTTTCAATTAAGAATAATTTAGTAATTGATTCAGTTTCAATTTTACAAAAATTGCAATCATGAACAAGCCCAAGTGTTTCCGGTATGTAAACGGAACTGCGCATGCTCATACTGTGTAGTCAGAGGTTGCTGTTTCTGTGTACTGAATGGAGGCAGCTTCACCAGCAGCATGAGGAGATAGTACATAGTTAAGTATTGACCGGCTCGTATTGTTTGACATACCATGACCCATTTCTTCAGCCGCCACATTTGCTAAGTAGACAGTTACCGATAGCTTAGCTAAAGCTAAAGCTAGCTCAGTTTTGTGTGTTGTTTACCCGGCTTCTGTGCGCAAGTGCCTGGACTGTGGAGAAATGCAGAGAGTGAGGTCCTTAAAAACCGGTTGGCAGCTGCTGAAAACAAGCTGCGAAGGAGCTGCAAAACTGGTTGTCACCTCGCCTTCGACCTCACGAAATTATAGCCATGTAAGTGGATACCTTATTCAAACTGTTTAAATTAAGATGGAGATGAATGGAGACATGTACTGTTTGTCTTTATCACAGCTGGCTGTTTCACTTTATGTGTGTCCACTTTGAATGAGAAGAAATGTGACTGCAGGAAAGAAACACGCTGAAGCTAATCACAGCACACACTGTTGATTACCTCACTGTTGCGTTTGGCTCACCACACATTTACAACCTCAGTTATTACTATCTTATTCACACTGTTCACTTATCAGTGAATTATCTTCTCCTATAAAACTGTGGTGTATAATTTATATACTCTGGGAACAAAGTCTCAATTCAGTTCACTGTGTCTGAAGTGAAGAGATTATAACAAGTGCTCTGCCTGTAGTATCACAGCAAGTTAATGAACACCCTATGTTTTTTATCTTGTACATGCCACCTCTCTCTGGCCCAGCTCCCTCCTCAGGGCTCCGGCTCCTTCGGGCTCCTCTTTGACATAGATGGGGTGCTGGTGCGGGGCAGGACGCCAATCCCTGGAGCCAAGCAGGTCTTCAGGAACCTGGTGGACCGCAATGGGAAATACAAGGTGCCTGTGGTGTTTGTCACCAATGCTGGGAATTGCATGAGGCAGACCAAAGCAGAGCATCTGTCAGAAATGCTTGATGTGGAGGTAAAGTGGACATTTAACATCAACTTGCACCTCAGCTTGATTTGTTTTGTGTTTTGATCTCTGATATTGATCTTTTTTCCCCTCAGGTGTCTCCAGACCAGGTGATGCTGTCCCACAGTCCTCTGCGAATGTTTACCCAGTTCCACAAAATGCGCGTGCTGGTGTCGGGACAGGGTCCTGTGGAGGAGGTCGCTCACAAGTATCCTGTCTTAAATCAGGGACTCAGCAGGGGTTTCTGGACTCTCTTTGGATGTTGACCTTAGAAGGTTGCATGTTCTGTTGATTCAGTTTATTTTTGTTCACATTCCACTTTGTTATCAGTTTTTAATCTGTGTGCCCTTTGTTCGTTTTGCTGTCCGACTGTCTCAGTGAGGCCCTTTCATAGATTTCTAACGCTGTTTTTATCTGTCATGAGGGATTTTCTGTTTTTCCCACGTAGGGTTTGTCATTCATTTAAGACATGTGGATGTTTGAAGCCTTGGATTTCCATTCTTGCTTTCTTTTCTGAACAAATCTCAGAATAACCCACCAATAACTTCCCAATGTATAAAGAAATATATTAGTTTATACCTCAGGAAACAAATTACAGAATGAAACTTTCCCATTGCAAGTAGGTGCTATCTGTGATTCTTTTGTTAGACAGAAGTATTTCCTTCATGTGTGTGTTTTGTGTCTCATCATTTTCATCACCTTTGTTTGACTTAAATCCACCAAACTTCAGCCTGGGTTTTCAGGATGTTATTACTATAGATATGCTCAGGGAGGCATATCCTCTTCTAGATGTCGTCGATCACGACAGAAGGCCCAAAGGCAGTGTAAGTACTATTAATGTTGGAGCCAGTTTATGTTCAGTTACAGATGAGTGAAACATCTTATCAATTCGTGTATGATGTCTTACAGATTCCCCCCACCAAAGGCTTACGGCCAATAGACGGTATGTGTACACACGCATTCATTGTAGCTATAAGTGTAACGCTTCATAATTATGAAATCAGGTACAGTATGGCTGGCTTTTTTATTATTTCCGTCACCTGTTTGTTGCTATAGCTGTCATCTTATTTGGTGAGCCAATCAGATGGGAGACCAACCTCCAGCTTATTGTTGATGTGCTCCTGACAAATGGAAACCCAGAAAATACCTGGAGTTCGCAGCAGTACCCTCACATCCCCGTCCTGGCCTGTAACATGGACCTGCTGTGGATGGCCGAGGCGAAGAATCCAAGGTACAGTATGTGTGGGTGTCAAAAACACACACCCTTAAACATTATTAAAAGTGTTATTATACTGAACGTCCCTGTTTCGTAGGTTTGGTCACGGTATGTTCCTGGTGTGCTTGGAGAGCTTGTATAAGAAGATCACAGGCAATGATCTGAAGTACAAGGCTCTGATCGGGAAACCCAGCGTGGTGACTTATAACTACGCTGAGCTGCTGATTAGACAGCAAGCTGAGACACTTGGCTGGAACACACCTGTGAAGAGGCTGTATGCTATAGGGTGAGCGACTCAGTCAACTCTGGATTTTTAATCCCACATTTGACACTTAAAGCTGTAGTTGGTCATTTTAAGAAAAATAACTTTTTGTTAGATCTACTGACATGACATTGACACAGCGGTACAAGACAGATAATACGTGAAGAAAATCATGTCCCTCTGTTTATGATTCTTCTGCCTTGTAGTGCTTGTAATGGTATTACCGCACATGAATGAAAACAACCAATCGGAGCTGAGGAGTCTCTAATGCAGCTGTCAGTCATATATAATCATATATCAGTCACAACTTGTGACCCAGCTGGACACCAATGTCGTTAGAAGTTGATAGCTGGTTGAATTTAAGTTGTGACATCGGATGACCAAAACCTAACGTCAGGACAGTGTCTAATGCCGACATAAATTTGACGTAGAATACTGACCACATACATTAATTTCTTAATTTTCCATAACCACGTATCCTGTTGGGGGTTGCGGAGGGTCTGGAGCCTATCCAGGTTGCCAGACTATCACAGGGCTAACACATAGAGACAGGCATACATTCATGCTCACACACACACACTGACTCCTATGGCAAATATAGAATCACCAGTTAACCTGACGTGCATGTCTTTGGACTGTGGGAGGAAGCCGGCGTAAACTCACACTGACAAACTCGGGTGACAATGCTAACCATTGCACCACCGTGCTGCCCACTGACCACATATGAGGTTGATATTTTGTTAGTTTGTGCGTTCTTAAGGAATCGAAATCCAACATCCATACGTCTTATGCAAACTTCATCATAATGTAGAATAACAACAGTTAGTCGTAAGGTATAGAGAACAAAACCCAACGTCTGCAAAACGTCATAATGTAAACGTCCACACATGAACTTCTGATGTCATTAGACATTTAAAATATTGCCAACCCCATTTTCATTGCAACCAAAATTTAAATTCTGTCTGACATAAGAGTCCAGCATCTTTCTGACATCATACTGATGTCCGGTGCCAGCTGGGGAACTGCGGTCAAACTGTGAAACTAGGCAGCGCTGATCAAATATGAATTTTATTACTACATTGCCTATTCGTGGCCTCAGATATATAAACATTTTAGTGTACTGTTTAGCTGTAAAATGAGAAAGCTTTTGACCCAGACACCATTTTGGAAACAGTGCAGCCGAACACACAGCCTGGAGCAAAACCTTCTCATTTTACAGCTTAACAGTACACAAACGTACGTTTCTGAAAACATTTTAGGACAGAAATAGGCAACTGCAGATTCTGCAGAACAGAATCTGGATTAATATTTGATCAGAGCTGCCTAGTTTGACTGCAGTTCACGAGCTGTGGTTGACATGATTGACAGCTGCGTTACAAACTCCCCGACTCTGATTGGTTGTTTTCCATGAGCTGCGGTAGAGACTATCTGTCTCTGACAGCTTTAAAAGTTATGACAAAGTTATAAACACTTTAACTATTTATAAAGGTTACCAACTTCATCTTTAAGAATTTTGCTGTTTGTCCTTTTGTCTGACACAAAAACTTTGATTTGAAGTAAAAGCTCCTTTTAATGTGTTGTCACTCCATCTCTTTTTATAGTGATAACCCCATGGCTGATATATACGGCGCCAACCTCTACAACCGCTACCTTCAGGCTTCTCGGCGCACCAAGGCCCAAATGCAGGCAACGAGTGGCGGAGGAGGTGTAGATCCCTTGGCAGAAACCGTAGATGCCCAAAAAATGACATCATCAGAACTAGGTGGAGCGTCAAGTGTGTTCGGGGCAGAGGAGGACCTCCCCGAGGGGTGCAGCTCCATGTTGGTGTGCACGGGAGTATACAGCAGAGACCAGCAGGAGCTGCCCTCGGACACAACGCACACTGTTACAGAGCAGCAAATCTTCCACGGTCACAGGGACTTCCGCTTCGACCCCGTCCTCTTGCAGCCATCCTTTGTGGTGCAGGATGTGAAGGAGGCAGTGGAGCTGGTGTTTCAGCAGGAAGGCTGGCCTCTGGAGTAGGATGAGTGGCTCTCAAACTGTGGCTTCATCTCACAGCCGTCCAGTGAACAGCTCTAATGACCCTTAACTGGTAGTATAAAAAAACTAGAGTGTTTTGTTTGTTTATGCCCCTGATCATCACAGGGGAGGTGTGGCTGTTTCAGTGGCTTGTTGTTCTTAGAGATTTTTATAAAGTGCCACAGAATAAGCTACAAAAAGCAATAAAAATGCAGTTTTAACACTAGATGTAGGAAAGTTACACCCATTTTAAATCAGTCATGCACACACACACATCATTGTTTCCAATGGCACTACGTACTACCTGTATATGTCAAGTTTATCTACTGCTTCGTGTGTCTTTTCTTGCCTTTGTACGACAGTCCGTATCAGCTTTCTCTTTTTTTAACGCTCATGGATTAAGAAGTGTCTGGGTGTTGAGTTACATGTATTTTTACTACACTCTGACTTTTATGGAGAATCTGTAAGTTCATGGGTGAGAGTTAAAAGAGAGTTACACCTTAAACTGGATAATGTTCAGATCGATTTAGAGAGAGCTCTATAAAAACACATCTGCCGGTTCACCTGTGACATATTGTCCAGATAAAGATGGATTTTATTCTTCGCACAACTTTCTACCTAACTGGATCATCTTGCCTTTTTAAAATGCACCCCCACCCCAGCAGGTCTTAACTAGTCCAGTCCTGGTGTTTGTTTTTACTGCTATCATATTTCAGCTTGATTTGTTTTTAAGGTAGGGTGAATGCGTAACCACTAATGCCAATGAGATTAAGTTTCCAGGTTTAATTTTAGTACCTCATTGGTTTTGATTTTAACCTCAATCAAGAGTAGGGTAATTTTATTTTAGTATTAATTTGTAAAAACTGTTAGAACGATACAGAATGATATCACAGTTTCAACAGGAATGGAAAAAAGGTGCTATTTGTCTGTTAAATGGTTAAATAATGAATGTTTTATATGCGTCTGTAAAAGAGGACTTTTGTGGGAGGAAAGACTGTATTTGCAGTTGCAGCACCATCGAAAATTACACAAATTGCTGTTTTGTTATATTTGTAACTGACAGGTCTCACTAAGTGTGATTTGCAAACGACTTAAAATGTACGTTAAAACTGTGGTAATGTACTTGAAAAAGCCATACTGTGCAAAGGAAAGATTAAAAAGGATGAAAAAGACACAGAGTTGCTTGTCCACTGAAAAATTGTGTATACTGTAGTACAGTCTTAGTACAGACTTGCACCAGTCACTGTCACACTCAGCAGCAGTTATCCTCAGGAGAAAATTACAAAATACGCAACTGTGATTTAAACGTTACTGAATCTACTAACTATAAATATTAAAAGTCAATGTGTACAAAACTTTCACACACTCACACAATGCAACATAAGTAGTCTCTCCTAAACTACAACAATACATCCCCACTTCAGTCCGTTCAGCATCCACACTTTTTATCTGAAGACGCAGCACCGTGAACAGGGTGGGAGCTGTTACTTAACATAAACTGAGACGAGTCTTGGGAAATCTCATCTATCATGGTCATGCCGTTGCGCGCCAGCAGCTCCCTGGCCATGAGGATGAAGGCCGCCTCGACGTTCTGAGCCTCCTTGGCTGAGGTTTCCAGAGCAGCCAGCACACTGTTGTTTTCTGCCAGAGTGCACGCGTCCTCGAACAACACCTGCCTCTGAGCCTGAAGGTCTGACTTGTTACCTGCAACGACAAACAGGAAGTGTTGAAAACAAAAGTGGAGCAGGTATCTGTGCAACTATGATGTTATTTAGAGCTGAATGTTCTGACGACAAAATGTCTTTGGTCATCATCATTGGACGATGCTTCACAGTGCAGTTGGACATTGACATGAAGCATATTGCAAAAGCAACCAAAGACATTTTTAAGGCAAAGAAGTGGAATGTTGTGCAATGGCCAAGTCATTATCATCTGACCTGAATCCAATTGAGCATGCGTTTCTCTTGCTGAAGCCAAAACTGAGGGCAAAACACCCAAAACACAAGCAGGAAGTGCAGACTGCTGCAGTAAAGGGCTGGCAGAGCATCACCAGGGAAGAAACCCAGCATCTGATGATGTCTATGTGTCCATCACTTCAGTCAGTCATTGACTGTAATGTATTTGCAACCAATTATTAAAACTGACTGTTTAATTGATGATTTTGTTAGTTTGTCCAAATACTTATGAGCCCTTAAAGTTGGGGGACTGTGTGAAGAAATGGTTGTTATTCCTACATGGTTCATACTATATTTTTGAAAAAAGCCTTAAATGAAAGCTGAGAGTCTGCACTTTAAGCAGGTATTCATTGTTTCATTTAAAACCCATTGTGGTGGTGTACAGAGCCAAAATGATGACAACTGTATCATTGTCCAAATAATTATGGACCTGACTGTATTTATATCACTTGTTTTCTCTGACTAACAGTACAATCCCCAAAATATTTAGTACTCATTCAGATAGACGTGACAAGCAAAAGCATCAAATCCTTACACTTAGGAAGCTGGAACCAGATAATATTCAGCAGATTTGCTTAAAAAATATCCTAAACATTAAATTGATTATCAAAATAGTCGTGTAATTTCTTGTTAGTTGATGTATTGTTTAATTGACTGATTGTTTCATCTGAACAGACCGACAGTCCAAAACCCAAAGATAAAGATTTTCAGTTTACATTGACTCTTCAACTATCTGAACAATTGAGTCCCTGTCAGAAAATATAAAAATTAAATTATAGAGCTGTCATTATTTTTGTTTTATAAAAAGTGGCTTTCTGTGTGTGGTTTTTGCAACATTTCCTTTGTCCCTGAGTCAGATTTTGGACATTCAACCCTGCTTAATTTTGATTTTAATATTGATCTCATATTAACTTAAAATACAAATGACACATAAATATACTCACTTATATGAAAATCGTGTTCATATATTAGGTTTATTTTATTTTATTTTATTTTTTGTTCAAAAAAACAAAAACAAATACCAACCAACATATATTAGTATTTTATTTTATATTATTTTATTTTATATATATATAAAAAAAAGAACACCTGTTCCTCTGGGTCATTTCCACAACACTGTATAAGACGTAAATTTATTTAGTTTTTTTTTTTTAGAGTGTGTATAATTGGTAACCACAGCAATAGCTATGTCACATATATACATATGGCAGTAGGACAGTTAGCTCCACAAAGGGAACTGAAATAAGAGGAAATCAAGGTAATATTTCTGTTACATCAATAATATGTATATTAACTGCTATTTCCAAACAACTCATATTTCCTTTGAATGTGCAAATATTAAGAAAAACAACACTTTATGTTGTGCATTTTGTGTATATTTAGTGCTAAGGCTACAACATTAGCAAGCTAACTTGGGATTTTTTTTTTAAAATGTGACAAAATATTATTTCCAAAACAGTCATTTCCATCACTTTGTTTATTTTACTTTGATGAAAAAACATATGGCAATTGAAAAGACAATGCCAGTGTTATTTACTGAAAACGTTGCAGCAATACATTTCTCTAAATTTGTGTTAGATTTTCTAAAAGTTTGCAGACCAAAATGGACCATAGCTGACGAATGATCCTAATAAAAGCTGAAACCAGAGTATGATTGGAGTTACTGGTTGAGAGACTGATTGTCTGTCAGACAAAAAAGGTTAAGAATCACAGGTGTATTGTGTCCATGAGTCCAGGAATATATATTTAGGGTTTACTGACCAACTTATTTTCACTCCTCTTACCAATGAGGATCAGCACCACGCTGGCAGCTCCAAACTGCTCCACCTCCCTGATCCAGTGGGGAACAGATTCAAACGTGGCGCGGCGTGTGATGTCGTAGGCCACCATGGCCCCGTGGGCACTGCGGTAGTAGCTCTGAGTAATTGTGCGGAAACGCTCCTGTCCTGCCGTGTCCCACACCTGCATCTGCATAAACACAAAACACAGAGCAATCCAATGTGACTCAAATCAGGAGTGTCAACTTGATTTCAAGAGAGCCAGACCAGTAAAACCTTGACTATAAATGATACCTCCAAATTTTCCACTTTCTTTTAGTGTTGAGAGGTACATTCTGAAAACGTTCATCCATTTACAAAACAGATTATGAACAGCCTGAGATGTCTACTACTCCCTGTCATTACATATTTTGCCATACATTTCCACTCCTGCTTAATAATGCTGGCATCACCACAACAAACTAAGTGGAAAATACTGAGGAAGCAGGTATAGTTATCCCCTGCCTTACAAACCATTTACAGATCAAGAGTTTTGGCAGGGCCTTAGCAGAAGGCAATTTTGTTTTAAGACAGAAGTCTGATACAGATTCTTTTGTACTGAAGCTGCTGACTGACAATATTTTTGCACAATGTTCAGTATCTTTAAATATGACCACAGTAAGTATTCATTGTTTTTTCAGTGTGGAAAAGCCTCGGAGGCAGTGAAGTAGGCTGCTCACTGTTTGACTTACTCCTGAAACCTTGCAGCCCTTAGCCTTTAAAAGTACATTAATATCAGGTGTGTTAAGGTGTGTTTGACATCCCTGACTTACATGGTTGCAAAACGTTACAAAATGTGTGTTAAATATCTCCATAACATACTTCATAAGTCATTCAGACATGCTGTGACTGAGCGTTTTCAGTCCCTTTGAGCAACGCTTGTGTGTACAGAATCTCAAACTAATTAGCATAACAAGACATGCATGCAGTTAACAAATTAACACACCCAGAAAGCTAACACATGGATGATGACATCTGAAGGAAGCAGTTAGCCACTCCTCTTTCTCATCAGGAAAAAAATACTGATCAACTTTAAGAACACAGATCACGCATTAATGTTTTTGTTGATATATAAAATATACCAATAATCAAATTAAATGATCCCTAATGTATGTGGAAATGATTATGCATTAACAGGTGTGATTTATGTGTATGTCTGATAAAAACTGAACTTTGAAATGAGAGAGAAGAGAGCAGGTGCATGTCACTTACCTTCACCCTCTTCCCGTCGATGTCCAGGGTGCGAACAGTAAAGTCCACCCCGATGGTGTTTTGCTGCTTCTCGATGAATATCCCAGACTTGAAGCTCTGCACCACGCACGTCTTCCCCACATCTGAGTCCCCAACCAGGATGATTTTAAAAAGAAAGTCGAAAGAGTCCTCAATCTCCGGCCCGGCAGACTGCATGGTGAAGGGAGGAATATATACACAGAAAACACACACTGAGGCTGAAACACTAGATCCGAGGCCTCTGTGCCTCTATGCAACAGAACTGGTTCTTTCCAAGTTGTGTCAATAAAAACTGAGACTATTTACAGAAACAGCAGTCACATCCTTGTCAGTAAAAAAAAAGGGTAAAGCAGATTTATACCAGCTGTAGTGTGACAGTTCATGTGGCTCAAGCTGAATATATGTGATCCACAGGTAAAGCTGGCACAGTAAGATTTAAAAAAAACACTACAAATTATGAAATACTCTGATATATCCAGGTTATATTCCAACAGCTTGCTTCTTCTGTCATTCAAATACTCAGAAAACAACTCAAAAATCAACTACATGATCCCATAGCAGAGGATTCAAATCCATCTTTCTATCCTGGAAGTAAAAATCAGAATCAGAAATTTGTTTCTTCTTCATCCTGTGCTTGTTTCCATGTCTACGCTACACTGTCGCATGCATTGTTTAAGTCTTAAACAAGTGTAGTCCACACCGCTGCCCTTTAGACTGTCACTCCTTGTGCCCTCCACACTTTCATTCTCATACAATTACAGACACGCCTCCTACCTGTCCTGGTAGGTGTGATCTCCAACTGCCAGCCCACCTGCACCACTGCATCTTGGGATAGTTTTCTACTCCGGCTCTGTAACAGATCACAATACCTGGGAAAAGCAGAAATAAAACTTGATGACCTGAGATGTTCATTGCAAAAAGTACTGACTTATGCATAAATAGATTTAGACATTTTGAGCTCTAGTTGATTTTATAACTAACTGGTAAGACTTACCCTTTACCAAGCGAGAGGTACACAGAGAGCCAACGTGCCGGAGGCTGACTTTGAACAGAGCTGTTTATCTTTATGAATACAGGTTTTGCTTACAAGACTCAGTGAGCAAATATCCCTGAGCAAACAGCTTAAACCTCCAATTGACAGAATGTAAACACTTGACATTTGTCTTAACAGCTGTCCTTTGAACCCCAGTGTTTTCTGAACACGTAAAAAACGCCTCACACCATTAGCCCCCTTGCTGACTACTGTCAACTAACACATTCCACAGCACTCAACAACAGAAAGGGGGTGTTAAGCACAGAGTAAGCATGAACAAAACACCAACACACATTGAAAAGATGTGGTTTAAGACAGGATGCTCTTAACAAAACATGTAATTGAAATCATTTTACCTCAGGCTGCACACATTGAGATCACAGTGAGATGTTCACACAGAATGAGCATACGGCTCTCAATCTGAATCAGTCTCTCTCTCTGCCTCTCTCCGTCCACCCCCTCACTTGTTCTGTCGTCATCTCAGCCCACAGAAGAACAAGGCACAGCTGGACACAGAACAATGTGTGAGTGTGAGGGGCACTTGACCAGGCCGGGTCTATCTTTGGCTGTGACCACAAGCCGCCTTCTTTCTGTTGTGTGGTTGTGTGTGGTTGATGCCTTATTAAATGCAATGAAATGCGGTGTGGTATGACGTGTTGTGATGGCACAAATAAGACAAAAACAACAGGGAAAAAGAACTTAGATAATGCCTGTATTAAAACAAAATAAACTACAGGATTTAAATGTCTAGCAATGACATTATTATGGTGTGAAAGCTCATTTAAGCATCAGAACAAATCATAAACATCTTTATATAATCATATAAAAATCTTGATCATTCCCAAAAAAATCAGACATCCTTATGTACAAACTAATTTGAGCTAGCGCAAAATCACAGTGTACAATATGACAAACCAAAATCTTGACATGGTAGCTTAATTACTGCATCCACATTGGAGAACAGAAATACTTCTGTGATTCAGCCAAGCCTTGGCTCACAAGCTGTGGTGGAGTGGATGAGCGGTGATGAAATCATATCTGAGCCGTAGCTAAGCTACCATATCAGTAAAAGACGTTGGTCTGCTGTGTCATCTCCTCTGCAGGAACTGTGCTGCACTGGCAGAGTTTCGCAGTCTAAAAACGGTGCCGGGTCTTTGTTGGCTTTTTCTTTGTTTTTGAGGTTTCTTGACAGATGCCTTGTTCTGTGATGTTTCTGGAGGAGGGACGTGAATCGGTTTCCAGGGGACTGGATTGTAGAAGCTGGGTGATGGGTAGGATTTGTCGTAGGGACCTGGAAGAAATTAAAGCAATACAAAACTGATACATAACAAATATCAGCTAGGAGAATGAAGCAAAAAGATTCAAACACATTTGATGCAGTCTAAAAAACAACATAAAACAATTATCTCCACCAGGTGTAAGCCTGGAGGGGATCATGCGTTAGAGCTTGTGTGTGTGTGTATCTGTCTGTCTATCGGCAGCTAATCTCACATACTATAGAACCCATCAGCCTAACGTTTTTGTGTACATTTATGACTGTATGTTCATGGATCTCTCATGGTTGTGGTGATGAAAAGTCTGTTTTATTGACTGACTCCTCACTCCTCTTACCCAGCTGATATGGGCCGCAGGTGATCAACAAAATAAAAATCCTAAAGCCACTTCCGTGAATTGGTGAAGCTAACAAACATTACCAAGAAGTGATGAGCAGTGCAAGGTATTTTAAAACCTGCACCAACCCAGCCCATTCTGAGAGCCAATCCACTGCGCCCAACCAGCAAACATATGCGTTAAAAAATTACCCAAACCCAACCCGCAAACCAGAGCTGAAAGCTAAATAGCATTGCTTATAACAACCAACCTGCTGTTGACTATATTGTATGTCATTTTCAGTAAATATCACAATATTTACTATAATATATACAACATGTTTTCTGTTAAAAAAGAACAAACATGGGGCATCGGTAGCGTAGTGGATAGTGCCGGTGCCCCATGTACAGAGGCGCTGTATGTCAGTGCCCACTCTCTCTCTGTCTCCCCATTTCACTCTCTGTCCTGTCATTAAAAGGCAAAAAAGCCCACGAAAATAATCTTACAAAAAAAATACAAACATAAGAAGACAGCAAGTACACACCCATCTTTCAAGTGCTTATGTCTTAGGGTATGATCATGCGCACACAGCTGATATCCTATGAGGTTTGTTTATATGATGTTACAGGATTGCATATTTAACAGATTCAGTGTGGAAAGAGACACTCTTGCTTGCTGGTGGAACACAGTATTTGGCCTACATATTCTCAAAGGGAAATATTTTTAGCAGGAATTATTAACAGAGAGATTTAAATATGTCAGACTTGAACAGATATTCCTGATCAAAAACTACTGCACAATGTTTCTTTAGGTTATTAATAACCTGCTCAGAATGCTGCTTTGTCACTTAATGATACGCCCACCTGAAACAGGTGACCCATAGGTCAACCTGAACACCCGCGGTTTGTGGGTCACCCCACACAGCACTTGTATCTGTATTAATGTCTACCACCCTTTGGCCTTTGTCATGGCTCAAAACTGACATCAAAAGCAAAGTTTGGTCTCATTTTGGAACGGAGGAATCTGCACATTTATTACATACCCAATATGTTATGATCCACCAAAGATAGGCAGGGTACGAGATTCATAAATCCCTCCCAACTTGACTGTAAGGGAGCCAGGAGGGACACATCTCTTCTTTGTTCTACTACTGTAACACATGACAAGCTGGACAGACAGCCTGCCCTGCACGGCACTCCCCGATCCCCACCCACATGCACCCAGACACACATGGCAGAGATTTGTACCCTTTTAGGGGCCCTTCTTAGTATTACTATTGTTTAAGATTTTTCCACTTATTCAGATACAGTTAGTCCAAAATTGATAAAGCCTAGTCATTATTCCCAGATGTCTGAAATGACCTTACTTTTGGGGTAGGAGGGTAATTTTGGACTTGCTTTGCTTTTTTCATTTGCTTTTGCCACCCATTCCTTAAACTTCTCCTCCGCCCTCCTGCGGCGCTCTTTCTCCTGCTCCTCCTTCAGAGCAGCTTCCTCCTGTCAAGACAAAAGTATAACAATCTTGTAATTTCTGCTCATCAATAATCACAAAACATTGAGCTTTGAAATATTTTCACTAAAAGCAGGACAACTAATAGAACAATCCACATTACTTTTGCCTTCTTTTCCATTTCTATTTTTTCCTGGTTCTTCTTCTGCAGCCAGTCTTTGTACTTCTGTTGAGCTTTCTGTTCAATCTCTCTTTGTTTCTCCCGCTGCCTCTGTGTCTCCTCTTCCTTTTTGCTCAGTTTTAGTAGTTGCTCGTGCTTCTCCTGAGATTGCAAGAACAAATACCTCACATGTGAGCACTGGGTAGTGTAGCATTATTGCATGATTAAAATTCTGACAAATTACAGTCAATCTGCTGTGTGTGGTTTTACTGAATTTAAAGTAACAGTTGTACCTGTTGTCTTTTCATCTTTAGCCATTCTTGGATTTTCTCTTCCATGACAATCTTTTTCTGTTCCCGCTCCTTTTCTTCTTGTTCTTGTTTTTCCTTCCGTAACCGCTCCTAATACAAGGGATATAAAATGTTCTACTATAAGATTCAGACTTGATGCAATAATAAAGTGTGTTTGGGGGTAAGAACATTTTTAAAGTAAGGGTGAAAACTATGACTAGGCTTATAGTTAACACAAAAAGCAAAGGAACATAAGGAAAGTGACCAGTGCCGTAGTTATACATTGATATACATTATAATTAAGTGTGACTTGCCTCCTCTGCTTGTTTTTCCAATTTGAAACGGTCTGCTTTAGCTTTGTTCACCAGCCACATTTCCCATGCACTGAGAGTCGGTGAGCCTGCAGGCTCCACAGCTGCATTCATCATCTGCATTGAAGGTGTTCTTGGTAGCTCACATCTGAAACAAAAACAGATGTACATCATAAATACTCTACTACATACTAACATCTTGTCCGTCTGAATTATGCAGTCTATGACTCAGTTCAGAATGTATCTCAAAGCTTGAGAAATGCCAGTACCTCACTGGTGAAACGCTGAGTCTGGAGCTGTTGCTGTGCCTGGGTGAAGTCTGCTGAGCTGGGCTGTGCTGCAGCTCCTCCTCACTATCATAACTGTCATGATAGATGGGAGACAGCAGAGAGAATGTGTCTTCGTCGTCGGATAGGACGTCGTCGTCCAACCCCTTTGATGTGTGGGTTTCTTTCCCCTGAGTACTTTTGACAGGGGTCGAGCTAAAGCCCTTGGTCGCAGAGGCAGGACAGTTGGGCATCCTCCCTGCAGACATAGCTAGCCGATATCTGCTTCGAAAACAAAAGGTCGACACATGAGTATGTTTTCCTTAAGTTTGGTTTGAAATCTGCTTGTTGACTAATCTACAGACCTTTGATGTATAATACACAGACATATCTAACTAGCCGGTGCTGGTGTCAACAGCTCGTTAAAACTGTTGGTAAAGTGAGGCTAACGTTAGTACTCAAAACTAACAGCTAGCGTTAGTTAGCTAGCTAACTTAGCTTATCGTGCTACGAACGTTTAACGCCAATACACCAGCTAACTCCACAGTGTATAATTTATATTCAGTGTCTCTTGCTAATTCTGAAAGAACTGCAAACGTTTCGTTACCCACCTTTATGTGTTTATTTGAAGGAAAGTCTGTTGTCTTTTTCACCGACGCTGGAACTGATTTACAACCAACTTTTTTCCCATGATACACCACGCCCCCCACGCGCAACTTGAGGCTGTTTCCGTAACCATGGTGAAGCTTGACGCCACACGTTTGTCTCTTCAACAGTCAGTTTTTCTTTTTTCCTGTTATAAAGTGAAAGCTTTAATACATTAAAAGAGTTTTACTGTCTGCTTTATCGACTAGTTTTTAATTATTTTTTCAAGGCAGT